GAATGTGATTAAATAAAATCATTAGGAATATTCTAAAGGAATTGGATAATTGGAATAAGTTTCTAGGAAATTAAGACATGAAGAAAAATGTAGAAATCTAAGTGATTTAACATATTTTATTTTCAGTTCCATTTTTTGCGTGCTATTGAGTAAGTGCTGTTAGTTTCAGTATGGGCCACCGAGCTTACTCTTTCGAGAAATAATCGGTGATTTGCTGCTGGTTCATGCTCTGTTGAAGCTGTTGGCAGCATTTCTCGGTCAGCAGTTGCATCCCCACAATATCAATCTTGTGTGCAATATCGATCTTGTGTGCAAATAGTTACTTAAACAATTGTATCGCAGCATTCAGCGCGTCGCGATGAGTGAAGATGGGATTTTCGTCTCCGTTGCTGTCGTCATCACGCAAAAAAGGCGTAGAGGTGGCAGTTGCATCGGAGTATGGTTACCATTCTTCCAGGTTGTTGTCACACTCCAGATAGTCGTCTGCATCCGTTCCATCAGATAAGGATAGTTCGTCGATTAAATTAGCCAGGATTGAGAGATTATTACGACGGAACGGCTTGTCTTGCCTACGGAGCACTGCCGCCATAACTCCCGACACGATTCCTGTGTGGATCCAACAGTGTTGAATCGTTTCAGGGCGCACATCAGCCACCAATTTTACCACCATACGGATTGCGCTAAGAACGTCGAGCTTCTTGTCCTCCGTCCTTGCCGTCACCATGTCCAGCAGCCACTGCACGAATTAGGCCTTGTTCTTGAGCTCGAAGTTGCGAATGATGCATGCGTCCATCGGCTGCAAACGGGAGGTAGTTTCTGGAGGTAGGAAGTGAATGTCTACGTTCGAGAGCTCCAAATTGACATGTGAGGTCGCGATATCGAGCAGCAGAAGAACGTTTGGCCCACTCATTTTGAGATTGAACGCTTTCAACCAATTTGCAAAGATGCCGCCAGTCATCCATGCCTTTGCATTTGCATGGAAGTGGACAGGAAGCTTGGAAACGTCGATGGCTTTAAAGCAACGAGGTTGAGGGGCTTGTTGATCACGATAGGGTCCAGTTTCTCAGTCATATCCATGTTGGAGCATAGCACTATCGAAATGAGCGACTTACCTATCTCCTTGCCACTCAAAGGCATTTTGCCAAAGCCCGCGAAGGCATCATGCAATATAATAGACCGGTTTCATCCATATTGAAAACATCGCACGCCGCGTAGCCGTCGAGAAGGATCCGGAGTTCCTGGCGCCGCTGGTGAAGGGTCTCTAGCTCGACTGAGACCGCCTCGCCATGCAGTCGGTAAGACTTGATGCCGTGTCGGGCTTTGAACCTCGACACCCACGAAAGCGAGAGCGTCGTCGTTACACCTGCGTCCTCGAGTAGTTGATTGGACTTCTGGTGGAGAATGAAGTCGGTCAACGTGACTTTACTTTGAGTGTCGAGCACGAAATGGAAAGCGCTTTCTCCACCTCGGCATGTCTGCCCTTCTGCTGCCGTTTGGCTCTCGGATTGAGGGTGACAGGAATGTCCTTGCTTAGAATCCTGCTGATCGTGGACCGTGCAACACGGACCTCAAACTCTCCCAGCGCCCATCGAAAGAGATCGTCTTGCGTGAGTCCAGGGTTCTCTCGCTGGTGTGTCTGTAGAGCTCTCTTCTGGACGAAGGAAAGGTGCGTTCGGGGCGCCATTCGTACGTCGTGTTTGTCTGCGGAGGTGTTCGTAAATTGCGAATTGTCCTTGCATGGGGAGAATGGGACGGGTGGCGGGCGTCACTTCGTTCTTTTGTCCAATAGCTGTGCGATAGAAAAAAAATACACTTACAATTTGTATGTTTTTTTTGGGTCCAAAATGCGGTTTTAAACTGTGTCTGTCCTAGAACCGTGGTCCCTCTAACTGTGAGCTATCTGTAATACCTTTGTCAGAAAACAAATCTTAAAATGAATAGGGATTATATATATAAGATTTTGAAGGAAGGGTGTGAATCTAAGGAATAGGGGCGTGAATTTACCAACTCTCTATATTTAATACTGCTTTAATTTTACCAGCAACAAGTCCTTTTCTCGGTTGAATTCCCTTTCTCTGAGTCGATTACAGAGGTAGCGAGGCACCACTCACACCGCTGCCAGTGAAAAAAGACCCACACTGGTTGTCGAGTGTGTTGCTCTGGTGCCCCTTTGCATATTAACCTATGAGAAGGGGACATACTTGATCGCATTCAGTACGTGTAAGGTACACCTAACTGCAATATTTACTGATATGGAGCACGCCCTTACCAGCTGACTGGTAATACCTTGTGTTGACTGGACACAAAGCTGCGTGCTCCCGACGTCACGAAAACGTGGCGTGAGGAAGCGCAGAAAAGTAAACAGAACTAAGAGCTCTGTGTAGGGAAAAAAGTAGAACTTCATTTGATATCATTAAGTTTCTTTGTAAATCGTCTTTGTCTTTATTTAACCAAATTAAATTACAATCTTCTATGTGGGTTTCGTGCTCACCATCCGTTGCACGCGTCATGCAGCGAATGGTAGATATTTTAGTTTGATGTAGTGTCTACATCAACCAAACGCAGAGCACCCCAGAATATTAGCCTCGGGGGTAATATTCCGCCATTAATGCCTCTTCACAAGTGATATTGATTTAATATTGTCTAAATTTATATTAATCAAAAATTGATACAACTTCATTAATCACCCCGGTACGTTTGTTGACACCCAGATAGATACGCACACAGAAGACTCACATACAGATAAGTACGATTTAAAAGTTCGCCATTCAACCCTGCTCACACTCACTAATTGCTCCAATGTTACGGGGCACCCTTTGTTTGGGGTGCCGCGAAACTTCACGTACACAAGTACGTGCAGAGGAAGCTAATCTACTTGAGCGACTCGTTTAAGTAAGGGTAAAAAGGGAACTGTATTTAATATAGTTAAGATATCAATATAACTTTAATCTTTATCGAACTATATTTAACTACGCCGTCGTATGACGACAGCCTGCTCACCACTCATTGCGCGCGTCTAGAAGCGATTGGTGGCAATCTATGGTTGATGTGTCTTTAATAACCAATTTTTAAGCAGCGAATGAATGTTATCTAAAGGGGATATCATCCCTTTGATATTATCCGAGATGGATAATATCGAAGGAATATTGTCATGCTAGACAAATTTCCTATTGACACCGTTTGTTGTCAATTTCATGTAACGGGCTACCCCGTTAGAGCAAATCTTAATATCAGGACCACAAATGTCCAAAAGTCCCAAAACCAGGACTATAGTTTAAGCAAGTTTAAAAATTTATCTATTTTGTACTTGGGTTGAGTATGCATACTAGCATAGTGTTAGCCACACTATACTCGACTGCAACATGGGATAAGAAACTGCCTGATCACTAATGAGTCTATCCAATTTTTAGACAACTGTCGCGAGTGGTCAAAAACGCTCTTTTTTTACCAACATTCGTTTACTTCTCAATTTGCGCCCACGAGCCGGTGTGCCCATTTTGGTTTGGGCACATTGCGTGCGAGCCAGGGCCCGGTCGCATGCACCCGACGAGCTCGTGACTAGTAAACTCCGTTATTGTCTTAACTCTCACGAGCAGCGGTAGCAGGTAATTATGCTGTCGATGTCGACTGTGCTGTCTAACGATCTTATGCTTTGTCTGTATGTATGTGTTGCAGTGCGTTTTAAGTGATGTCGAGTGATATCAAGTGATGTCGAGTAATGTCCAGTGATGTAAAGTGGCGTCCGGTGATATAGAGCGGCATCGAGTGGTTTCAAGTCATGTCGAGTGTCCTGCTAAACGATTGTGTGCTAAGTCCGTGTGGATATGTTGCAGTGCGAGGAGTTTGTTTGACTGACTAGGGCGCAATATAAAGACAAGTGTAATACATGCGTTATGTATATTCAGAAATTAGTACTGGTCTTAAAAGCATTAATCATTTAAAAAAAATTGTTCACTACCTCATACTGTTTATTTTGAATGGTTAGTTTGAGCGTTTAAGCGTAAGCGCAAGAAGTGGACTGAAAGAAGTCTTCGAGATGTCTCGAGTGACTGCAGCAATCGAAATTAACACTAATCACGGTACAACTGACCTGGCCTATTGTAAAACCTTTCGAACTGGCGTTGCTGCAACCGCGTACATAAAGAATTACTGATTTAATCAAAATCGACAGTGCAAGGTGTAATAACTGAGTCCCCCGGTCACGAGCTCGTCGGGTGCATGCGCCCGGGCCCTGGCTCGCACGAAATGTGCCCAAACCAAAATGGGCACATCAGCTCGTGGGCGCAAATTGAGAAGTAAACGAATGTTGGTAAAAAAAGAGCGTTTTTTGACCACTCGCGACAGTTGTCTAAAAATTGGATAGACTCATTAGTGATCAGGCAGTTTCTTATCCCATGTTGCAGTCGAGTATAGTGTGGCTAACATCAAGTATCGATCAATTTTAGACTTGTTTAAACTATAGTCCTGCTTTTGGGACTTTTGGACATTTGTGGTCCTGATAATGAGATTTGCTCACCCCGTTACATCTACCCTTCGCGGTCGCCATTACTTTTATTTTAACCTTGTCAAGCAAACATCAACAGCGGCCCCTGTGCAAGCCAGTGACCGTTTTTCTTCGAACAACGATGCAAGGGTTGTTAAACTACCCCGCCGCGGCTTTTTACTAATGCAGTGACGTTCATGACATCACTTAATGGTGCAGTCAAGCAGAAAGTGAGGCTGGAATGAATGCCTTCGTCTTGTGCTTGACATAGTGCCCAGTGAGGCCTTATTGCTTCATTACGTCCCTGTAGGTAAGACGAATCCGTACTCGTCTATGAACAGCTGTATCACCGCGATGTGAACAATTTTGATGGAACGGTGAATGAGAGACATATTTTGCTTACGCTCACCGTTTAAAACAAGACACACAGCATCTACACACACCTATATGCGCGGCCAGTATTTGGATACCACAGCCTCGCTTTCTCGTCAAACAAAACTTGATCTTGTTACATCGCCTAACTGACCACCAAATTGTTGCCGCAGCATCGGCAAAAACGCGCCTCTGCGGGATTTTGCGTTGAACACGAGCTGCAAAGACCCGGCGTTCGTCGTGGCTCACTTGCGCAAGGGCTCTTCGGCTGGGGCGTCGGGTTTTCTACAGGGCGCTCGATCAAATACGAACCTGGCACGTAACCACGACGGTCCCTTAATTCCACTAGCCACCAGCCATCGTCGTCCTATCGCACAAATGAGATTGAAGTTAGAAACCCAACACAAGCGCGTCCCGCAGATACACGCAGACCTTTTGGAGAATAGCAACTGCGTCGCCCGGATAAATAGTCAATTGTGTGTCATCCTGAGCATCGAACCGATAGCCTGCTATACCGTTGGCAACTGGAGTCATTTTAACCCTGTTCAATGACAAATCGAGACACATTTTAAGCAGCTATAACAGAGTTAACGAGCAGCGATCAAGCACGTACGGTAGGCTGGAATCTTCAGTCAAAGCTATGGCTTCGTGTTTACACTTGGCGCATACTGCTTCGCTCTCGTGTTCAAAAAAACTCTCTGCTGGACCACAAAGGCGACCAAAGAAAACTCAGTACCGCAAAAATTGTACAGCCAAATGGTAAATCAGGCGTACCTGAAAGGGAAGCACTGCACTGGAAGCACACAAAGCAGTCTGGGTGATAGAGGTGATTAAGAGCCTTGACCACCTTTCCCTTCAAAATTTTGCTGCATCGGTGACACTTTTTACTAAACCGAGTTTGGTAACAAGCTTGGTGAAACGTCTGAAAGTATTGCATTTCGTGAGCTCAGCTCACGTAACACATCCAGTGCATGAACAAGCAATACCTGGTTATCTTTTTCGGCATAGCCGTCATCTTCCGCGATAACGCCACTGCATTGGTTGCACTTGAAACACTATTCGGTACAAACAGCACTAGCATTTAGCTCGACGCTCGTAAAGATTGCACATCACGCTACCAGCAATATTCACACGAACACACGTACCTCGTAGTGGAAGTATTGGTTTAAAGCACCGACAGCTTCGCCTTCAAGAACGAGCCCGCATCCACCACACAACTCCCGATCGTCCTCATCATCAGAATAGGTACCTTCAATTTCATTCACATTTCTTTCAATCGTCGGACGTCGCGGTCTTGATTGCTCAACAGCTCCTTCTGCGATACCGCTAAGGTCGGACGATCGGTCATCACCGTATGATTCAAGGTCAAGTACCTCCGACAACCGCATCGATTCTCTTTGACCGTTTCCCATGTATCCAGCATAATCGCCATCGCTAAGGACCGAGTCCAGATCCGACACTTCCGAAACCCGAACATTGTGACCCGACATGTCGAAAGGCGTAGCCTCCAAATCAAACTGGTCAAGATTCGATGTACTGGATCGAAAACTATCTGCTCCGGGTCGGCCTTTCCCATTCAAAGCAATCGTAGTAGACTTCGGCAACACTTCAGCTTCTGCTGCACGTGAATGGGCCACCACGACGGCGTCTGCCTTAGCCTTTGCACAAGCAGCCTCCTCTGCCTCTCGTTTTTGTCGTTCTTTTTCTTCTGCCAACGCCTTCGCCACGGCAAGAGCTGCCTCTTTTTCTTTTTTGGCTCGGGCAGCAGCTCGCTCGCGCTCAAGCGCAGCCTCTCTCTCCTCTTTTTCCTTTCTTTCTGTTTCTGCAACGCAATCTCCGCAAACGAGGAGGTCGTTAAACAGCTTTGCGCCAGCCTCTTTGGAATGTTTGTTGCATGAAGAGCAGACCATGCAAAGCTTGTGAAACGCGCCACCGCCAGCTCGGTAAACTCGGCCCAAAATCTCCTTCTCGCACACGAAGCAGTGATTAACATCTTTGGCACAATCTGCATGGTATGCTTTCTTCTTGATGAGTGCGAACTCTTCATCCTCTTCGATAGGCTCGCGACAGCCTTTGCACAACAGACAAATCTCGTGAAATATCTGGTCCTTGCACACTTTCGTTCGGCCTAGAATCGTTTCCTTGCAAGCGCAGCACTTCCTCAACTTGCGTACCTCACCAGGCTGAAACTTTGTGCCACCCGACTTAGCATCGGCGCGCAAAGGCCCGTTCGGTGGCTTTGGTGCGCATGAGTCTGCAATTGCGAGCCCAAGCGGAGACTGGTATTCCACGACTGGCTCGATTCCCTGCGCGTTGTCGTCGGCAGTAAGCTGCATCTCTAAAAATCTCTGATTTGAAGCTTCCCGCGCTGCCAGAATCGCCGCGTCAGTCACGGGAGTAACAGGATTATCAATGTGCAAGTACGAGCCCGGTACAAGGCCCTTCTCGCCATTCTTAATGATGAACCACCAGCCGTCACTGTCCTTGCGCACAACATCCACCTCGTCACCCTTAGACAAAGCCAGCTGCGTGCTCGGGTCCTGCGGCACGAAGTTAAAAAGTGCCTCTGCTCTCTCCTTGCGCACGGGTTCTTGGACGGTCTGTACTCTGCAGCACACACAAAACACACAGCACGTTGTCCAATCGACACGCAATGACACGACCTCGCGTCAGTCAGTCGCCGATGCAATCGATCGCTCCTCTCTGTGTCCGTACAAAGCGCTCACCCTATCATCTTGATACGCGCGGCTGCAGTAAAGGCTGTCGGCACCGCTGGGACACTCATGTTGTCGCCTCCAGGCACCTTGGACGCCATCTTCCACGGGTTTTCCTTGGCCGTGACCTGCCAACCACCACAAGCAGCTTCCACTCAGCTCCAGCTCTGCACATTCAACAGCTGCGCAATCCACGCACCGCTGCCTCGCCGCACTTGTTGCACGCGTCGGTTTCCACAAAGTCCCCGCATCTGCCACCACAAGAGCAAGCGACTCCGCACAAGTTCAAATCAACCGCATCCTGCCACAAGACGTCAGCTCCATAAACCGCGACGCACCGAGGGCAGAAGCTCGGCATGGCCTCCAGTTGCGCTCTCTTCCACTCCGCCAAGGGAACGACTGAGACTGACGAAGCGCTCCGTTCCCCCCTTCCCTGCTTTACGACACCGCGTTCGCTGCACACGACGGACGGGAAAGAGCCGGGGCGACGTGAAATACAGTTGAGATTTGTATCCGCCGTGGTGTCATCGCGACGAAACGAGCACGTCAATTGGACGATTGGCAGAGACCTGCGGTCATGCTTTTCATTGGTCAGAACTCTGCTGCGTTTTAACGAATCGCTGCACAGCGACGTTCTTGGCTGGCATCACAAGCGCACAGGATGATCGTGGACGCGCTGCGAGCTGGCGCACTGTCTGCCAGAACGCTGCTACGTGTCCACGAACTTGGACTCTGTGCGCGGTGCTGCATGCGCTTCGCGTCAATTGAGGACTTGGCTGTCTACGCGTGCGTTATCTGGCGAACAGGGCGATTGATTACCATAACGTCGCCCGTGACGCACGACCAATGTCCTTAGCTGATAGTAGCTCACGTCTTCTTGCTTGGTGGTTTTTGCTGCCACAAAAGATATCCGGAAGAGGAACTGGTGCAGGCCATGCACCAATTTTGCAAGGAGAGCGACGTGGCGATCCTTGAGCCGCAGCAAGTGTCGGGTACGTGGCACGGATGTGTCAATGAGATAGCGTTGTAGCTGACGCGTTGTGCTAGAATGCACGTGCTGTTTGGGCGTCTTGAATGGGACGTTTTTCGCCAAGGTGCTGGTGGATGTGCAGCAGTTGGCGGAGAAAGCGGACTACGACGTCAAGGATTTCGCTCTCAACATAAAGCTGCCTGGTGTGGTGCTACTGCGCGAGTACTCGCTGTTGCACTTTTTGCGCTCGGACACCGAGAAGTTTCCACGCAAAATACTGATTGACGTAAAAGATGTGCTGAAGGTCTGCAGCGTGTGATGATTGTGGAATGCGGCTATTTTATACGGGCCGGTGTTCATCTTCTTTGTTTGGACAGTCTCTATTAGCACCATCCATTTCGCGAATGCTGTCGGATGCCGAATGCGTTACAATGGGTGACTTTGCAGTCTTGCTTGACGTCAAGCATGATGAATCCGTTGACGAAGTGCGCCAGATCCCGTCGATTAAGGTATGATGGTTAGTGCTGGACTTAAAGTGATTTAGTGTGTCATGTTCGATCTGAATTTCGTATTTTTCGTCTCTTTTTTCCGCAGAAACAGCTAGAGGGATCACGAAAACGTGGTCGTGGTCCACTTCCTGTATTTGATGGATTTGGTGCAGTGTCTCGCGCTCTCGCTGCGCTTAAAACAATGCCCGATACTATAGAAAGTCCGCCAAGTCGACTTACAACTACGCCACGCGCTGTAATTACGCTCGAGCGCGACCCGGTATACATGCAGGGACGATACCTTAAATTTCAGCGAGGACTGAGCCAGACACCGTGGGTTCTGGACGGCAAGCGGATGGGTGAATCTTCTGTGGAAGAGTGCATTGGCGAGATCGCGTTGCCCTTTTTTCGAGGTTCAGGCTACAAGTTTCACACAGCTGGTCGTGAAGATGTTGACGTGCGTATGCTCGGAAATGGAAGGCCATTTATTTTGGAGATTTTAGGTGAGTCAGAACTAAAGCTTGTATAGCATGTTTGGAGTGATTGTGAGTGTGCGAATTTACCCGTTCTTGTTGCTTCCAGACGCCAAGAAAGCGTACCTGGAGCAGCCTGAGTATGACCAGATACAAAAAGTCGTGAACGTTGCAAATCGTGGTGCTGTTGAAATTGTCCAAGTCAAAAGCTCTACGAAGGACTATTTTGCGGGACTTCAAGCTGGCGCGGACTCCAAGATGAAAACCTACTGGTACTTTGTTGTCTTTGCTGTACATCCTGCTTGTGTATTTAGCTGACGGAGATGACGCTTTTCATCTGGTACAGTTGTGTTGTGTGGTCGGAAGGAGCGTTAACGCCTGATGCTATTGCAAGCATCGATGCAATTCACAACCTTACTATCGAGCAACAGACTCCTGTTCGCGTACTACATCGTCGAACACAGATGACTCGGCCGAAGATTATTCATTCTGCGAAATGCGAGGTGCTTAACAAACATTATATGTTGTTACGCCTTGTAACTTCTGCGGGGACGTACGTTAAAGAGTTCGTGCACGGTGATCGGGGTCGTACTACTCCAAATGTTGCATCGATTTTGGTACGCTTCATGGATATGGCTAAGCGTTCTGCTCTTACGCTGACTTTACCTTCGTTTGTGGTGCTTGAAATCAGGGCTGTGATGCTGACATTATTCAGCTTGATGTCGAAAACCTCATCGATGCTCAGTAAGGCAGATTACTCCTACGATTGTTTTATCAATCCCATTAAGGTGGTTTCTGTCACCCACTTTTGCGGTTACTTGCCTTCGTCTTGAAATGCCAAAAGTTCTTACTGTGACACATCTTTTTAGTTTGGTCGACGAGATTTTGTTTGGCTTATGGAAGTGCAGCAGGAACGTTACAACGTCAAACGTTTTCTTTGGCAATTGACGTCAAGGCTTCAAAGCAACCGTCGTCAGGGGCACTGCTTCAAGAATACATCACACAAGTCCTACTTAAGCATCGGCATGCTGCGAAATTGTAGCCGCGGATCAATTATCGTGTTACTTGCGGAGAATAATCGGCAAACGGATCGACGTATGTCTTTTGGTCGACCTTACGATGCTAGGGTGAATGTCACATCGGAGTGTGAAGGCGACCGATCATCAGGAAAGCACTTCCGATATCTGTTGGTCGCTCATTATAAAGTCGTGGCAGCACTTCTGACCTAGTCGCCCTGCAGCAATCACGTCGACTCCTCTGTTAAGTTGTCATATCTCCCGCCATGGCAAAGGTCACCAGCACTGGCATCGAGCGATGTCAGTGATACAGATGGGAACAACGTGCAAATGCGTTCCGCACTTCTAACATGATAAGCAAAGCGGTCCAAGCATACATCATTTCGAAGCGACTATTCAATCCACTTTGTGCTTCGTGTACACCGCTGGACTACGATCGAAACTCCACCAAAGCCCTGTCTTCACGCGTATAGGATGACTCGGTGCAACCGGCTTATCGTCAATACATACGTCCACTTCGTGCTTGCTATCTGCCATACCTGAGTGTTTACTTATTTCACAACTTGAAGCTTCAGATCCCGAATTTGGACTTCCTTCTGCACGAGCACCTTCGCTACAGCCAACACTCACTACAATTATTAGACCAATGGAAAGTATCCGTGGCTTTCTCGTCTTCAGTCTCGGACGAAAACAAGTCACGACATGGGTTTCCTACAGCTGCGATTGCTGCGATAAGAAGGCACGGAAATCAGCTGTCGTCGCAATTCTAGCGCTATCACTTGCATAAACATAACAAATGCACACGTGAATCGATGCACATATTTGCACAGGCGCCTTCGGAGAAGTTCCGCTTCGCACCAGCCACACACCTTCTGCTAGGGTCGATTTGTGTAGTGTGGCCTGAGCACAATGACTGAATGTTGAACGAACCAACAATCACGATGCGACAGAAGTCTTTCGTCCAGTGACATTCAGACGGCGTGCTTGCGGACCGTGGCGTTCATCGAATACTCAAGCGCGTGAGTCAAGCATGAATAATTGGACGCTGGGCGGCGCGCCGACACTTTCGACGCTGTCCTCCATGCGCGGCTGGATGTGCTGCATATGTTGCGAGCCCTGCCTGATCCATACTATCGGCTCCTTTCGACGATTGTGCACGCATCAGTTGTGTCGCTGCATGGAACTGATGGGAAGCATCAGGGTGTGAATCCCAGAGAGCTGGTCCTAGCAGCTTGTGTCCTTTTGACGATGAATAGCACATGTTCGACATTGAGGCACGACCGACACCATTCGCGACTCGAACGCGCGGGATCGACAGACCACGTATATTACCGGCAGACTCTCAGTCCACGAGCTGTTTACTGTCCAGAAAGCGACTTGCTCACGCAAGAGGTCCGATGTTTAGTATCATTACTAGCGTTATGAAACCTGATAAGCTGTCGCTAATCAGGTCAACCTTGTGTCGATGCGGTGGGATACGGAGGTCCATCATGTCAGTAAGAGTCCGACACTTTATCGAAAGCCCGAATTGATGAGTTGAACTGTCCAGGTCGGTCAGAATGACATCATACAACTCTGCATTTGGTTATGTGACAGGACGCCGAAATTTAGTATCGAACGACGCATTGTCGTCCGTCACGAATAACGGAATATGAAATGTGATTTTGAGGCCTGCGTAGCATCACCGGGTCACGCAGGGTACCAACGCCTCCATCGCAACATTACGATTCTCAAATGACTCCTCAGAGCTATGAGTCATCATATTCGCGTACAACTCCCTCGTTTCGATTGCAGCTTGTTTTGGCACAATTACTGCTTTGTTTGGTGTCCATTCAAGCAAATTGGTGTGTACCTAATCTGTTCGATGCAGTTCAAATCCGTAAATCAATAGATGACACGAGTTTCTGTTTACCGCGTCCTTATGGTGCGGGAATGAGGTCGAAGACTAGAGCAACTTCAGTTAAGGCGAAACGAACTCTATTTAATGGTGGTTAATTGAATCTACTGAAAATAGCGAGCGTGTCGTATCTCCACAAAATAGTGATGATCAATCCAGCGCGTGGATCAAGATGATTGGTGGATCATGACAAAATAGGATGGGAAATTTCAACCAATACAACATAAGATGAGTGCTCGCTGTCTGCGTTTTACGTGGACGGTCATTCTGCATCTTTTCAAATATTAGGATCAGAAATTTGAAACGAGCTCGCCATTGGCTTACAACCATAATTCTAAAAGCGCAATTTACTTCTCGCATCTAAATATTTTACTTACGCCCAAAGCGTCACTAAAACTTTTACGCGGACTGAATCGAATTGGTGAGGGGTACGCTTACGGTACGTAAAGTAAACCCTTTTGCAAGCATCACCTGCTGATCAGTACCAAAATTAGCTCAACACCTGACGCTATTTAATCATCAAAGAAGGGTAAGTGATCGACGCTGGTAACTTCTGAACTACGATGGCAATCGCGTGGGGGCGGCGACTGCTGACAGCGCTCGTGGGGATACCAATGGCGCTCTGCCTGTTGATCTCCGACCTCGGCATGCTGCTCCTGGCTACAGCTTTGTGCTGCCTGTCACTCATCGAGTTCACTTGCAACATCTGTCCACCGATCGTGGCGCCATCAAAGACAGTGGCGAAGGAGCCCTTGCATCGCCTGCTTGTAGTTGCGTCAGGCGCTACGTTGTGTGTAGGCGCATGGACTGGCAGTAAATTAGTTTATAGTAGGGAGACTGTTGCACTGAACTGGTATAGATAGCAGTTAAAGCTGGGGGAACTGATTTTGTCGTGTCGTGCTGTTGCAGACGCCGTACGTCTCGGGACGATGCTGGCAACCTCTACTTTCCATGTTGCCACTGCGAGAAAAGTAGACCACACATGTCGGTGAATGCATATAAACTATGTGGAGTGATGCCGCTGCGGCTTGACACGAGTCGTGTTGTGTGTTGCAGCGTTGATCAAGTTGTTGCTAGACCTTTTCGCGCTGCTCTACATCGTAGACGGCTTTGGCCACGCCATTTTGCTACGGTATAGCTCCGTCAAGTACGGACTGGGATTGCAGCTGCTTGGACTTTGCTGCGCTTGGGTCTGTGATAGTGCTGCTCTTCTCGCAGGGTTCTCTATGGGCAGCAAAAAGCTGGCACCGGTTGTAAGTCCTGGCAAGACGTGTGTCGGTACCGTCGTTGGGATTGTCTCGAGTATCACCACAGTACTGGGTATGTTTGCGTTTTCGGACTCCATGACCGCGTTGCCAGTAATGAGAGAAAAGTGGCTGCACTGCCAGCTACCCCCGCCAGAGATGGTACCTTTCGCACACCAAGTGGCGTTGGGTACCGTGCTTGGTGTCTTGTGCATCGTTGGGGACCTCGTAGAGTCATTCGTTAAACGCGTGGCCGGAGTAAAAGACTCAGGGACCTTTTTTCCAGGTCACGGTGGCTGTCTCGACCGCATGGACAGCTTCTTGTTTGTCGCGCCGTGTCTGTATTACTACTGCCAGTTCGCACTCACATAGCTACGTGTGTGTGTTGTACCGGTACATCAATAGAGACTCAAAGTTCAGAGCTTGCTGCTGTACTAGTGATTTACAATGTGGCATCAACGGCCTCCTCAACTATCGCTCCAATATTGTGCTTGATCTCCGACTCCGACGGCTCACTTACCAGTAAAGACTTTGTCAGCGCTGCCAAGGCCAAGTCTTCAACGCCGACGTCCCCCCTCTTTGTCTTCGAGTTCTTTCGAAGAAACTTCTGGCGGTCCTTACGAGACCCACCAAACTTGCTCGAGTACCCTCGAATGCGCTCCCTGCATCCATTCGATCGCGTCAGTCCACAACAGCACGCGGCTCATAGACGCAGCATCTGAGCACAAATGGGACTGTACACGTACGTGATGACGCCCGCGTCGATGTTGTCGAGCTTGAAGGAGGTTCTGCGCATCGCCAACGTGTAATCCGTTACTTTACCGTCGCCCATCCCACGCAGAGCGTCCATCTTGGCGATCGACTCGGCTTGTTGACGAGCGATCTCGTCATACACGCACTGCTCGTTCTGTTTTGTGCAGTAGTAGTACATGGCTACACACACGAGCAGCAAGACGCACATGTTCGAGCCGAAAGAAGACTGCGCACATTCATTGAGTGCGACAAAGACGTGACACACATTTGTTCATACAACAGCGCACCTTCACCATGCCCCTAGCAATCACACAAAAGACGACGAGGAGCAGCAGGTATTGCGTCCGGAGCTGCATGGCGTCGCTGTTGCGTCTTTTATTTTGAATCGGACTTCAGAGGTGCGCAATTTTGAGCAATGACACACTGGGTTTTAGACTTCTGTCAGAAATCCTACAATCTCTGCATTCATTTATGTGATACAACCGCACACTCGCGTTACGGCTGGTACAGCCTATCGATGCGACATGCAAATAGTACAGCGACTCTGTACCAAAAAGCCGCCAACCCTTTCCAAAATGCGATTTTGACAATTCGAGCGCAATTCTCTCGGTGAGGTAAACATCTAACCGTGAGCTTTCGCTATTTGTTGTCCAGTATCAAATTTCTTAGTCCCATCGGGGATGGAGATGTGCTCAATCTTTTGCGCAAGTTTGCTTTGGATGTAATTTATGATAATATTGCAGCAAACAGTGCTCCAATTTTTAGACAGCGGCATAAATGGTGACGTCAGTGCCTTTTGCAATAGGCCATGTCAAGTTTTGTCTGTTTGAAAGTCTTTTTATAGGTAAGACAGACGCTTTGCACACTACCAATAATATCGGACAAGAGAGACACAAAAACAAAAGCAATGCTCCCAGTAGAAGTGCACAATCTGATGCAACTTTTCTGATCACCATACCACTTTTTTACGCCACGTAGAAGCAAGACCGCGATTACGTGTCTGAGGTGGGATTGACACTCGCGTTGTCAATGTCGTGCCAGATCAATAGACCGCTCTGGTGCACTCTCATAATCGTCAAAAGTCGCTAGGATGCGTGTACTTAACGTGGATGATCATGTCGTTGCATATCGGCTTGCATACATGTAACGGGGTGAATCGTTACATAACAATTTATAAGAAATTGTTAATAGAATATAACTATAAGAGTTATATTCTCAGAATATTGTCATAAGGACAAATATTCTGTAGCACTTACGAGTAGTTCCTAATTGGTTGATATAGGCCATTAAATCAACCAACGAAGACGCGCCACGACAGACGCACGCAATGAGTGGTGAGCAGATAACCGATTTACACATTTGTATTTAGACATAGTTAGATGAAGATAAATAGTGATTTATTGCAGACATTAACTATACTAAATACAGTTCTACTTTTTACTTTAACCAAGTACTCGCTTCTTCTTACCGTCTTCCTCTGCACGTACGAGTGTACGTGAAGTTCCGAGGCACCGCCTTATTCTGTCATCAGAATAAGTAGCTTGTACTGTCACCAGTACAAGCTTCAGGGTGCCCCGTTACACCTGGTAGCACTTCGTAGTCCGTCCAAGGACCGCGTTCACATCCAACATGAATATGTTGGATGATGAAGATGACCAAAGCTTCCACGCTACGCGTGACGGCTACTCCCATTCGAGCGATGTCGAATGGGATGCGGTTGAACGAATGGGTTCGACCATGGGCATCCATGCTGTTAGTGTAATGGGGCAACCCATTATATTAAGTAGTCATAGTTTTATTACATAATTACGTACATTAAGTGTAGGCAGTATCCGGATAGCGGATACTGCGCGTCTATTTATTATTGGTTTATTATTGGGGTGCCAGACCCAATAATTAGCCAATAATAATTAGTTCTGTATTTGAGTGGTTCCCATGAGCTAGGGAACATATTCGCACTTACTGCGAATTGTAAAAACACAAAAATACAAACAGAGTTAAATTTACCTTATAGATCACAGCGCTTCCTCAGCTTTATTATTAGTGTAAGACGGTAACGGGCTCTCACCCCGTTACACCTGGTAGCACTTAGTAGTCCTTCCCATGACCAAGTTCGAGATGGATATGAGTGAATCTTCGATGGCTCCAGCAGTTTCGCTGGAGCATGCAGATTTTCCCCATCTCACTACGGTAGAATGGCAGGCATTACACCGCCTCGCGGCGGTGTCTGGTGAAATCTTCGTGACGTCGCTGCTGAGCACAGCGGCGCCCGAACAACACCGTGCCGCCATTCAAGACTACATGGTGCGCGAGCTCGCCGAAGCGAACCGGCGAGTACATACTCCCTCGCGCCCCTCCCATTACGATGCAATTAAAATGGAGACGTCGACATACTCTGGTGATGGTCCAGATCGTCTCCCCCTTAATCGCTGGTTTAGGGAGATTGACATCGCCATAGCGTCAAGGTTGATTGACGCTCCGACGGCCAAGGTTAATTTCCTACTGTCTCGGCTTGTTGGTAAAGCCAAAGAATGGGCTCTTGGGAAGCTCGTTATAAACGAGTTGGCATTCCCCACGCTGGACGATATCCAGCGCGACTTACGACTGGCGTTCGAGCCCCCTCAAGATGAGTCACGCTTGCGCGCAGATTTCTTTTCACTTCGTCAGGGCAAGCTGTCGATGCGTGATTACGTACAGAAGACACGACATATTGCTTCGTGTATCATCACGCAGCCGATCGACATGGCTTCGCAAGTTCATGTCTTTGTCTTTGGTATGCAAGAGGGCATGACCCGCTATTACCTCACACGTGCTGAACCTAAGACTCTTGAGGAGGCATTTGCCCTCGCGCTTCGTGAAGATTACACGGTCGCATCGTCATATTTGCAGGCAGCGTCGCAACGCCCGCGTACGTCTGGCCCAGAGCCTATGGAAATTGACGTTATCGATGCATCTCGTGATCGCGGCAAGCAATTTGGCCGCGACATTCGAAGTCAAAACACGATGAAGTGTTATCGGTGCGGCAAGACTGGCCATCGTGCGGCCGTCTGCCGAGCACCAGCGCCGGTGTCCATGAACACAGCTGTCTCACGTGGAGATACTGTGTCGTCAGTGGTACCGCCAAAAACGAGCGGTTCCAGTAGGTGCGGGGCGCCCTACTGGCAGTAATGGAGCCCCGAGTACTCAGGTGGCAGCTCGGGCTCCTAGCCCTAAAGTGATACATACCCACTTCAATGCCACCACTATGCGCGACGATTCGAGACTGATAATTATCAGTCTCATCGTTGCTGGAGTTAAACGACCACTTCGAGCGTTGTTGGATTCGGGTGCATCCAACAACTTCTTTCGAGCATCATGTTTGTCCCTTCTCCCGTCGACAGTTACGGTTCGAGAAGGTCCAGGTGACATCGTTGTCAAACTTGCTGATGGACAACCACAGCGTGTCCCGCGTAAAACAGTGGTTTTGCCGTACACGTTCGACGGCTTCCAAAGTAATGACGAATTTTTGGTGTACGAGATGAATTATGCATTCGATTGCATCTTGGGGATACCGTGGCTGTCACGGTATCAGCCGACGATAGACTGGCTATCTCGGTCCGTCAAACGACGAAGCGGTTACGACGTAAGTGAAGTTTTCACTCATCTGTTGGTAGCGCCATCCGATTGGCCTCACGTCAGGGTCGTGAACGAACTCGCCACGACTAGAAGTCAGCACAGAGAGAGCGATGGCCCTCTATGTCCGGTATGTTCAGTCACACTGATAGAACCACAACACGAGGCGGTCGAACAGAGGTTCCCGCAAACACAGACATCGGTCGAGCAGGGGCTCCCGATTCACAACGAGACGGTCGAACAGAGGTTCCCGCACACACAGACATCGGTCGAGCAGGGGCTCCCGATTCACAACGAGGCGGTCGAACAGGGGTTCCCGCACACACGGACATCGGTCGAGCAGGGGCTCCCGATTCACAACGAGGCGGTCGAGCAGGGGCTCCCGCATACACACACAACGGCCGAGCAGAGGCTCCCGATTGTAACCGAGGTGGTCGAGCAGATGCTCCCACATACATCTGAGGTGGTCGACGACGAGCTCCCGCCTCTTATCGACGAGAATGAACGGGCTGTGGACTTAAATGTGAACGACGTGGTGGAGACAGAGCTCCCACGTCTAGCGGGGGGTACTTCATCCTCCAGCGACAGCGACGTTCCAGCCTCAAGCAGTGGCTCAAGACGCAAGAGAAAGCGTAAACGCAAGAAAGGTGCACGCCGATCACCAAGACGACGAAATTCTCGCTCAAGCGCCGTTGACGATGATACTGTATTGACGGTATCCGTTTGTGCGCTTGAATATGTGGAAGGGTCTTCACATCGTGGCCGCTACGTTGAGGTAGCGAGCCCTCCGTGCACTGTTGCAGAGATCACATCTCTATTAACCCTACCATGGAAAGATTTCCTTCACGACCTCAAGTCCGGCGACATCGAGCAAGTGTGCATCATATCAGCCGCCGAAGCAGCTAGTGGAGAAGTTCTGGAGGCTCGCCCAAAGAGCGCTGAGCCCAAATCAGCGCGCGAAGAACGTTTCGTGGCACAGTCTTGGGAAGCCCTTCGTGCTTCGGGCAACCCTGTCTATGATATCGCGCGTGAGTATGCCGACATCTTTCCGGAGAATATCCCCGCTGAGCTTCCAGCGGATCGTGGTGTGCGACACGAGATCGATCTCGTGCCAGGATCGAAGTATTGCGTGACGCGGCAGTGGCCGCTACCGCGTGACCAAGTCATCGCAATTGATGAATTTTTTTAGGACCGCCGTAAGGCAGGACACGTCCGCGAAAGCATATCGCCACATTCGAGTCCGACTTTCTGTGTGAAGAAAGCCACCGGCGGTTGGCGCGTCGTGCATGCGTTTAACAAGTTGAATGACGCCACGATCCCGGCTCAAACACCAATTCCTCGGAAAGACATGGTACTGGATACCATGTCCGGCAGCGAGATTTTTAGCGCCATAGACCTGACAGACGGGTTTTACCAGATTTTAATGAGGGACAGTGATATCCCGTTCACCGCTGTCAGCACACCGAGTGGGATGCTTTGGGAGTGGCTAGTCATGCCACAAGGCCTTAAGAACGCTCCAGCAACGTTCAACCGGATGGTGACACAAGTGCTTCGGCCACTACGTGATTTCGCTCCAAGTTATTTCGACGATATTTTTGTTCACAGCCGCGCTGAGCAACGACTCAGCGCTACGGAGGTCCACCTTCGGCATTTGAAACAGGTGTTCCAAGTGATGCGCGAGAACAAACTGTACGCAAATTTGAAGAAGTGTGTCTTCTGTGCTCCCGAGATTCCAGTTCTTGGATGCTATGTTAGCAAGGAGGGTGTCCGTGCTGATCCCGAGAAAGTGTCATCGATATGTTCCTGGCCTACGCCCAGGAACCAAACGGAACTACGCCAATGGCTTGGCTTGGCCAATTACTTGCATAAGTATACGAAGAACTATGCAGAACTAATCCAGCCACTATCGACTCTACTGAAGAAAGACGCAGTTTGGTCATGGAAAGCTGAACATCACTCTGCCTTCAACTCTGTGAAAAAGAGCTTGTCTGAAGCACCAGTGCTGATGTTGCCTGATGATTCCAAGCCATTTCACGTCGTATGTGATGCGAGTGATTTCGCTATTGGATGTGCCCTCATGCAGTTTGACGATGAGGGCCGAGAGCGCGTCGTGAGCTTTCAGTCACGACAGATGAAACCCGCAGAGAGGAACTATCCGGTACATGACAAGGAACTTTTGGCTATGCGTTACGCGCTGATCAAGTTCAGAGTATATCTGCTCGGCGAGAAGATGTTTTCGGTCTATACAGATCACGCATCATTGCGTACCGCCGTCAAGACTCCCCACTTGTCCCAGCGTATGGCACGTTGGTTGTCATACTTCTCAGAGTATAATTTCGTGGTCTTTTACAAACCCGGCAAGAACAACATTCTTGCTGACGCGCTTTCTCGACGTCCTGATTATGATCCTCGACGTGACATGGGTCATCAGCCAGGCATTGCTGAAGACGAGGACGACGACATTTGTTTATGCTGTGCTGAGCAGGGGCTCAATGCAATGATTTCGACACCTGAGCTGTCAATCCGGACTCAAATCGCTGAGTCATATGCGAACGATTCATTCTACACGGGAATCATCAATTATCTTCGACACCCTAGTGAGGGTTCACTCGCGAAGTTGACGAAACCAACGCGTGACAACATCAAGCGGTACGCGCTTGATGGTCCGCTGCTGACTTATACAATGGACGTTTTCGACCCACCGCGCGTCGTCATCCCTGCTGATGACGACCTCCGCGCACGATTGGTGCATGAATTTCATGACACTCCAACTGGTGGTCATTTGGGTCGCGAGAAGACGTTCGCGGCCATCTCTCGTGTGTTTTTCTGGCCGCGTATGTACAAATACATCCAGAAATGGGTACGCTCTTGTGAAATATGCCAGCGTGTGAAGCCTGCGCCGTCTTCACAAGCTCCATTGCGTCCGCTTCCGATTGCCACGGAAGCCTGGCGTTCGGTCAGCATGGATTTCATCTTTGGTCTCCCTCCGGACGAACAGAAACGCACGGGCGTATTGGTTTTTGTGGATCGATTTAGCAAAATGGTGCATTTTGCTCCAGTCTCCGCGCACGTTACGGCGGAGACGACCGCGCAGATCTTCATCGATCTCATATTTCGACATCACGGCTTGCCTGAATCAATTGTTTCGGACCGCGACCCGCGCTTTACATCAGCTTTTTGGGCAACGTTGTTTCAACTATTGGGCACGCGACTGCTTATGTCTACGGCAGCCCATCCAGAGACGGATGGGCAAACGGAGCGCGTGAACAGAGTGCTTGAAGATGTACTACGCAGTTATGCGACATCGTTCCAGTCGTGGAGTTCGTTTCTCCCTCTCGCTGAATTTGCAATCAACAACGCAATTCATGCGTCGACTGGGTTAACGCCATTTTTCGTGAATAACGCGAGGCACCCTCGCGTTCCAGCGCTTCTTGCTCTTTCAGCTTCAGCACACCCAGTTTCTCAGCTTGGTGGGGGAGTATCTCCCGATGACACTACGCGAAAATTTTTGATGATTGGTAATGTTGAAGACAAGGTTGCTGCCGATGCAACTCATACTATTAATTTCGTGGCCAATGGCATATCGAGTCCCGACGCGATGCATCCCATCGCGTCTCCCGTCGCTAATTTTGCTCCTAAAGAGTCCACTTCTCCTGTAAGTTCGGCTGCTGTGACCGAATTCCTATTACTACGGCAAAGTATCACGCGTTTTGTACGCGATGCACTCCAAGAAGCAGTGGATAAACAAAAGGAGAACGCGGACAAGCGAGGTCGAAAGAACTTGCTGACGTTCAAAGAAGGTGACAGAGTCTTACTATCGACAAGCGGATTACCAGACACGTCAGTAACGAATTTGGGCGCTAATAAATTAGCGCCAAGATATATTGGGCCCTTTCGGATTGTTGAAGTCCATGGAGATGCTTACACGCTAGACATACCTACCACTATGCGTTTGCACCCGACTTTCTATGTCGGGCGCCTTAAGGCTTACCTGCCGGCGGATCTCCCTTTGGTCCTTCCTCACTCGTCTGTATCGGCTCAAAGTCCGACACCCCCTGCCGACGACGCTGACGACGACTGGGACCAAGTCCTAGACGAGCGCGAGCAGACTCGTTCTGCTGGGGTCCACCGAACGCAGCAGTCTCGAGCTGTCGCAGACGCTCCACCAAGCCCTGCTGCTCCCGTCGGGTTCTCTCGGAAGCCTCTGTCGCAGCTGCTGCACGATCTCGAGCCCTCTCGGCCATCTCACGGGCATCCAGAAGGCCGTTCATCGCCTCTTCAGTGTCAGCACGAAGGAAACGAAGCTCGTCACACGACGGCACAGGCGCCCGATTATGAGAATCGGCGCCCAACCCAAGAAGCCTTCCGTCGTGATGCTCCTCCCTTGGTAGATGCATCGGGTGAGCGACGCTGGATTGTGGACCGTATCGTCGGTCATGAAGACCCCACGCCTCTTGCGCCGAGTAGTGGCTCGGCGCCATCGAAGAGTCGTTCAGAAACGCATTACAAGGTCCGATGGTTGGGTTATTCACCAACGGAAGACACGTGGGAGCCTCGAAGTATGCTGGCTCACGATGTTCCTGACGTCGTTGAGGAGTACGAGACCAGTAAGAGGTCGGCGAACGCGACCGACGCTGCTGACTCCTTCCACGATCCCGCGAACCGTAACGTGCGTGAATTGGCGATCGACGACGATCTCCCGAGCGACCCCGACGTCTTCTACGAGGCTCGGGAGCATTTGGATACCTTGACGGTCGAGAGCGACTACGAGAACGACCTCGGTGGTCGTAAGACAAACGATCTCGACTACGTGAACGCCTCCATTGATCGACAGGGCGTTCCCTCATGTGACGAAACGCAGATACTTGGAGCTCTGAGAGGCTCCTCTCATAGCGTCCGATCCATGGTCGGATGTGCTGGGGCATTCTCCGTGCACACACCATGTCGTCCCATTCCTGCCGCATTGGTCGCGGTCTCTCCATGTGACACCGTGGACACCCTTCACGGACATGGACGTAACACATGTGGAACCCATCACGAGTCAAATGACATACGCGTCGTCGTAAGTCGCCAATAGCGTGGTCGCCATGAGTACTTTCGCGTCCCTCGATCCAGGACGTGAAGGATGCCCCTTCACTCGCGTTCCAACGTCTGATGAAGGCACACCAAGATCGTTGCAGTGCGTCTTCAGTGTATGTGTGATTCGTTCCCTTGCCTCGAACGTTACGGTATCGTGTGAAGAGATTCTTCATTGTCTCAGGTGTATCAGGTTGGTGCGCGCCTTCAAGGCTGTACAAGCCCCACGGCTTCAAGTCGTCATCCATGGTCTGCGGTGCACGCTCTCTTCGAAGTGTCTGATGACCCCAACTGTCGTTTGGGGTCGAGTCGCGTGGGTGTTCAGGATTCATGCTGCTCAGTTGTTTGTGGCTGAGCAGATTCGAAGACCAAGATGACGTGTCGTTGGAGTTCTCGTTGGGCTTTTCGTTGGACTATTCGTTAAGAAGAAACTTTCTGTGTATGGCTCTTACGTCACGGTAAGCGCAACTTAAAGAGGGGGGTGATGTAATGGGGCAACCCATTATATTAAGTAGTCATAGTTTTATTACATAATTACATACATTAAGTGTAGGCAGTATCCGGATAGCGGATACTGCGCGTCTATTTATTATTGGTTTATTATTGGGGTGCCAGACCCAATAATTAGCCAATAATAATTAGTTCTGTATTTGAGTGGTTCCCATGAGCTAGGGAACATATTCGCACTTACTGCGAATTGTAAAAACACAAAAATACAAACAGAGTTAAATTTACCTTATAAATCACAGCGCTTCCTCAGCTTTATTATTAGTGTAAGACGGTAACGGGCTCTCACCCCGTTACAGTTAGCGTCATGCTAGAGGCTCTCAATAGAGATGCCCAACATGCTACTATCACCAAGTTCATTCAAAATGAACTTGACGCAGAACGCGAGAAAGTAGCCTTGCTTCACCAACAAGGTTCTCAACAAGCAGAGTTGTTGAGAGAACAGGGTGCTCAACAGTTTGAACTGTTGAGACAGCAGCAGGCTGCTGCTGGCGGGTCGATGCATTCGCGTCGACCCGAGACTTTGAAGATTGACATCTCCAAGTATAGGGGGGTCGAAGAAGACTCCCTCTTGAGATGGTTCGTCGAATTGGATGACGCCATAAGGGCGCGTCGCATCGACGACAGGGATATGCAAGTTGCATTTGCCCAGTCAAATCTGGCAGGACGTGCCAAGACTTGGGCACTGGGGCTCAAGTTGCACGACCCATATGCGTTTGGGTCGTTGGAAGTCTTCAAGTCGCGGCTCAGACAAACGTTTGAGCCGCCTAGATCTGAGTTCAGAGCTCGAACCGAACTCTTGAAGCTCAAGCAGGGTAAGCGTGATGTGCACGCTTACGCTCAACATATACGACATCTCACGAGTTGTATAAGTTCCAATCCGGTGGATGAACACACGTTGGTTTCGGTGTTCATGCAGGGTCTTGCGGATGGTCCCGTCAAGACTCACCTGTTCCGGCTTGAACTAGATTCACTAGAACAAGCCATTTTTTCCATTGCGGAGCAGGAAGATTTCAGTCTGAGACAAGCTCGCGCCAGCTCGACATCATATCGTCAACCGAGACGATATGACAACGGAGGTCCAGAGCCGATGGAACTCTGTTATGTAGAGAGCGAGAAGGCTCGCTCTACAGGCTACAAGAAGTTGCAGAGATGCAACAGATGTCAAAAGACAGGACACTACGCTTACGAGTGTAGTGCCCCTCGTCCAGTGTCTCGCGACACTGGGCGTAGTGACCGTCCACCCATGAGAAAGGGGCAGGGAAGAGGGTCCGCTGCTGGTGCAAAGACGCAACAACGGGATGGACCGTCAAAAAACGGACAGGATCAGTAGGTGCGGAGCACCCTACTGATCCAGCAACGTCAAGAGAATTTGTAGGCCTCTTGATGAAGGTTGCTCCCAACACACAGACGTTGTGCGTTGCTGCTCTAGGTAATGAGGTCTCACTCATTACCTTGAAACTCGAAGTGACGAATAAGTTGTCCCTTCGAGCTCTAGTCGATTGTGGGGCGTCCAACAATTTTGTGCGACGCCAATCGCTAGAAGATGGTCACTTTAAATTCAGTGAATGTGACACACCTCCTACGAGGATGACGGTACGTCTTGCGACAGGCGCATCCGTAACCGTCATGAAGCGTATAGTGAAGATCCACTATACGCTAGAAGATACCCAATATGACGATGACTTTATCGTATTAGATTTGGATGACAAATTTGATGTCATCATTGGAATACCGTGGCTCAGAAGGTACGAACCACGGGTAAACTGGCAACATCGAACAGTAACGATGCCTGCCGCTTGTTCATCAGATGGCCATCTGATGAACGTTTTGGAGCATCCACAAGCGTGTGGATGTACTACGAGTGAGTGCGATGGCCTCACTTGTGGTACGGTCGTTAGTACGACTGCACAAAACCTTAGTGTACCAAACGGTTACACTTCGGAGCAAAGTTCCGGCGGCTGTGAGGAAACACAGGCTGCGCCGAAGGTCCACCACTCGAATAAGTCGGGTGGACTGGGACAAAGATGTATCCCTAGCGGGGAACATCTAGAAGAGAAACAATCGATCGCTCAGGTTAAGCGAAACGATAATCCTAGATCGACTGGAGAGTCTTTCGTAGAGGATCTCGCTGTGGTTGCGCAACCCCAGCTAGAGGAAGTAAAGGGAATAAGTCCCAAGATTACAAATACGGCGGAAATAAGTTCCCCGAAACCCGCGGGAATAAGTCCCCGGGAAGCCGAAGGAATAAGTCCTTCGAAGCCTGAGGGAATAAGTCCCCAGGAAATGACAGAGACATTAAATGTCCTAGTCAATGACGGATCAAGTGTAGGCGCTTATACACTTGATCTGATTGCGCCTCCGAAGTTAACTTCGGAGATCACTCAGTTGCCAACGCTCGAACATAAAAGGTTCTTGCGTGATCTGCGTAGTGGCAAAGTCAAGCAGATCTGCATACTCGTCGCTGACGACGAGTGTGTAACCGACATAAGGTCAGCAACAGTGTTTACTGAGAGCGAGAGAGTTCTCAGTAGTTCATCTATGGACGAGAGTGTCCTAGATGAAAAGACACGAATTGAGCGATATGACTCCCAATCGTGGGAATCGCTCAAGGAAAATCCTCTCTATGAAGATTTGGTTGAATTCAAGGATGTATTCCCTGAAACTGTTCCGTGCGAATTACCGAAGGATAAAGGTATTCGACACGAGGTAGAGCTTAAACCAGGCTCGAAGTACTGTGTCATGAAGCAGTGGCCACTGCCTCGTGAACAAGTACTTGCGATCGACAAGTTCTTTGCCGATCGTTTAGCTGCGGGCCATGTGAGGGAATCAACTTCCCCACATAGCTCTCCGACCTTCTGTGTGCGAAAAGCAACAGGAGGGTGGCGGATAGTGCATGCGTTCAGCAAATTGAACGCTGCAACGGTACCGGCTCAGACACCGATACCGAGGAAGGACGTAATCATTGATGGTATGTCAAAGAGTACCATCTTTTCGTCCATGGATTTGATGGATGGCTTCTATCAAATCCTTATGCGAGAACGGGACATACCCTATACTGCAGTTAGCACGCCTAGCGGCATGCTCTGGGAATGGCTAGTAATGCCACAAGGGCTCAGTAATGCCCCTGCCACGTTCAACAGATGTGTATCACATATGTTGAGACCAGTACGAGAATTCGCGCCGAGTTGTTTCGATGACGTATTCATCCATAGTCGAGCTATGGATGGAAAGTCGGACGTTGAGGTTCACAGGTATCACGTCCGACAAGTTCTTACAATCATGCGAAAGCATCAATTGTATGCTAACCTCAAGAAGTGTATATTTGCAGCAAGCGAAATACCACTTCTTGGGTGCATCGTTGGTAAGAACGGTGTACGTCCTGATCCCGAAAAGATCAAGGCGATCACCGACTGGCCTGTGCCGGTTGATGTCAAAGGTCTTCGAAAATTCCTTGGGCTAGCGGCGTATTTGCATAAGTATTCACGCAATTACGCCGAAATGACTGTGCACCTCTCTCGTTTGTTGAAAAAGAACGAGAAGTGGTTACGGAACGCTGAATGTCAGCGCTCCTTTGAGGGTATCAAGCAGAGCTTGATACAATCCCCAGTCCTAGCAATAGCCGATCAGGACAGGCCATTTCATGTGGTCTGTGATGCCAGCGATTTCGCAATCGGCTGTGCATTAATGCAGTACGATCTTGAAGGCGTTGAACGCGTCGTCTGCTATCAGTCGCGTCAGCTGCAACCAGCTGAGCGGTACTATCCAGTGCATGACAAGGAGCTCCTTGCCATGAAGTATGCACTCGCGAAGTTCAGAGTCTATCTATTAGGAGATATACCCTTCATTGTTTACACTGACCATGCGTCATTACGCACGGCAGTGAACAGCCCGCACCTTTCACAACGAATGGCGCGGTGGTTGTCATTCTTTGCAGAATACAACTTTACGGTCGAGTACAAACCAGGACGACTTAATGTCGTCGCTGATGCACTCTCACGTCGTCCCGACTTTGAAACAGTCACGAAACCCAACAGTGAGACAGTCACTGTTGCGGTTATGACGTCCTCAGTCCCATCTACAATGTTGTATGATGATGTGAGGCGGGCATACGCCCAAGATGGTGAGATAGTGAAGTTGTTGACACATCTCTCCCAACCATCCCGAGAATCGTTGAAACGATTGTCGCCTGCGTATCTATCTGCATCAGATCGATACACTACTCGTAACGGTTTACTGTATTATACAGCCGTTTCTGGTGACACATCACGTGTTGTCATTCCAGATGATACTGATCTGCGTTTGCGGATCATGTTCGAGTATCACGATGCTCCTATAGGAGGACATCGTGGCCGAGAGAAAACATATCTCACGGTAAGTAGAGACTTTTACTGGCCCCGCCAGTATCAGTTTGTGCGAAAGTATGTTCGTGCATGCGAAGTCTGTCAACGAGTGAAGTCAAGTCCTTCACTGCGTGCACCTTTACAGCCTCTACCGGTTCCGGCTGAGTGCTGGGAATCCATCTCAATGGATTTCGTCTTCGGGTTACCCAAAGACGCACGCGGGAATACGGGTATTCTCGTATTTGTTGACAGATTCAGCAAAATGGTACACCTTGTGGCTGTACCAGAGACAATCACGGCAAGTGGCTGTGCTTGTGTCTTTATTGACACCATCTTCCGACTTCATGGGTTGCCCCGTGAACTCGTATCAGACAGAGATCCACGATTCACAGCTGATTTCTGGCGTTCCGTGTTCAAATCACTCGGAACGCGCTTGAAGATGTCAACATCTGATCATCCAGAGTCAGATGGTCAGACGGAACGTGCCAATCGTGTCCTTGAAGAGATACTTCGAGGATACGTACACTCCTTTAAGAGTTGGAGTGAGTTTTTGCCAATGGTAGAGTTTGCCATCAACAACTCGGTGCATGCGTCCACGACACATACACCGTTTTACGTGAATAGCTTGCGCCATCCGCGTGTACCCACCTTACTAGAGTGTAACTCTGGTTTAAGGGGGGGGACTCGCGCGAGCAAAAACCGATTTGGTTCACGCTCATCACGCTCTGACGAAGAAGTCATTGCGTTTGATGCCGATATCGATAACATCGATATCGAAGAAGATGATGCCAGTGAGAGTGCGGAAGCCCTCACTGAAGAAGATGATCCCAGTGAGAGTGCGGAAGCCCTCACTGAAGAAAAGGTTGATGTTGCTGCAGTGCGCTCACAGCACACTGAAGATAACGAGTCATCAGATGAGTTCATACTGGCTCGTGAAACGGTAGTCCGTTTTGTGCAAGACTCCATCGCCGAAGCGGTGGATGAGCAAAAGCAAAACGCTGGCAAGAATGGAAGGGCAAACACTCTTTTATTTAATAAAGGTGATTAAGTCCTACTGTCTACGGTTAATCTACCAAAGCATGTAGTGACTAACTTGGGTAGCAGTAAACTACTACCCAAGTACATCGGCCCATTTCGTGTATTGCACCGCCTAGGCAATGCATACACGATCGAGTTACCACGTAAGATGCGAACGCATCCCACGTTTTACGTTGGTCGGCTTAAGCCGTACCATCAGTACGCTGCTTCTTCCGATGAAGAACGCCCTTGCGCTCAAGCATCTCGCAGAGAGCCTTGTGCTCCCGATGGTGGGCATCAACAAGGGTCTGAAGAGCAGTTATCTCAGCCCGAGACCGATCAACAATCCCACGAGCTATCCTTAGCTCGTCACGAAGAGATGTCAGAGATCTCTCGTTCTCGAGCTGAGCAAAGGCAAACTCAGCTCGATGCTTCGAGGCAGTGTCCGCCATTTGGAGACGCCTATTCCGCTCATGTTCAAGATCGTCGCGTAACCCTTGCGTTACGCGATCAAAGAAGCTCTCGGGAACACACCGATCCACATGATCGTGTGGAGAGCGTCTTTCCTCCTCCTCCACCTCCATTAGAGGACTCTCGCGGTGGCCAGCGCTATCTAGTTGAGCAGCTGTTGAACCACCGCGACGTGAACGGACGTCGGACGAGTTATCTCGTCCGGTGGCGCGGCTATCCCCCGTCCTGGGATTCTTGGGAGCCCTGCTCCCAACTGATGATCGACGTACTGGGTCTGGTTGAGCAGTACGACGCGGCACATCCTGTGCCGCAGAAGGACCGCCGGAGAAAGTCTTCCCGGCACGGTCGTAAAGGGATTTCAGGTTGTCAATCCCTTCGTACATCTCAGTAGAGACACGTACGCGCCACCACGGGCTGGTAAGGAGGTAAGCCTCCTTAGGTGCTCGTGCAGAGTTGTTCACACAACATGGGCACGAGTCTCCCCAGGAGAGGCAGGGTAATCCTTTCTCCCTTGACAGACGATGCAGCTTGTAGCGTGCACCTGTCGGGGTTCGCTTTTCAAACTTATCACGAGCTTTGATAAGTTTGTCGTTCCAAGCGTCACGACCTACATCCTCAAGGTTATGGATGTAGGCGTTCCACGCTTGAAGTAGTGAGGGACCATCACGTTTGTGATTCCCACTGTACCATCGATGTCTAAAGAAAGCATCGATGAAGAATTCATGTTCAGCGCGATAGTTTTTCGCGCTGGGGTCAAGGTGATGGATCCTTGACGAATCGAACAATCGTGTTCGATAACGATCACTCGTCGTCGCCGACAAGTGATCCATGACGGATTTAGGAGGCATCCATGCCTTCTTCTCAGGAGCGAGACGCAACACATTGCGGTCCCGCTCTTCCTGCGACGTGCCGACAGAAGTACTGGCACCTCGCTGCGACGTGGTGTCCATAGGAGAACCGACACCACTATTAGCGCCCGAGTCTCGCGACCTCGAGCGCCTTCGCTTCGGCGATGGTTCATCTGATTCATCAGATGAACCAAAGATGCTGCGACGCAAAGCATCGTCCATGCCACGCTTGGCAGGCGGCTTAGATTCAATCGCCGTCGATACGGATCCGTCATCCGTATCAGGAGAGTACGAGACACCGAGCTCGTACTCTGTGAAGACACGAGTGTCTTCATGACCAGCGCCTGCATCACCAAGTGACACAGGCTGGGTCGCTTCAGCAACCGATGAGACATCAGTTGCTGTTGTTTCTGCTTCGGCGTCCGCACAGAGACGTGCGGACGCGCTCTCGGCGGCCTTGCTCGCGCATCGCATGGGCTTGTTTACCATGCGATGAGATGTTGGAAAGTGGACGCGGACCAACAAGTGTAAACCCTGCCCCAAATGATTTGGGACGAGTATCCATTTAGTCAATCAGTCACTAAAGTGACTGATGGTTAAGGGGGGGGTGATGTAACGGGGTGAATCGTTACATAACAATTTATAAGAAATTGTCAATAGAATATAACTATAAGAGTTATATTCTCAGAATATTGTCATAAGGACAAATATTCTGTAGCACTTACGAGTAGTTCCTAATTGGTTGATATAGGCCATTATATCAACCAACGAAGACGCGCCACGACAGACGCACGCAATGAGTGGTGAGCAGATAACTGATTTACACATTTGTATTTAGACATAGTTAGATGAAGATAAATAGTGATTTATTGCAGACATTAACTATGATAAATACAGTTCTACTTTTTACTTTAACCAAGTACTCGCTTCTTCTTACCGTCTTCCTCTGCACGTACGAGTGTACGTGAAGTTCCGAGGCACCGCCTTATTCTGTCATCAGAATAAGTAGCTTGTACTGTCACCAGTACAAGCTTCAGGGTGCCCCGTTACAATACACGCATAAGCATCAATTAAGAAACCAAAAGCACCTATACGGTAATTAAACATGTCGAGCTACGTGGGTACAGGTCAATAAGCGTCATCAAGAGGCGCTGCAGCCGGGATTGCAGACCATGCGGCTAGTGCTACCATAGCTTTTCCGTACTTATGCCAAAATGCTTTTTTGCGGACTCTAATGCCGTGTCTAGTTCATCTTAGTCATATTGAGGCTTCGTCGTGAACACTTTTCGCTTACGCCTGATGGTATAGATGCGTAGTTGTCACGGTCATGCCTTATGAACGTTGGTCGATGGCCGCAGGTGTCCAAATATCCGCAATATTGGCTTGGATGCAAGGAAAACAAGCACACCTAAACAACCATTTTGTCGGATCAAATGACAGCCAAAGGGTGTCGATTCACTCTCAACTACTCATTGGACAACAACACAACCACCATCTGAACCTTCCAGCAGTGGACGGGCGCATGGATGGCACAAAACGGGAATCGTTTACGCATCTTAAGAGCTCGTTATTTGCCGACGACAACACGACCATGAGAGAATTGACGTACGACACATACTGACGCGTACAGTTGACGAGATCATAAATCTTCGCCGAGCGGGGGGAGCGCGAGTAATCACGAAGCTTGCCAGCCTGTGCTTGTTAGTGAAACGCAAAAGGTGCAAGGCCGAGCTAGAAACTCTTTACTATCCGATGAAGCTCAATCAATGATAACTACGACTGATGGGGTTTAATCAAGTGTGCCACATCGACCTTTTTCACGCAATTTTACCCACTAAACCGATTCTCACAACGTGACAAAGTGTCAACCCTCGAACTTCCGACTTACCTCATTTTCCGATCGCCTTGCGCGATGGTGAATCGCCGGTCCAGGAATGCGGCCACCAAAGCTGCAACTCCTCCCCAGACCTCGTCTAACAAGGAACATCCGAGTGCAATCTCCAGCTCCACTTCGCTGCACTGGAAATGGTGCTCGAGTATTCTGCCGAATCTGCTGATAACTGTCGTGGCCCTCGCCGCCGTCTGGTTCGAAGTCACGACAAGTGAATTTTACGTCCAGTCCGCTGAGCTTCTGTCCCTACTCAAGCGCCTATTCATCTTCTGGGTCTGTCTAGCTGTGCGGATTCAGCTAAAAGACTTCGTGACTCCACCCGAACTAGCCCGTTACGCTCCGTCACTTCGGAAAGAGGGAAGGCGCCATGTCCGTGCGCTTTTTGCAGCCATAGTTGCCAATTTGCTGGGAACGACCATCATTCGCCCCGTGTTCGGGGCAGCACCACAGTTCGAATATACTGTGAGGCTTGTCGTGCCCATCTACTTCCTCGTCGAGATCGTGGTCGATGGCCTTCGCTTCCCGCTTCCTTTACTCATGACGATCGTTGGCCTGAGCGTCAGCTGGCTGAAGGCTGTGACGATCCCCAAACTTGTCATGGAGTGGCAGACGACCACGAGTGCCCATCCAATCGGGTTTCTTGCTGTTTCTACGGCCAATTTGTATGCCAGTGGACTCGTGCTGCGTTATTTGACAAACTACGCTCGGACGCGTCGTGTGCTGGACTTGTCTGCAGAGACCTTCATCTTTCTTTTCAGGATTGTTGGAACCAGCGCTGGTATTGCCGTTGTGGCATACGTTGCAAATCATCTGGTGTCGGACAAACAACGGCTTTTGGAGGCCCGTGCGCTGTACTTCATAGTGGCTTGGTTCGTGCTGGACAAGTACTGGAAAAAAGCAGTACGAGAGCTGCTGGTGTCAACGTTCATATCGACAAAGAAGTCGAAGTACACGTAGGAGGATAATTTTGCAAGACGGACGACATTTCTACCATTTGTGTGACAAAGCACGTTTTGGGTAACTTATGTGCTTGAGTTCCGGTGTGTGCAGCCAGCTACATGTGTAACAAGGATAGATGATTTTGTCAAAATAATGTGCTGCTTTCACCTTGCTGTTCTGCTACGTCTGCTCGTTGTGTAATGAAGTCTTCCGCTCAAATCACAAGCTCAGATCGACAACTTGTTGTTTGCAGTTGCGTGTACACACTCGCACGCGCCAAAGCTTCAACTGCATTACTTAAAACAACGGTATTGTGCACTAGTGCAGGATTGGAAGTACAAGTGCGTCGACAGACGTGAGGACTCCTGATCAGCACGTATCAACGTACATTTTCTTTCCTAGTAAACAAGCTTATCCGCACACCTGGTCAAATTAAGAACTTTAGTCGTTCAGGTTGCAGCTTGCTGTTCACTTCTTCGACAAAATGACGATAGACTAGTTGGTGTTGTCTTCATCTCGTTTCTATGCTGGATTTGTGTGGCCAGTGCTCAGCAACGGCGATGATGGACTGCTCTCGCGCTGCCATTAGTACTCTAAGGCGTTCGAATGAGTATCATTGCGTCAGAACAGCTTTGCTGGCGTAGTAAGGTGTGATTTCGATGCAGCTCTTGATAATCGATCGCCTCGGATGTCATACTGCTGCCAGCAGGTGGGTCACTTGGTTGCTTCTTTGCCCTTAAGAAGGGCTCTTCATCTTCGTATATCATCTCAGGTAAATTGATGGCTTGAGACAGAAATAGAGCTAAATTTACGTTTGCGTAGTACCAGCCGTGCCAAAGAGTCGTTCGGAGCTCTTTCTGGCAATAGTGATGACACTTTGAGTTCAGCGTAAGATGAACGTTTCTGGAAACACGAACATGTCGCCGTCATTGGTTTGGTCACCACAATTTGTATCGATCCCCATTACTGGTGTTTTAATGTGCTATCAGGCGTTCAAACCCCAGCGATAATCAACGAGTGTAACCTGCATCGAAATTACGCTGCTCAAGAAACATGCCGCAATTTTCAGGTTTAGACGCGAAGAGATACGAAGTCGTAGGGGCAGTTATGCCAAAGACAGCAAAATGAAAAGTGACTGATGAGGTCTTGACTAAAGACGTTATCCACATACTACTGTGCATGCATCCCTGGCCTCATTTATATACGTTCTTGATAGTCTTGAACTCAGGTGATGATGACACGAGCATGCTACTCATAGACATCATGGACGTTTATAACAATCTCACCGTTGTAGATGTCCCTAGATTGACTGTCCATCTCTACTTCCATAAACGAGCTTCCACTATTCAGGCGCATCGATCTGGACATCAACACAAAACTGACGGTCCATTATGTTGACGTCATCGCCAACGTATCGCCCTCCTTCCGGGTAGCACTAGCCACACGCGCAATGAATATGCGCTTCTCATTCAATTTTGAGTACAATTTGAAGTCGAGCTTGGTTAAAAGTCTTTTGGCCGGTGATGCTAGATTTGTTCCAGGTTATTGTTAGGACGCATGCAATCAGCATGTCCAGAAAACATCACGTGAGAAATCTGAAAGCAAACGACCTCGCCAAGAACCTATTTCCCCACTTAGAGATGTGGTGCAACTTGACGCAGCCCAAATGATAGCAAATGGTATTGACGTACGCCACCGTCAGCAAAATCTCCGTCAATGATCCATGACTTTGTCAAACGATGGTCTAATTGTACCAGCTGCGACAAGCTTGGAAAACGCATCAAATTTACGGCGAATTGAGCGTTGCGACCTGACTCACCATCGATCGTGATGACAGAAACAATTGGTTTTCAGTATGTGAGAACCCATGAACTCTTGTGAAAGTTAAGTTCAGCCGTATTCTATCGCAGATTTATTGCTGCAAGCAAGTCAGCAAACAAGCGTGCCTTTCCCTGTCAACAGGACCGCGTCAGTGCACTCTCCTCCTCATTTGTGATCCAACACAGCAGTCACAGCATGTCCAGAAGCTTCTCCCAGTACGATGCCGCACCAATCGAGCACGAAGTTGACGAAGAGTTCGCCTTTTGGGTGGGTGGGGCAGGGTGTAAACTACATATTGCAATATCTCCTTCGAGGCTGACCTTTGACCTTAACTGTGAAAATAGAAACGGGAGACGCGCTGTTACCTGCTCAAGGACGTAACCTCGTCAGTAACCTTCGCAGCGCATGAGCTAGAGCGTATTGATTTTATGTGGGGCCGCATCCGCTCCGACCGTACTGTGTCTTCTTCCGCTGTTGATGCCACCGTTCGCGTAGAGGTGCGTTCTGAAGATGGGACCGAGTTCTGAGTTCAGTGATGATCTAACGCGATGTTTCGTATCACGTTCTGCATTCTCGTGATGTTTATAGGGTCATCTCGTGGTGTTTGCGAACGTAAAGCCGAAATTGACCAAAGCCCAGCGGAATGCACCGCGCAGTAGCACGTACGAGCAATAGCAATGGCTACTGCGAGCTAATTACCGTACATTCCAAGACGTACTGACGTTGTTCTTATGGTGTTCCAGACTGCAGCAGTATTGCGTACTGGATCAGATCCTTGAGCTCCACGGCATTGTGCAGAGCCAAATGGAGAAGCTCGTGGCGCTTGAGAAGTTCTTGGGCGCGCAACATCAGGACCTCATGGAAGACCAGCCAAGCAACGAGGACGTTGAGGTTCATGTGGCGATCGTGCAGCGGACGTTTCAGTGTCTTGGTCGTATTTGCCAGGAACTGCGCAACGCCGCTAATGTCCTGCGACTGCCCAGTCGTCGTCGGTTCCCGTTCTGCTCCCACATTGACCACGTGCGTTATTATGAAACTTCTGTTTGCTGAGGTTTTGTCGTATGCGAGCTGATGATGATGTCATATGCAGACTTTCAAGCCGCCGCTTCCGTCCGAGGTCATTGTTGACTTCTCTATTCATCGAGGCGAACTGGTGCGTGCGTTTATGTGCTCTATAAATCGTAACATTGTTTCTGATGTCGTTATTGTGTGGTAGCTGGTGGAAGTCTTTAGCCTTATGGCTACTCAAAAATCCATCACGACAATTCCCGAAGGCTGCGCGTCGGGAAAAGAGTTTGTTGGCTGCGTTTGGTAAGTACTGCAACGTTTAAGAATGCCGCTTTTTATTGTACTGATGCCCTATCTCGTGATGGCAGCGCTTTCCGTGGTCAAAAAGTCGAAATTGTAGAGTACGCTCGAGTTTCCGTGCCGATCCCGCCGCTGGAAGAGATGCTAGTCCATCTTGACAAGCAAATTCTGTGGCTAGTACACGTCCGAGATAATGTGAAAGCACTGCTCGATTGCCAAGACATGTATAACGAGGAGTACTAGCGGATAGCAGCCGGGTCACTATGCTGGATTTGTTTGGGTGCCTAACTGCCCGATCGTCGATCGAATGCGTCGATGTTTGCGGATGCTGAGCTTCATTATGAATATAGGAATACTGTTCATGGATCGAGCGCTCACGCACATGTTCTCATTTGATGTGCACTGATGCAGTTATGATTGTCACTGATTGCCGGACCCCACAAAGTTTAACCAAGCAACCACTCGGGCTTCAGCCATTTCGTGGTGAAGGCCAACATCGTCGAGGTGCCAACTAACCTACAAACATACACGTCAACACTTCGTTATGTTATCTAAAAAACCAACGCCATGCCTGAAGCCGCACAAAGGAAGCGGCGTTAAGCTTGAACGGTGTAGCCAAAAGAATCACTTCAACCATGTAGAATGGACAGCACCCAAATTTACTGCGTGAAAGCTACGTAAACGAAACCCATCAGATGAAGACATATCTTCATGTCGACAAGATTCCGCGCATGTGAGTGCATCAATTCGCTTACCCGCTGAAGCACTTGTTTCTACAGCACACCGAACAAGCTGAGAGAATGAGTGGGGTTCGAGCTGAGTATGCATCGTAGGCAATACGGGATGTCCACTTGCTCAGTACTCTCGTACTCAAACAGTCTCTCCGAGCGAATGAGCTCCAGATGACGCAATAACTGTACGAGCGTCAACATCAACCTTATGCCGGCAACCGATCCAATGTTGATTGATCCAATTATGTGACAGTGACGATCGTGATCACGATCAAGTAGCATGCTGCGAGTGAATCCACGGATTTTCCACGTTGAGCTGCAGGAATTGGTGTGAACCTGCCGACTTATGTCGTACTTCAGCAGCATGACGAAACGATCTATTCAAGGCATGAGAGAGGAATCACACCAGAAATGCTGAAGGCAATCGACGCCTTATTTTGATGTAGGTAGTTTATCAATACAATCAGCTTCAATTGTTTTGCGTGCTCGCTACGGCAACACTCGATTGATAGCACGTCCGTGGAACGGCTGAACAGAAGATTGTTGAATCTTTGTGAAGTGGGAGACAACACGACAAACAGCAAAATGCGTCAATGTAAAGTCCCTTCAGCTCGTCGGGGTCGACTGACTCGAAAACGCGAGCAGCTTGGCCACTTACGCTGTGAAAACCTATTTTACAATCAACGTGCTGTTTCGTTGTGTTGACTCGTGTATGAAGTGGTCGTGATGAGTGTTAGAAGATATAGCTTTTAACAGGTTACGTCGGTGTAGAGGCAACTGCAAGACCTGTTACAGGTTTAGGTCGACCTCACCTGATTGGTCGACAAGTTGACGGTGGGACGAGACAGGTTGACATATGGGACGCGAGAAGACGATCGTCATGTCGGACTATCAAAGACAGATGGTAGGAGAGACAGAGACATACAGACGTCATATGGGACCAGGACCAGCACATGGGATGGGCACGCTGGACGTATGCCAAAGTACAACTTGACCAGGTCAAGTTGCAGTGCTGGTGCAAATACATACAAATAGGGTTGACTAGGGAGAATAGTTAGCACCCAATATATTTCACTTTTACTTCCTACATCCTTTGCACAAGTGCAAGAGCTACCAACATCTAACAATGAGCCCAATCAAACGTGTTGGTGGTGCGGCTGAACCAGCTGCACATACCGTGGTGGTCGACGACCATCACCTGGAAGAAAAGTCGGCAGCGCCTGCGGAGGCGATCGAGAAGATGCTAGCCATGCTAGGAGACCTGTCCGAAAGGATGAACCGGATGGAGGTCTCCCAGAGAGAGCAAGGCGGCAAGAACCGGCAGGGCCTACCCGAGTCGAGTATCGCCGGTCGGCAACAGGAGGTCGGGGCAGGGATTAATCTCCAGACTTTGGACCGTACCCCTCCTAAGGAATCCCCAAACGTGTCACCAGCAACCTATTTCGGTATTCGGCGACAACAACAGGCAGGTGTTGAAGGTCCTTGCGCGAGAAAAGCAGAGGAAGGAGTCAACATGGGTCAGGCCCTGGGATATACCGGGCAGGTTTGCCTGAAGGACGATTCCCCGGTATGGGTATGCCTCACGGGGTGTGTGTTTACCCTGGGCAGCCGGGAGTCGGCATGCCGGACGCGCAACAGCGGAAGCTGGCATTGCAACCTTTCGACGGAAAGGAGCTCTACCACGGCCTTGGCTGTGGATTCATGGAGTGGGGCAAAGAATTTGTCAGACAAGTCGGGTTTGCTGAGCGAGCGTGTGGTTTCGTGTGGCCAGAGGACATCAAGGTTGATGTTCTAGGTCAGCACCTAGCCGGCAAGGCACACACCTACTATCGTCGTCAAGTGGAAACGTGGTGGTTTGAAAACCAAACCCTGGAACATGCGGTGCAGAGACTACTGCAGACCTTCACGACGAAGATCTCGCCAGCACAAAGCATAAAGTTTTTCACAGCACCCAAAGCATCCCATCGAAACTGGACATACCATTTTCTGTACTTGACGGCCGTCAGTGACGCCTGTGGAGGTGCAGACAACCTTGTGCTGGACAACATCGTCCATTATGCTGACCCATACATGCGAACGACGATGTTGTCCAGATTGGACATTTATCGCACCGATTACCTGCGGCAAGCAGACGAGTTGGCGCAATTTGCCCAATCGACGGAGGTGGACACTCACTCGAAGAGTTTTGGACGCGATGTGGTGAACACTGTCGAGGTTGCGCAGGAGTTCAAGGACAAACACAAATCAAGACCGTCGCTACCACGCACCGACACCCGGACTTGTTTCAAATGTGGAGAAGTGGGTCACATTCGTTCGAGGTGCCCCAAAATGAAGAAGAAGCCATCGGGTGCGAATTTCGTTTTCGCGGTTGGTCGCGGTGCGAGTCGCTCGCCCGGACAATGGATTCTCGACAGCGGTTCGAGTAGACATTTGGTCAATGACCCGAGTCTGCTGACTGATCCGATTGATTGTCGAAGTGAGTGCATTACTGCAGCCACTGATGGAAGTGCGCTGCGGATCACCCAACAAGGAACTGTAGACATCCAAGTCGTTGCACTTGGAGTCGTGAACACAGTGAGACTCCTCAATGTTCAGTATGCGGAGAACCTCGAGCGTAGCATCCTTTCCTACGGATTGCTCGAGGCAAAAGGTTGCGTACTTGAATATCAAGGAGGGAGGCGCGTGTTGTCTTCCGGTACGGGCGGTACACCCATCATGGATGTGGAATGCTGCAACAACGTGTTGGTTGTCGCGGTGACAAATCACAGTGATCGTAATTCCAAGCCACCACAAGAGGCACTGATGACTGTCGTCAACCCACCTGAATATGAATCCGATTCGGATGTTCTATGCGGTACCTTGATGGACTTTCATCGACGTTTAGGACACCTTTGTTTCGACACGATCGTCAAGATGGCGAACGATCCGGCATCATGCATCCGACTGACTGATTCGACACGTCAAAAGTGTCTGGCCTGCGCCCAGGGAAAACAGACCAAAGGAGCCCAGTCGAAGAGAGATACAGGCGCGAATTCGCCAATCGACGCGATCGGGGGAGTCATTTGTTCGGACCTTAAGGATCCCATGACCCCCCGAGATCGTTTGGGAAATCGGTACATGGTCAACTTCATCGACCACCGTTCGAGTTACTGTCGAATATTTTTGGCCAAGTCGAAGGATGTAGCCGCGTCAAAGTTCAAGCTCTTCATGGCAAACTTCGAGCGCGAGTTCAATTGCAAGGTTCATGTCTTACGCACCGATGGAGGTGGCGAATACAAGACACTCGATATTTTCTGCTCTTCGAAAGGCGTCTTGCGTCAAGTAAGCGAGGCGAAAAACCAAGCAAGCAACGCCAAGGCTGAACGGATGCACCGCACCGTCATGAACATGGTGCGGAGTATGATCTTTGCATCAAACCTGCCGCTCTCATTTTGGGGTGATGCTGCAGATTACGCCTCGTACATACTGAATTGAAGCAAAACCAAGTCCAACCCCGGATGTGCATCGCCCTTGGAGATCCTGATAGGCAAGGCTCCCGTGCTGACAGACATTGTGGCCTTTGGTTCAACACGCACTGCGCACAGAGACCCGAAGAACAAGTCACTTGGTGAACGAGGCAAGGCGGGCATCGTCATTGGGAGAGGCAGCGAAACGAAGGGATACAAGGTGTACATCCCAGTGGATAAGGTGGTCGTGGTGACTCAACATGTTCAAAACATTGAAGCACCACAGGATGACCAGGATGAGAGAAAGACCTGTCCAGACACGGCACGACGTCAGGAGGAGCCAGGCCCTGATCATCAGGCGGATGAAAAGGATCGGTAAGATGGTGTGAAACGTGCGAAGCAGGTCAGAAAAGGTCGAAAAAAGTCGACATGGACCAGAGAGCGACATGGGACAAGATCGACAACGTCAAGTCAACCAAAGGTGGTTGAAGTGGACACCTCGGTGGACGGTTGTGACATCGAGAACGCGATCGTCGAGCAATACCCGAAGCACTATGGTGAGGCAATGAAGAGTGGACAATGCGACCAATGGCAGGTAGCCATGACCGAAAAAATTGGACGCACTCGAGGCGAACGACGTCTGGAAGATCGTAGTGCCACCAAGAAATGCGCACGTGTTGCACAACAAGTGGGTCTACAAAACAAAGACCGACGCGAACGGAGATATCGAGCGATACAAGGCTCGACTAGTGGTTTGCGGAAACGAACAAGTCTTCGGCATCGACTACAACCTCACGTTTGCGGCCGTCATGGACTTAGTGACCGTCAAGCTAATCCTGGTGCTCTCCAAGCGATGGAACGTTCCCGCACGTCATGGGGATGTTCCGAACGCCTACGTTAAGGCAGAAAAGGAGGAGCATCTGGATATCTTCATGAAGGTTCCAAAAGGTATGCAAATCACTAAGGAGGAACTTCAAGGTTTCGGTGTGGAATATCCTGGTGAGGTCGCGCTGCTGTTGAAGAAATCGTTGTACGGACTAAAGCAAGCGGGACGACTCTGGAGCAAGCTCTTACACTCCAAGCTGACCGAGAATGGCTACAAGCAGTGCACGACGGACATGTGTCTATACTACAAGCACCGAGGCCAAGAATGGACCATCGTCGGAGTATACGTGGACGATCTTCTGGTCACGGGAACCAAGCAGTGCGCGGTTGATGAGTTCTTTGCGGGCATGGAGACACTGTCGATCAAGGATCTCGGCGTCGTTCAAAAGTTTCTGGATCGCTTTGGATGACACTCAAGGATACATTCTGGACCAAGAGGTCATGATCGACGTGTTGCTCAGGGATTTCAAGTTGGAGTCAGCGAACGGTGTGCGAACGCCAATCGGAGATGAATGCAATGATGATAACAAGGATGATGTGGACTATCTACCCGCGAGAGGTGCAAGCGGTGAGCCAAGTTTGAGTGCCTTTCAATCCTTGGTCGTGAGTCTGCTATGGATCGCAAGATGCACGCGGCCCGACATATGTTTTGCAGTGCATAAGGCAACTCGTCAAACACACAAGCCAACCACCAAGGACTGGAAGATTGCGAAACGCATTGCAAGATACTTGAAGGCGACAAAGAACTTGAGTTTGCACCTGAACGGCAACGGACCGACTCAACAAAATGTCAAGATTGAGTGCTGGAGCGATGCAGACTTCGCTGCGGACAAGGCGGACCGTAAGTCAGTGTCTGGATACGTACTATCTTTAGACGGTTCTGCTGTTTTATGGTCGTGCAAGAAGCAGTCAGGTGTGTCGCTGAGCACTTGGAGGCGGAGTTCATATCCTCATCCCAGGCAGGACGCGAACTGCTGGGTGTGAGGGAACTACTGCTGGAGCTAAAGCTGCAGGTATGCATGCCGATGCCTATGTGGATGGATAATCAAGCGGCGATCAAGCAACTCGAGGCAGAGAAGAGCACAACGAGCGCGAAGCACGTGGACACCAGGTTTAAATTCATCTGCCACTACGCGCGTGAAGGAATTGTGGTTCCCAAGTACGTCAAGACTGAGAGCATGATGGCGGACATTCTGACGAAGTCCTTGCCAGCGCCGAGAATGGAGGAGCTACGCAAGATGTTCAACATGAGGACGATTCAGGCTGAAGTCGAGGAGGAGTGTTAGAAGATATAGCTTTTAACAGGTTACGTCGGTGTAGAGGCAACTGCAAGACCTGTTACAGGTTTAGGCCGACCTCACCTGATTGGTCGACAAGTTGACGGTGGGACGAGACAGGTTGACATATGGGACGCGAGAAGACGATCGTCATGTCGGACTATCAAAGACAGATGGTAGGAGAGACAGAGACATACAGACGTCATATGGGACTAGGACCAGCACATGGGATGGGCACGATGGACGTATGCCAAAGTACAACTTGACCAGGTCAAGTTGCAGTGCTGGTGCAAATACATACAAATAGGGTTGACTAGGGAGAATAGTTAGCACCCAATATATTTCACTTTTACTTCCTACATCCTTTGCACAAGTGCAAGAGCTACCAACATCTAACAATGAGACTTGTAGATATGCATCTACGACTTCGTCAAGCACGATACCATCTACTCCGGGAAGTTGACAAGGATATTGGCTGCTCGTCATTCCACACGGAATGTACCCAGAACGTACGAACACAACTGCAAGACCCCTTGTTTGCTCTCGTGTAGTACGTTGGGTGTAGCGGAGCTACACAGCTCCTTAAGTCAGAGGAAGACTTAACGCTCTACGAGCAACTTAGTTCCAAAGAACTAAGGACTTTACGAGTCAACAAGCTTTATAGCTTGTGATCCCTGGGGACCTAACGATTCAGTGAATCGACAGCACTTAGTGCTCAAGAGTAGCTACCTCAAGGAGGTGTCGCTAACTCTCAGTGATCAGAGATCAACGATCAAGACGGCTCGCAAGCCACGTGTCTTTCAGATCAAAATGGGAACTGATTTTATTTTTGTTAAAGCCTATAGAATATCTTAATCCTACTCAAAGATCTTTCGTATCTAATGGCTGACACTCGTCAGCCCCTACAAACCGATAAGATATTCTATATCACCTTCACAGAAGCGAACCCTCAGGTGTGTAACACCTCTGGTACAAAGTACCATGATTTCGTGCAACCCTGTTACATTGGGCTCTTGCTTACTTGTTGATGCTGCTACTACATCAAAGGCGTCGACCTTCTACTCATAAGGACAATACCTACATGGAAAGTCATTCATTACCATGTAGGAGAGTATCGACTCCGATCGGATCACGCGTGTTCGGCGATAAGCCGATAATAGTCGGAGTATCGAGTCAAAAGCTGATGCGTCAGACTGTGAATGTGATGTTTCACCACGATTGCGGTAGCCGGTTCTCCTCATGGTCGAATCTGAATAAAGCTTCACAAAGTTCTGAGCCTTGGGTTGACGTGACGAATCGTGATAATGTGCTTGGCCTGAGACAAACAATTTACTGCTGGATGTGCGAGCAAACGTGGTAGGTTTTGTATCAATTGACAGGATATCGCAAAGTGTTTCTTACAGTAAGCTTATAACTGCTTTTTTACTCGCAAGGTCACGCAGTGGAGGCTAGTATCGATGCATGAGTAGGCGTCGGGACTATCAGAGAAGCGTGGAAACATGTCTACCGAACCACTTGGATACATTCAGCTCAAGCACTTATACCCATCACTTGCGTCAATGAGCCTTGTGCACGACAAAAGCTCGATGAAGTACCAGGTCTTATTGCACTCCTGGTTCCCGCTTGAGATCAACACGTCAAGGCATCCCATTCTTGGGACAATAATAAGAGAAAGCTGTCGTGAAAAATACTGGTGTAACGTATCAGGGTTTCTACCGACGTACCATCCAAGTTACTGCTGCTACGTAATTCAAGACATCACCACTGCGCGCATCTTCAAATGTTCGTCCTGGATCAGCTTCTCGAGCTTCGACACGTTCGCGTCCGCGTTTAGTTCATAGATCTTCTCGAAAGAGTGTTGGTTCTCCTCCAGCACGGTCTTCCATGCTTGGCCACCACACACGTTCATGTTGGAACGCATCACAACCTTCTTGCCATCCGGGAGCAGCACGCCAACAACGACGCTGCCGTCCTCAAGGCAAAGACCGTCGACCTCGTCCGAAGTGACGTTATACACTACGCAGTTGGGCGCCGTGATCGAGCGCGCGGTTACATTGATCAGGATCGAGCCAGTCACATTCACCTCCTTCGCATACACGCCACTGAGCACGCTGCGCTTGATGTCACCAAACTCGATCTCGCTGTTTAACACCGTGGCCTCACTGATGACTGCATCCTCACCAACGCTGCTATGCTCCATTCGGTTGCTGATGCCCAAGAACGAGCGCAGGCAGTCCGCTTCAACACCAGGCTTGGTCACGAGTCGGTTGTTCTTCAAATACAGCGTCAACTGGCCATAGTCCCACCAGTACACATCACTGCCCACATCGACACAGCCAAACAGTCCGAGCTCCTTCGTCCGGGTGTTTTCAAAGTTGGCCAGCATCGTCTGCATACGCTGGTAGTGTGCACTCGACTCTGTCTTAGCAACTCCTTTCTGTGCCATCACCTCCGTATACGCCTCCAGCTCAAGTGTCAGTGGCATCCAAAAGTGCGGATCACTGTCCAGCTTGCCAGATTTGGCTGTGAGCTCCTTCGAGAACTCGCTCAGCAATGCACCAAGCATGGCGGCGTCCACGCTAAAAGATCCCAGACTAGTGCCTACCGACTTCATCTCACCGAACGAAGAGAGCAGCCGGATTGCGGTCTCGTGCGTCACTTTGTCCACTTGGGCGGCATTGTCCTGCTGGTTCACGGCAATCAACCCGTACTTCTCAAGACCCTTGTCCTTCCACTCCTCCGCCGAGGGCATTGGCGCAAGTGCAGCAAGGATATCAATGTGGTGCTTGGCCTCGTACTTGACCTCAGCCGACGGAATGAACACTTGGTCCCCCCAAAACACAGACAAACGTCCTCGACGGCTGCACGCGTACACTCCCGTCTGCTTCACCACCGCCTCGAGGATCGTCATCGGCACGTGCTGGTTCTTGACCTTCACCATTGCCGGGAGCTTCACGCCCGACTTGTTGTTGTTCTCGCTGCCAGGGAGCGGCGCGAGACGTGTGCCTTTGCCCGCAGTGTGGTACAGCGCGACACTGATGCGACCCGCAGCGAGCAGCGCTGGGATGTCAATACCGTACAGCTCCTTCCCGACGGCCACCGCTTTCGTGTAGGCGTAGAGCGTCCCGAGGCCGTTGCCCGCGCCGCCGGTCCAGTCCTCAAAGACGGCAATGACCTTGGCGTCCTTTGGGGAAATGGAGCCACGTGTAGCCATCAGGCGGTCCTGCCAATACTGCGCCTGGTGCGGCGTCGACGTGCAGACGATGATGACGTCGTAGCCGTCGAGGCGGTTGATTTCGTCAATGTTGCGCTGGTGAGCCGTGAGCATCTTCAACGAAGAGGAGGAGGAGGACGATCGCCCCATCGGTTGCGAGCTATAGCGCACGTGAGAAGCGTAGGCGGCAGCGGCAGAGGCAGCGAGCGAAAGCACAACGGGGATGTAGGACTTGACCATTGCAGCGGATGGCGATGCAGGAGGATGGGGAGTTCCTTGAAGTGGTTACGTGTCAACTGGAGCTGGAAGCGAGAGGAGCTCGTGCTAATACCAGTGCGGTGCAAGCGGTAAATTTGGAAGTGAGAGGAGAGGAGCCAACCGCCCGGATCGAGGAGAGCGTGAGATCGAAGCAAGGCGACAGAGACGGGCCGCCGTGTGTCGACGCGTCTGTCTTTTGCACAATGTAGCGATCGACCGCGGACTGGCTCTGTGCACAGAGAGTCGGTTCAGCCTCGGAAGATGCATGGAGATCCCGGCGCGCACGTGGTGCAACTGCTGCTAAAATAGACCTGTGTGAGTCGGTTCAGCCTCGGAAGATGCATGGAGATCCCGGCGCGCACGTGGTGCAACTGCTGCTAAAATAGACCTGTGTGAGTCGGTTCAGCCTCGGAAGATGCATGGAGATCCCGGCGCGCACGTGGTGCAACTGCTGCTAAAATAGACCTGGGCGCAAGCTTCGATGGAGATGGAGACGAGAGTCGACAGTGCGTAAAGTGGGATGCTACCGCTTGTAATCTGGTCCAGAGGCTCAGCTACTGTCACGACAGGGCCAAGTCGGTGGATGTTCTGACACGATCTTGATAATGCAGTGCTGCTCCTCGCTGCTGATTGCAATTGCTTCGCAGTAGCGGGTGATCTTCTGCTGGAGCTTGCCGAGTTAGTCGACAGGCTGTCAGAAGCTGCACCAGCTGCCTCGTTGGTGGTCGCTTCATGCGTGCGATACTTTCTCTGTAAAGTCGCGTCGGGCCTATCGTCGGCGAAAGCACGTGTCTCAACACTATAAGGCTATTAGGACAAAGCGGTGTGTGATCGCTACCTTTTGCTGCGACAATTAAAGGCCACGAGGACGAGAAGCAAGACTGGTCGCGTGATGTCTGTAGACATGCACCAGCTGAATGATTAGGCGCACACATTGTTGGCATCATGAAGGCAGCAACACGCACGCACGCTCCGCGTACTAAGCATCATACGTCGCAATCGACACAGGCGATCCATGCGAGTCGAACTTCGGTAATCAATGACCAAGACGGGAACAAACTCACTCGGCTCATACCGTGTGGAAGCGCTGTGACCAGATGCGCCAGTACTCGATCAGTCGTCTCACGAACGCGTGGGGATGGCCGACATCTGGTGAACTAGTGACTTGAACTATTCATTGACGAACTTGGGTTCAGTGCGCACCATAACTCACGCCGGCAGTTGCACTTCACCGAAACAAAGTTGCTCGTCGCCTCTTATGTTGCGATACCAATTGGATAAAATCCCTCCTGATCTTCCCGCAAACCACCACTTACCCATGAGCGGCTCCTCCCCCTTCGCTCTAGTGCTGCTGCTCTGCCTGCTGTCGGTCTCTGACGCATCGCGCTTCCGGTTCACGCTGACATCTCGGACCGAGGTACGTCCTTCTCGCCACCTCGTTGTGTACGCAGTCGCTTGAGTTGCAAACGTCGCTCGTCCTCCTGCCTCTTCTGCCTTGATCTAGGAATGCTTTTTAGAAGAAGTGAATGCCCGCTCGTCCGACAACACGATTCTTTTCCGCTTCGCCGTGCTCGAACCCGAGAGCTACGATCTGGTTGACGTTGTGGTACGCTCTACTGTATCCAATTGCGATTCGATCGAGCGCTCGTGCTGTCAGCAACTGTGCTCACATTGTACCCATGTGAACAACAAACAGGTCAAAAGTACGTCGCAGCGTGAAGTGCTCAAGTGGAAGGCCGAACAGACCAACTTTGCATCGGCTGCCGTGCGCGAAAACGGGATGTACCACCTGTGCTTTCGCAAACTCAAAGGCGCGTCGTCGACGATCACGCTCTTCTACTCTTTCGACTTCATCCTGACTGGAGTTCAAAGCTTGACGCTGGCGCCTGATGTTGCGGCAACAGTGAGCGTGGACGAACCTCAGGTCCCGATATACACGCACATGGCAGTGACGACAGTGAAAGGCCAGGCTAGTAAGTTGGGGGTGATGGAGTTCGACCTGACCGACGTCTCGCACAGTATCATGCATAGCAATACTCGTGTTCGACTGCTGCTGACCGTCGACAGTATCACTGGTGGCGAGACAGTGGACATTGCCTTGGCGCTGCTGCCCGACCGTTTAGAACACCCTGTCACGTGGGATACTTTAGGAGATTACGTGACCGGAGGCTACGTTAGCCATCTGATCAGTTTTGATGGGACGGAGCTTGGCGGGCATGTTTCGTTTGATATCACTGACGTTTTCGATACCAAGCTGACGGAAAAGGCGGCGACAATCGCTTTCTCGATCCATGCAGATGAGAACGGTGACGCTGTTGTGATTGGTATCGCACGCCATGGATCCGAGGACCACTTTCCTCAAATTGTTGTTGAAGGTGCGCTCGTGCTTGGTCTGTTATTTAAGCTGCCTGCTTCTGACATCTTTTGAACGAACAGACTTGGGGTTGGAGCTTATGCACGAGGTGGCATACTTCCAGGCGTCGGTCTTTACCCTTCGTGGTGATGTATCGCTTATCAAACACCGAGAACGACTCAGTCGTGATGGTAAGTAGACCGTTCTTAAGCTGGCATGTGACAAACTCGTGTGGTGCTGATCTCTTTCGTGCTATATTCAGCTGCGGAAAGCACAAACTCGCGTGTGAAGTGGATGTCTCTGATCACGAACGTCGTGCTCGTGGGTATTGCGTTCGGTCAGGTAATCTACATTCGCAGTGTGCTTGAAAACGGCGTTTGATGGGCTGAGCAGCAATCTCAAGATCGTGCAATACAATGGTGCAGAAGAATGTGAGCTATAGCCGATGCCAGCATATTGTCACACTCTGCGAATGGTGGTTCGTGCATGAAATGGAAAGTAAAAGCGGGTGTGGTAAACAGAGAATGTGTTTGTACAATCACGATTGTAGAACACTCGTATCAACTCCCAAGCTTGTACTTACAACTCCACATCGCGATCAATACCCCAGCAAGCCAGAGTTTCTTCTGCCGTCTCGCGCTCTTTCAGCAACAAAAACTTGACATCACCATCATTTGTCGAGTAGGCGAAGCTGGACGACATTTGCCGGCTGTTGTACTTCGAATGCATGGACATCGTGTAGCCTCCTGTGTCGTGAATAACCACATAATCCCCAACCTGAACAGGTGGCAACAGCAACTGCTTGGCAAGGAAGTCACCTGAGAAGCAAAGTGGACCAGCGATGTCTTGGCGCAAGAATACACTGCTAGGATCCGTCTTAAGACGTCCCTGGCTATTTAGTACAGAGACGCAGTGGGACCATTGCTCCGGCAGAAACGCTGTGCGCGGGAATTGGTCGGCGCCGACGTGTACCACAGCAATATGCTGACCAACCCAGTCCTTCACTGCCTCGACTTTGGACACCGTGATTCCAGGCTTCACAAAAATACTGCGTCCGAACTCTGTAATGATGGACGAAAATCCGCTCGTGAACAGCTCAGGCACTTGTCGACGCAGCATATTCGCGTACACTCTGAAATCGTAAGCTTCCCGCTCTTTGCCGTCATACACTGTAGGCATGCCACCACCAATGTCGAGCACACGCACCTGCTCATTCCCGACATGATTGTTTACTTCGAGCGCAAAAGTCACTGCTTTCTTCGCTCCAAGCGACAACAAGTCCAGAGGACAGCCCTGCGAGCCAACGTGCACGTGAACACCTTCTAACCACGGATGCATCTTGTACAGTGCCAGTAGCCGAGGCCTGGTCTCTGCTGTCAGCGGCAGTCCAAACTTGCTCGCAACAGTGGCCGTGCTGGTAGAGTCAATGGACCCTCCGCCCACCAGGGGATTGATCCGCAGTCCAATCTGCATCGCATGACGCTCCTTGATCTCTTTCAGAGAAAACTCCAACTCGGCAAAGATCCCGCTCATCTTGCAAATCTCCTCTACGTTGTCCAGGTTAATGTACACGCCAGCCAGCAACATCTCACGGAGCTCACTTCGCGTCTTGCAAGGTGAGTCGTACACCACTTTGCGCGGCTCGAAGCCCAGCGACAGCGCGTGCTTGGCTTCAGCAATCGAAGCGCACTCGGCACCAAATCCCTTTTCCCGTGCACCTCTCAATAAGCCACGCAAAGGGTTCGCCTTGACGGCCAGTGCATGATTAAACTCGGGTTCAGGGAAGGCGTCGCGTAGATTACTGAGCCGCTGCTGGAAAGCGTCCCAGTTGAACAAGTTGACGAGCGGGTTGTCGTTGCACAAAATGTTTTGGTAGACGGCAGCTTCCACGACACGCGCGACAGCCAAACAGCGTTCCTGATGGTGTCTGCAGGCGACAGCTGCGTCGTCTTGGAGCTGTTGCTGTAGCACAGGCGCCACGTACGTGGTCGACAACTGCTGAGGCTGCAGCTTCCGTAGCAGGAACGTAATCATTTGCTCTGTAACATGACGACGTGAATCTTCCGCGTCCATGTCATTGTCCCTGCAGTACTGCAGCACGACCTGGTCGAGGAGACTCAGCGTTCCTGATAACAGCGCATCCGCGTCCGAGTCAAACATGACAAAGTGAGCCGCGACGTTCGCGTGCACCACACCATCGGTAAACTGACTCTGGCAACAGTGAGGTGCGAAGGTTTGTGTGGACCACACGAGTTGCGAACCCAACGACGCGCTGCACTGAGTGAGTAGAGGCGGAGCAGGTGCAGCTGGGAATGCTTTTCCTCGCAGTGTGGTCCTTCGTCTCGCGTATTCCTCGGGCCGGCAACGGCGACGCCTCTCGCCCTGAGCAGCAGCACCACCACCACCACCACCGATAGCGCTAGCCCCAGACGCAACTAAGTAACCAGGAGACGGTCCTGATGGCCACGACTGAGGACGTCCTCGAGACGGCCCGTCTCGTCATCATCGCGACGGCGGCCGTCATCTCGTCCGTCGTGGCCGTGCTGCTCTTCCGACGAATCCCCGACCAAAGATACGGCGATGATCGACGCCGCCGACGTGTCAGGAGCACGCGGCCGCCGCTGCCGCCTCCACATGCCACGGGTCCCGCTCTCTACTTTGCAGTCATGATGACGGACTGGCTCTTTTCCGTGACCGCAGCTGTTAGTCAGTCCATGGACATGGTCATGGGTGCCGGTGTCAAAGTTCGGACGGTCGTGGGCGCCAGTATCGACGCGCTCTACCAAGTGAGTTACCTCGTGTCGCTGCTCTGGGGCGTCGTGCTGGCGCTCTTTGTCTTACGGACGCAGTGCTGGGCACACGGCCACGACGTCACGAGTCTTCCGTACAAGAGGGGTTCTCGGTACGAACAAGCTGGTTCGTGATCTGGGCCATTGGACTTGGCTGCGGTCTGTTGTCGACGACGCGACTCCAAGCGCACATTACCGACAGCGATGTCACAAACCAGCTGGCGAATTATCAGCGCTACCTATTCCTCTCGGTCTATGCCGTGTCGGCATGCTGCATCGTTGTGGCCAACGTTGTCTTGTGCTTACAGAAGAATTTATTGAGCAATAGGGAACTGGTATCTGACCCAGCTACGATTACGACAGAGCACTCGCTCAGTAGCTCGGCTTTGACGTCGACGAAGACGTGGGAGATAGAGGCACAACAGGCTCTTCGAAGAGCTCACAAGAAACTGATGTACTACTTCTTGGTCGTGCAAGTGCTGCAGTTCCCCATGATGTTGTGTTATATTCTTGGCAAAGATGTGGTGAGCTACGCTATGTACGAGGTAGCGGACTGCATATTGCTCAGTGTGCCGCTGATTAACGCCATTATGTTTGGCGTAATGCATTTGGGAGAATCTCGATTTCCTAAAGATGAAGATGAGCTGCGGGACAACCAGACTGTGTTGCAGTCTTCTAGTTACAGTTTGCGACACGCAGAACGGCATCGAGATCGCTTGGGTGCAGGTCAATCAGCGAGTGGCGGCAACAATGGTGTTGCGAATGCATTAGCTGTGTCCTACCGTGCTGTGTTTGGAAGTAGCGTTGCAATCAATAATACTGGAAAAGAATTGATCAAGGGCACGTATGTGGTCAACGAGGCGGTGACAGTGGAAGAGCTGACTGGATTATCCAATGTGTCGTTTATTGCAGAAGGAGCTGCTGGCAGCGTCTACAAGGCCCATTGGCTGGGTATTGAGGTGGCAATGAAAGTCATCAAACTTCCTAGTGCAGGAGCAGTAGGTATGGTAGACGCGGAGCTTTACCGCACAATCATACAGAACTCAGAGGACGCGTTTATCGAAGAGGCCAAATTGTGCTCTCGACTGCGTCATCCGAATATTACGCTGTTTATACGAGCCGGATACTTTGAGGGCAAATTGGGCATTCTGACGGAGTACTGCTCAAGAGGAAGTTTGAAGGATGTGCTCAAGTGTCATTATCCACTAGGGTGGCGGCGCAAGGTGGCGCTAGCTCTTCACACAGCAAAAGGGCTGACGTATTTGCATGCGTGCAACCCAACGTATATTCACCGCGATCTCAAGGCATCTAACATTCTTGTCACTGAGACGTGGCAGGCCAAGCTGGCGGATTTCGGCATTTCGAAGGTGTCAAATTTTGTCAACCGCGTCCGGTACAGCGAGCGAACCGTCAACAGAGCCGAGCAGGATTCGAGTGTTTTGGATGAAGTCACATCATTTGCCGGCACGTGGCGCTGGAATGCTCCAGAGATCTTGCAAGACCCGCACAATTGTCGGTACAGTCGTGCAACGGATATGTATTCATTCGGTATGGTGCTGTGGGAAATTGCCTCTGATGGTGCTGTTCCCTTCAGCGACAATAGGTTTGATTTTGAGGTGCGCAAGAAGGTTCTCGCAGGACAACGGCCGCCAATCAACTCTAGGCAATGCTGTCCACAGCGCTTTGCGCAACTAATTGACGAGTGCTGGGCACAGGACCCAGCGCATCGTCCATCAGCCCCCCAAACTGCCGAAATTTTGAACACCATATTGGACGCGATGTCGAAAGGCTCGAGTGATTTCGCCACAATGGCGTCAGTGTCAGGATCCGAGTACACGAACAGCATGTTCTCGTCACTACGACACGGTGACGGCACCTCCGATCTGGATTACCGTCCCAGTTCTTTCATGGGGCAGCGCATCACGAACTTTTTCCGCGGTCGCTTCTCTGCTTTGAGTAGGACGAGCAGTGCGATGAGCGAAGAGTATCATGATCACCAGGGCCACGACCAGTTTTACAAGTTTGCGTCTCCCTATGCTGGTACAGAAAGCATTAGTATGCTGAGCGCTCGAGGTAGTGCCGCAGTGGAAGTAAGTCCGGCAAACTTCGAGTCCTCGGGTCTGCCAATTGTGGGTCTTCCGAACGATAGCCGACGTGGCGATGGTGTGGTTGGAGGGAGACTGTCATCTTTGGACGAGTACGACATTGAGACGTTCGGTAACATGCCCGACCTAACTGCTGGTGTGAGAACGACGAACGGTAAAAAAATGGCTGACGGAGGTCCCTCCTTGTTGTCGCTGCCCCGCCCGGTTGATTATGGTGGTGGCAGACGTGGAGGAGTTAGACGAAGCGAAGATCCACGACCATCAAAAGACGCACCTGCTGAGTTTGCGCGAAGTGCGAACGGCCGGATACGCAACTTTCCGTACTGAACAAAGTGCGAGATTTTGACAGCGCCGCGGCCGAAGTATTTATTGAGTGTGTCGAGAAGTCGATAGTGTTTTTGTTGTATTTAAAGTCTGTCATATACTTGCGTGGTTTTGAACACTCGGTCATGCACTACGTACAAGTAGAAGAGGACGAATAGCAATTGTAATTACTCGATCACTTAACAAGTGTGTTGCTGATGCACGCCATGCTCAGCGCTGTGCCACGCTCAACGGGTCACTTCTCGACACGGACTTAAACGCTCACTACATTAGAATAGCAGCACGCACGACGAAGGACTTTCATTCGTTTCGTCGTAGATATTCAGCACAAAAATACATCCAGGTGTATGGAGAGCATCAGTCGGTTAGTCTTATGTGGTCTCATGGAGGCCGCTTGTTCAGCGGATTCGTCAGAAACGAGGAATTCTCAGGGCAAACCACTGTCCACCCTGTATGAATAACATCACACGCTGCTCCATCAAAAGGCCAATAGTGGCAATACCTACAACACATCGACCTACGTGGGATAATTTAAAGTAAAATGTCACGGCACCAACGTTCACAGCTCGTGAGCTGTCCAGTCCACTACGTTCACAGCTCGTGAGCTGTCCAGTCCACTACGTTCACAGCTCGTGAGCTGTCCAGTCCACTCATCACCAAAACCTCGGAGAAAACATACCCTCTTCGATTGCACGACGTCGACACACTTAATCACATACAGAACCTCTTTGATCTAATACTTGCCTCGATGCAGCGCTATGCTCGATCGGTCATCGTGACCGTGGCGACTCTGACACCGCTGACAGCTTTGGCTACCGGGGAAGCAGCTAAACACTACGATGACAGCAACAAAGGCGTCTACGCTAAGCAGCAGCTACTGCGGTGGAGTCGGAGCTTTGCGGGCAAGAAAATCGCGAGTCGCGAATCTTCCGAGTCGGGAGCCGTTGACGCGTCCGCTTGGCTGGGCCCCGCACCGCCCAAGGTCCCGTACTTGCTCTCTATATCGACCGGTGATGACCCTGCAGTGGTGCTGAACACGTACGTGGATTGAGTACCGATTAGGTTCCTGGTCACATGTCTCATTGACATGTTCCTTTCAGACTGTTAGAAGGCGCCAAGGTGCTGGGGTCTTACGAGGAGCGAGCGTGCGAGACGCTCGCGCGATTTACTAGACCAACTTCACCTTTTCAGCTCTGTATACACAAAATCGCGACTCGCTATGTGACGATGAAGAAAGTATTCCATGGAGATCTTTCAATGGGTTTTGGTACTGAAGCTGATGATGTTGCGATGGATGCGATGGTACGGGCGTTGCGAGATCTAAAGTGCAGTGAGGAAGTCGATGAGAGCAGTAAAGAGCAGAGTGATTGGAACGGCGCTGGAGATAGAGAGCTTGCGCAAACCCGGCCTGCTTATCCGGTGTTTTTGATCGGAGACTTTGATGCGCTGGGTGACCTTGAAGCCGAGCGGTGGCTTCGCTGGACGCATCAAGTTTCGAGCGAAGGCTTAGCTCATGTTGTGCTCTTAACTTTTGCACCCGTGACACCGTCCAAGGCGCAGTGGCTACAGACGCGGCATAAAAACGGACTCTTTTCTGCTTTAGATGGTTCCCATGATTTTGTTAGTATTCTGCTTCGCATTGCAAATGGTCAAGTTGACTTCACCTCGGCAGAGGAAAAGCTTTGCAAAGTTGCGGTATGTGACTCAGACAATTTTTCGAGGCGAAAATTGGAAGCTTACTACTTGTGCTGAATTGTAGGAAATGTACAAGCTAAGGTTGCTCTGTGACCCTACGACCACATCCTGGAGTACGGATCTTATGAGCGACCAAAACAGTGGAGTTATAAGCGAGAGTAACAAGTATGGTGATGAGATCGAGATCATATTGACGACGAGTGGGAACTGGTGGAGTGATATAAACGAGATTTGTCGGCGTCTGAAAGAAAACAATCTGAACGATGTGACGCATCCTGATGCGCGTCTAGCGATGATCCATGAAGTATGCAACAGCTTTGTGAAAGACACAGAAAGTAGACTATTGGAAGCATTGCACTTGGATAGAAGCCTCGAGCTTCCTCGTAAACTCCACACAAGCAATGAGTCGGTGTTACCAGCATCTGTTGGTCGTGCTTCCGACGTCACAGAAACAGAGAAAGTTTTAAGCGCATTAGGGGCCTGGAAATGCTTCGAAACACTTACAGGCGTGGTGCCAGTAAGTGGAGGAAGCTCTTTTGTTTGTTCGCCGCAGCATCTTCTTGATAGGAAAAGTAAGACGCCTCTCGATTGTGTGAGCCCAATAGATGCCCTGCTGCCGTTTAACTACCGCGAAGGAGGTGAACGCAAGTTTTTGGATCTGATTGATCACCAGCTGCTACTTTTGCGACCGAAAGTATGTCACGATGTTTCGATTTGCTGGCGCTGTTATAACGTGTACTTTCGTATGTGGAATAGGATGCTGTCGAGATCGGAGTCATTCCCTGCAAGAACGCTGCTTTGATTGCCCCTTGTTGGATCCAGACCCGCCCTGTCGTCAAAAAAATCTTTGAGAAGATACACGTCAGTCATGCCGTCCTGCTGATTGTCACCTTGCTCGTTAAACTAACATTGTTTGTTGTCTCTCCTTTTGTAGAAGAGCGACATGTTTTACAAAGTCATATTGGAGTTCGATCGCCATGCTGCAAACGTCGAGGTAACGATCGCGTTTCGTTCATTGGGAGCGCTTTGATGCTAATTGCGTGGTTGTTGCAGATGCAAAACGAGATCGAGCAGTACGAACGCGAGATCGTTGAGCGGCGCAAATTCTTCTTCGAGAGGAAGAGTGACTTTGCAGTTTTACAGTTTTCAATGACTCCGGCGGAAAAGGCACAGCGCGAGGCTGAGGTATGTTTGTTTGTTGAGATTCTTGTTGCGGGTCCAAAATGCGAAAACTGATTGAGCATGTGACGGGCCTTTTAACCTGTAATAGCTTGCACTTCTTGACGTGGAACTCCAGGCAAAGGATGTATATCTGAAGAAACTTCAGTCATTACAAACACTGTGAGCATATACAAAATGCCATTTAGCCGGACTTCACGTTGAAAATATCTGCACCACGTGCGGGAGCCGTCTCAAAAATGGTAGTCGATTCATCAGCTGGCGTTCCTCTGCGCCCGCTGTAGTAGATCGACTGCACCTCATTGATAAAATCGGACACGCTGTCTTTATAGACGAGCGCAACAATACAGCCTCCCCACCCAGCTCCAGTCAGGCGGGCTCCTAACGCCCCGGCGGCCAAAGCAGCATCAACGAGGGCATCGAGTTCCGGGCAGCTGCACTCGCACAACGTCCGACAGCTGGAATGGCTCGCAGTCATGACTTTTCCGAGACTTTCCAATCGCGCCCGAAAGTTTGGCGCCTGCACGGTCTCTTGATACGACACCATGGTCTCTTTTTCACTCGTCAAGGAAGCACATATCGCCCGAAACAGCTCGACACGTTCGGCCTCACCCCACACATGCAGAGCTCTCTGCTGCAGCTTGAATGTCGACGCCGAAGCTACTACTGCCTGTGACATACGTATGTGAGCAATCTTTCTATACACTTACTGACAAGTACGTCCGTACCTTAGTGGTTGTTTCTAGTTCCGAACCAACAAACAGATCCACGATCTGCTCGCCAAACTCTTCTTCCAGTTCAGAGATCGAGTACTCCATTAGTGGACAAGGAGCTGACGCCAGCTCTTGTAAAGCGTCAAATTGCACGCACTGTTGGGTACCGCTAAGTGCAACTTGGACATCCACAAGACGCGTGATCTACTTCCACACAGACGCTCCACATTGTAAGTACAGCCTCACCCCGATCAACGCAGTGGATGCCAGGAAATTCACTGCTAACGTACCGTTCGCCAAGCATCGAGGCCGGCCTTCTTCGCAATCAGTTTTGCAGCAAGAGCACACTCAATAACGCGCTTGTTAAAGTGAGTGTCGGCATCAACAGCTTTCTCCGCCACGACGAGCGAATTCGCGACCACGAACGTCACTCTGTGCGCAGCACTCGGCACCTGCACGAACTGACTTGTTGCCGAGCCACTGGAGAACTCGAGATACAGAGCCACTCCTTGCTGCGCGAGACACGCCACGGCTTGGTCCATCCCTCCTCCCATCGTTCCCACGTGCAGTTCTGCTCGTCGACAGAGCTCCGCCAGCTCCAGTCGAGTCGGTAGCTCCTGTCCCGATCGCTGTAGAGCTGCAGCTGTAGCGAGAGCAGCAGCGACGACCAAAGCGCTGGAGCTGGACAGACCGCAGCCAGCAGGCACGTCTCCGTCCACCAGCAGCTGCAGCTCCGTCCTGTCGCTCCGAGCAAAGCGATCAGGGGAAGCTTCTCGGACGCCTTGGACTCCGCACAGCACGTACTTGGCCCAGCTAGCGCCTTGATGCGCGAGTGTGCGCATGCACTCCTGTATGTTTCCCTCCTGTGGAGACAGCGCAACAGCTTGGAATCGTGGCTGGGCATTCTGGACACATAAAAAGAACGTCCCGACTGCCGCATTTCCGCTGGGTTGAGCGGTATTGAAGGCCACGTAGACGCTCTGCTCAATCGCCATGGGCAGCACCCCGTAGCCCTCATAGTCCACGTGCTCGCCAATGAGGTTCACGCGTCCAGGAGCGCGTACGACGCCGGTAGGAGGCACGCCGAAGTGGCTCTCGAACGTCTGTATCACTTGAGACAGACGCCGCGTGAGAGGCGCGTCATCTGTAGGCAACGGCAGTGCGCAAAACGACGCCATGGTTGAAGTGACCATCACTCTTGGTCGAGATAAAATACACGTAGTTTTCGCTCGGAAGCGAAGTTAAACACCTGGAGAGCCCGAGGTCGATTCGAATATTACGCAGCCCAGCGTACACTAGCCGCATTTTATGACCGTGGCGCCACGACTGCGGAAGCCACGCGTGCTGGTAGTGGGCGGCGGCCCAGTGGGTCTGGCCACCGCCTACATGCTGGAAAAGCTCTACGACGTTCCCACTCGTGTCATCGAGCGACAGCGTCGGGCCACGGGTCACCCCCAAGCGCATTTCCTGAACCTTCGCACGATGGAGGTGCTCTACGCTACGATGCCGGCGTTTCACGACCGCTTACTGGATCAAGCAGCGCCAAGCGCCTTGGTACAGCTGTCATACTGGTTGATAGGTGTGTAAATGTACTGGAGTTGACTATGGACGTGTCGAATGCCAGTGGCGGGACTATGTTTACTGCACAGGGATGGGCCAAGATCGAGAGATTGCGCGCATTGACCAGTTTGGACCCGGTATGGAGCGGTTTTTTGTGTGGATTGGTTTTGTATAAATTTGTACAGGGTTTTGTTACGGAGCTCTTACGTCTTTGCTGTGTAGGCATTCCACGTGATACCGTCCAGGAGGCAGTGGCTGCAGGTGATAGTCTGCGCACGTCGCTGAAGGCACTGTCACCGACGCAGTTCCTGCATTTCCCTCAAAACCGATTCGAGAAGCTGTTGGACACCTTTTTGGCTGAAAATGACGTGCAGATTGAGCGTGGCGTTGAGCTAGAGAAGCTTGTCTTACCGTTTGATGGTTCTGTCATGCAGCAAGCTCAAGTGACTGTGACTCTCCGTCGTCTGTAAGTACGTGGATACAAGCACTGGCAGTTAGTGTGTCGAAAGCTGATGAAAAGCTGGGACATTCTTGTCTGCTGTGGTGTTACAGAGATACGGACACACTCGAAGAAGAGTCGTACGACTATGTCATTGGAGCAGATGGTGCCCATAGCCTTGTGCGCCAGCTCTGTGGAATCGACATGGTGGGATCGTGCAACCTGCAAAGTATTGCCAATGTGCACTTCACAAGCAAGGTGCTGTCGAAAGCTGCACGCGAGAATCCGGCCATGCTGTACTTTGTGGTAAGGAAGGAGATTTTTGCGGTCGTGCATGGTGCAAGTCATTCTAAAGATGGTGCTGCATCTGATGTGCTTGATAGTTCAACAAAGATGTCGTTGGAATTCTGATCGCTCATGACCTCAACCGAGGCGAGTGGGTCTTCCAGATACCGTTTTTTCCACCTCAAGAATCCATTCCCTGGGACTTCTCCATTGCCCAATGCAAAGAAATCATCCGTTGTGTATTGCCCAAAAACGTCAAGGTCAGCGATAACGACATCAACATTCTATCAGCTGGACAATGGCGGATGGGAGCTCGCGTAGCAAAGCAGTATGATGCTGGCAAACAGCGGGTTTTCCTCGTAGGTGATGCAGCGCACCAGTTTCCACCGGCAGGGGGATTCGGCATGAACACCGGATTGCAGGACGCGCACAATTTGGTGTGGAAGCTAGCCCTCGCGATTCAGATGAACTCGGAGCATTCTTCGGCTGGTCGTGTTGATTCTCAAGCGCTGTTGCAATCGTACGGCCGCGAGCGCCTGCAGATTGCCAAAATAAACACGCAAGTCAGTCTGAGAAATGTGGCTCGGATCATGAAAATCCCACAAGCACTACACGTATCCCACGACCACGCCCAGATGCTGGCAAAGTTCATCAACTCTGCGCCGATGCAACTTTTACCGCTGCGCGCTCAACGTGAAATTGCGCAGCGGATTATGCGTGTTGGTAAGATGCCACTTGGGCTTTTGGATGAAGCTGAGGATGTGGACGGACCGGGAAGTATGCTCGGCAGTCGCATGCGCGCCAGCGTGCAAGATATCGTGACGCATCGTAAGTCAATCGGAATGTTGTTCTACCACTTCGATATCGGATTTTCCTACGACGCTTGTTCGTGGGCGGCGCGTGCCAAGAGGCTTATGGAAGATACAGCGCTTGATCAGTCCGCGGAATTTCGTACCGAAAATGGCGTCAATGATGATACCACCTACAGTCCAACCGTTTGCGTGGGGGAGAGATTCCCCCACTTTTGGTGCACTTGCAATGGCGCCAAGGTTTCCACTCACGACATGACGCGGCTAGCTATGCAAGAGTCGAAATCGGATGAGGGCACTAAGAACGTGCAGTTTGTCCTTGTCGTTGGCGGACGTCATGCTGCACAAGTCACCCATTTATGCTCGACTCCGACTGCACCGGAGGTGGCTAAACACGTATCTCTTGTTATTCTGCGGTCTTGTGCTGACGGCAACAGCGCACAAGTTGATACTGCAATTGCCAAGGCTCAGACATCATTGGCGTTCAACTCTGTGCTTTCGTTGCAAGTTGACCAAGAAACAAGCAACGAGACATGGAAGAGATTTGTAAACAATAACGTTGCTGCTCTCGTTCGTCCAGACGGCCACGTCGGTGTTCTGTGGAAAGCTGGAGCATCCGACCTCATCACTCGTACAATGCTCGTGCAGTCGACGCAGCAGGCTGTTGAGCTCAGCTGAAAACACATCTACATTAGAGAGCAAAAAGCAGAACCGTAGCTCCAGCAATTTCGGAGAAGAAGCTTGTCCCGGATAAAATGTTGCTGAAAAGGACCTTTGTAGAAGAATTACCGCGTCCAAATCAACGCAGTCGTAAGCATATTAGCTATAGCAGCCGTCTGACATCTCACCTCACCTGCCGTTGAGCTTCCAGTCTCACTACTGAAAGGTACAATTGCCACACCAGTCGTTGCATCTACTATCAAATGTACGAAAATATACGGTACCATAACTGACCGTGACAACACTTTCAGCACCGGTAAATGACTCGAGCTCGCGACAATCTGCGATCAACTCCTCTCAGCGCAACTCGACCTCGATGACAACCATGCACTAATGCAAGAGCGTACTGACTTTAATCCGTTCAGCAGGTACAGTAGACGTTGTCCCGTGACGCCAACGCCGATGGGTCCAGTGGCATTACATGCGATGCTGGTAGCAGCAAGAGCGATGGCCAACAAGACGTTGAATCCAACAGCTCCCGCTACCGCGATGCTTCAGCTATGCAGCGAATCATGTCCTTTCGACTGCGAGCGAGACCTTCTTCAGATTTCCGCAACCTCGATCCGCCTCCGTTAAGACCATGTGTGTCATGCTGTCCATCTCCATCTTGCTAACCTTGTCAAGTCAGTCCCACTGATCACAACCTTTGTCAAGCCAGTCGGCACAGTCTCACAATCCGTACGACCACAGTCAACGGAACCTATGTCGAACCTCTTTGGTCAGTCCGGGACTCGTCAAGTGCAGCATCAACATCCGGATCCGCAGTCAAAGTAGCAGCTAATGAGATCGACTGAGATCGAAGTACAGCAGCTTCACCACGACCACCGCCATCTTCACGCACCATCTCTGCAGCGTCCACCCTCACATCTTCACCGGCAACAACAACCACAGTGACACCATCTCGGCCTTCTTCCTCCTCCGACTCACTCTCCACTGTATCTGCCACACTGTCGACACCTCTTGCTCTCGCTGCTGAAGGCGAGCTCAACAGCTGGTGGCGATTGCTGTTCATGACTTTGTACGGTCCTTTGCACATCCGGTCGTAGAGCAGAAAGCCCCACGCAATGAGCGAGAGCCCCACAAAGAGGTAAAACCGCGTCGTCACCATCTCCTCCTCCCGACCGCCATCGTAGCACACGCACGAATTCAAGTAGATGCTCGTCATGCACTCGTTGCGGAACCGGCAGCAGCACGGCTGAAACGTCGCCAGCACGTCCCCGCAAAACACGCCAGTCGACTGGTTGTGCACAGCCAAAGAGCAGTTTTCCTCGTTGCGGCACAAGGCACAGCCGCGATCGGAAGGCGCGTAGAGGTCCAGACTCGTCTCGGGTCTCCCCTGGTCGTCTGCGAGGATGTAGCCAAACATGGCTTGAGGCTCAGCTGCTGCGAGAGATGAGAGCGCGAGGAGCAGGAGAGTGAGACGAAGAGGAGGCGTAGAGACGGAGCCGCGCGTCATGACGGACGCGACGGAATACCGAGATGAGACGCAGTGGAGTCAGCTTGCTTTTTATAAAAAGTCAAGTTGTTTTTTCAGCTGTTTCGAGTCAGAGTTGCTGTCGCGGTTTTATGGTCCGATCGACCGATCGTCTTGTCGAATTCGAAATGGGCAAAGATTAAAAGTGGGAGGTCAGAGGTCGCGGCATTTGTAGGTTGTCCATTTCGAGATCGAGTTGTAGGTTCGGAACCCGTCTTGACATCGCACGTGTAGTCTATTATTTGTCGGAACACAAATGAAGAGCAGTCCTCATTTATGAAATATTAGCGGGCTTAAACACATTGAAGCCGTCGCTAGCTGTACTCACGAGCACACCTGGGCACTGCGGATGAAAATGCAGCTCCTTGATGTCAGTCTGACCCTGATGGATGAACAGCAACTGCGGTGGCAAGTCCAGTTTGGCCTCGCCGTTTTCGCCATCAACAGGCCCAACAGCCTCTGCGTCCTCTTCTACGGACATGTCCCAAACCGAGATCTGGTTGTCAGCACCAGACACAGCAAGTACCGACTCATCGGTCGGATGCCACTCGATCGATGTGACTGGTGCCGTGTGGTACCTAAAGTGCGCCACTGGGTTATCGCTCTTGAAGTTACGAAGATCCCAAATCTTGAATGAGCCATCGTCCGAGCCAGACGCCAACAGATACGCAACGTTCCGGTTCCACGTGATCACATTTACATCATCCTCATGCGCAGCAACATCCAGCATACTTCCAGCCTTCCGCCGGGTGTCCCAAATTCGAACAGTGCGGTCGGACGAGCACGACGCGAACACTGACGCCTCGGTGACGCTCCACTGCAGATCCTCTACTGAGCTTTTGTGGCCTGTAAACGGCACCTTGTCAACAGTCCACGTACTCTCCGAGTTGGCCCAGAGATAGATAAACTTGCTGCAGTCGCCCGTCACGAGTCGACCGGTCTCCACCGAAGACCAGTCCATGGCAAAACCTTCATCAGCGTGTCCAGAGAACGTGTAAACAGGTGCTTGCTTGGCTGGCAAAGCAGCACTCGCCTTGCCATCCAGCGACTCGAGTTGCTTGCTGATATCCCAAAGGTGGACCTTTTTGCGGTCCGACCAGGTGGCGACTATATTCGAAGATTGCGGCATACAACGGATACGATTGACGCCACCAGTGTGTGGAATAGAACGGGACTCGAGCACTGGGTCTCCTTCGGTCTCGTCATCGTCGTCAGAGTCTTCACCGTCCGAGTCCAAGTCGTCGTTGTGCTTGGTCTTGTGCAGCTCCGACATCTTCATGACTGTGATGTGATTCTCATCAGTGTCGGTTGCCTGTGTGCCAGCCACCACAAACATCGTCATCGGGAAGCGAGACCGCATAGGACCAAGATCGTCGCGCACGACGTCAATGCTAAGCGAAGGCCACTCGGCCGTCATCGCGTAGTACATGTCATAGGCGCTACTGTCGTAGTCCAGCACCTCGTCGTCCTGCAGCTTGTCCACGCCAGGCATGAACACCTTCTTCGCTTGCTTGTCCGTCTGCTCGTTCCCTTCCATGTCCACGTCGTTATCAGCAGCTCGTTCCCCGTCCACGACCTCCTCGTTCTCGTCGTCGCTCTCGACCATCTCCTCGTCTTCCACGTCGTCTCCAAAAGGGTCCTCGAACACCAAGTTCTCCTCATCATTGGGCGGTTGCGCCGTGTGGCGCTTCAGGTCACCCGAACACTCGACAGCTGAGCGTTTCTTTAGCTCGCTCATGACTCAGACTGCAGCACTGAAGAGGCTACGAGCGGTCCTCGACAAGCAGGACGCGCAGCACGAGAATGGCGAGTCGTGGACCAATGATGCACAGATACACCTTGCTTGATTGGCTATAATCGAATGGTCCGCACAATTGTGTGTACCACCTCGATACGCACGCCCCGAATGCAAAGATACCGGTTTTACATACTGGTAATCGGTCCGGCGGTCTAGCAACAATCATGCTGCGCTCTCTGAGGCGACGTCCGGCGACGGTGCTACCACACCGGGCGCTCAGTACAAAGCGTGAGGGACGTAAAAAGGAAGAAATGGAGATCCAGTCATCGGTTCGGTACGAAGTGGGCGGCTCATTGATGGTTTTACTGTGATGGAGAGACGTTTAGTATTGAAACTGGTCTGTGTCAATAGGACTTTGGATTACGACGGATACTTGTGCGGTCTGCTACTGCCGCTACTGACTCGGCCGTCCGTCTTTGCAATTGTAAGAATCCATACAATTTGACAGTCTAAATCTGGAGCAGTTATCATACTGACGTGCTATGATCGTTGCCCGTTGCGGAGTATAGCGCGCTTTCAATGCCGAGATCGCGACTGTCAAAGACTCGGTGCATAGTAATCAGATCACAGGCAAGATCCGTATGCAATGGTGGAGAGAACGTATCTACCATCTGTATGAAGTTTCAGCTGCATCGGGTGCTGCGAGACCGGAGCAGTCGACCATGTTACTGCGGGGGCTGGACAAGGCTGTTCAAGAGCATGACTTGACACGGAGATGGTTTGAGCGGATGCTGGATGCGCGTGACCGAGACCTCGATCGTGATGAAGTTCAGGACATTCAAGAGCTCGAAGCATATGCGGAACAGACAGCTTCGTCACTGCTGTACCTCACTCTAGAGTGCCTCGGTGTTCGCAACGACACGGCAGACCGAGTCGCGGGACACGCTGGTGTAGCTATTGGCTTTGCGACGCTGTTGCGAGGCACGGCGTACCATACTTCACGACAGCAGTCTTACCTTCCTCAGGACCTCATGATCAAGGTACGGATGCCAATATCTGTCTTGCAGTTCATTATTCCGAATCTTAGTGCTCACCATCTTGTTGTATGCACAGCATGGTGTGACCACGGAGGATCTGCTAGCCGCGGTTGAAGACCCCAAGTTGGGCGAAAAAGTAGCGCCAGTGGTGTTCGATGTCGCTTGCCGTGCGATGGAGCACCTCCACGAAGCTCGATCGCTGCGGAAGGAATTGCCCATTGAGTCGCGCAGGGTGTTCCTGCCCCTAGTGAGCGCTGCGATGTATCTGAAGGAGCTGGAGGCAGCCAACTTTAATGCCTTCGCCGCGGAGTTGCAGCGCCGCAACATGTTTCAGATGCACGTGCAGGTGCTGAAGCACTTTTTCTTGCGCAGATATTAGACAAACGGCCACTCTGGTCGCAGTACGCAATGGGATAGTCACGCAAAATACGCACGCAACACACAGCGCTTCCCTCTCTGTCTTCTTTATCCAATTCTTGCCTAGTTTAAGCTGCTTGCCCAATATCCGGGTCTTGTAGTCTCTCTCGCTGGAGCGCAAAGGTACACATGGAAGCTCCTGCCGCTTGCACACGTAACGAACTCTCTGTTGATCTCCCACAAGCTGCAAGAGCGCGATGGACAATGCGAGACATCCCACACACTCTCCAGGACGCTAGCTCCTCTGCTTCTTGGTCGATCCTACTGATTTATTCGCACTGGAGCCACTGCCTCCACCCCCCTGATGGTTTTGCTGCTGTTGACCACTCATTGACCGCCGCTTGGCGTCTAATGCCGCCAATTGACCCTGTAGCTGGTCCTTCTTCAGCTTCACGCGGTTTTCAAACTCGAAGCCGCTCTTGAAGTAGTCCAAACGCGACGGCGCCGAGATGTGCAGCAGCTCCTCCTCAATAGCACACGCCTATAGTCATCCAGCGAAACGAACAACAACGACAGCAGCAGCAGCAGCAAAAGACACGTGAGAGACAACGACACACACACACACACCATCACATAGACAGAGACGTGGAAACACGCCCAGGAGCCTCACCACTTGCAGCAAATCTTCGTACGTCGAGCAGCGACTCGTGTACGCGTCCCGGATCTTCGAGCGCACGGCTTGGCGCTCTTCAATCGTCAAGTACATCCGCCAGTCCTGCATCGTGGACGACTGGGAGATGCTGCGCATCGCAGTCGCAGCAGTCACGTTGCTACTAGCGGCAGACGAGGCGCTACCACCGCCTGCAGACGGGCCGCTACTGCCGCCCCGGAGCGTCGAGTTCCCTGACGGACGGTTGTAGACGCCCGAGGACGTGACGGCGCGCAGCATCTGCGGCGGGTTCGTGTTACACGTCGCGTGCAGGACGGACGGGATCGAGTTCATGCTGTTCATGCCGACGCTCAAGTGACTCGTGAGTCCGCCCGGGTGGCCGTGGCCCACGCTGCTGGCTGCTCCCCCGCTGAGCGTGCGCTTGAGGGACGGGATGGCCTGCGCCGAGCCGCTCCCCGGGTCGTTCTTCATCTGGCCGAGGTTCATGTTGCTACTGTCTGTGCCATGCAGCGGTTCCGGGTGTGGTTTACTTGAATTCCCCCTCTTTCCAGTATAGTACTGAGAAGCGCGGCGGTATAGCTACCGGTACCCACCGGTTTTGAGGTCGACACTAAATCGGGCTTTTACCACCTGCAAGACGGGACAAGGACGCAATCGGCTGGTTCGACATGCATCACGTGTTACTAAAGGGTTAAAAGGGATCGTGCGGCCACACGGCTGGCTGGAACGTGTCGCAAAAGTCGTCGAATGCCATGTCGAGCGACGCCTCCAACGCCTTGATCCGGGAAGGCATTGGCGCTCCTAATACTGCTGCATCGACGTCACCTCGTTGCTTCCACGTCCGAGCAAGTGCGCGAGTCTTTGCAGCTTGAATCTCGTCATGCAAGTCACTCGACCGACTTGAGCTGCACGTAGTTGTAGCGTTTGCTGCGCGTGACTGCTGCTTCGTTCTCTCCTTCTTCTTGTTCTTCTGCTTCTTCTTCTTCATTTGGCGCTCCTTGTTTGCACTGTTGGGCCGTTGATCTAATCGAATAGAAGACCGGAAGCGTTCTCGCCACTCATCACTGAGTACGTAGACGCACTCGTACGCACCGTCTTCACCTTCTTCAGAAATCCCATCAACGCTCTGTTGCGCATCAAAACTTGCTACAGACACACGCTCTTGATCAGCTGCAAAAGCAGTATACGCTACTGCAGGACCTGCGGCCCATTGTGCTTGACCAAATGTGGTAGAAGTGAGCCATCTGCCCTTCTGCTGCTGCTGCTGCTGCTGCTCTGCGAAGATCTTCGGCCAAGCGTCTGGAAAAGGGAACGGCGGTGGAATGTAGGAGCCATCCATGTCAATCACGACACGAAACCGGTAACATCTGACTGTGTAAAATACCACGACTACCCGGTAGTCACTAAATTCGTGGCTGGTTCACCGTGTCGACACAATCGTTTGGCTCGTCATGGCGGCTCGGAAGAAGCGCTCTCGCGGCTCCAATGAGGCTCTCGCGGGCTCGAAAAGTAGCCAGAAAGATGACAACGAGGTCCAAGCAATGGTAGACGATTCACAGGGTGAAAGCAGTGACGACAGCGAGGACGATCTCACGTTCGCGGCGGCTCCTGATGGCGCACAGGAAGACGACGACGACGACGACGACGACGACGATGATGATGATGATATGGACGGTGAAAAGACTGCAGCGACCACTGGAGGAAACGTGAGCGTGGAATTCCTCTTCGCCGACCCGCGGGAGCTGCACTTCCACAGCATCAAGCAGCTCTTATTGGCTTATTTGCCGCCTTCGCAGCCTCTCGACATCTCCGGTTTAGCCAACGTTGTCGTGGGCCAAGTCACCGTCGGCACTATGGTCTGCGTGGAAGGAGAGACCGATGTCTACGGATTCATTACTGCCTTGAATTTGAGGCGGTACGAGAAGGAAATAAGCATCCAACAGATCGTGCAGTATGTGACCAAGAAATGCTCAAGTGCTGACCTTCCCAAGCTGCAGCAGATCCTTTGCACGAAAAACGTGGGACTCGTGCTCAATGAGCGCATGGTGAATCTTCCATATCAACTGGTGCCGGCACTGCACTCGGCTCTGCACGAAGATATTGAGTGGGCGATGGAGAACGAGGACACGAAGGAGCTACGTGACAGCTTCCAAATGGACTACTTTCTCATCCTTTCTACTTGCATGGAGGAAAAAAGTGGTAGTAGTGGCTCCAAGAAAAGCAAGAAGACCAAGACAGCGTATGAACAGACGGCAAAATTCTTCCACAACTTTGAAGACGAGTTCCTTCAGCAGGAGGCGGAGCTGACGTTCTCATTCGATGCGCCGTTGACCGAGCGCGAGCGCGTGGACAAGAGCAGTAAAACGACTGTCGTGATGCTGCTCAAGCGTGAGAAGCACAAAGCGGCTTTGACCAGTATTTCGGCCATGATCAACGTGTAAAAGAATATTTAGCGCTCATGTTTGACCTGGTGTGACATTGGCCCGGACGTAGGTGTTTTTTGCTGACCAATTTTTCGCGATCCCGATCCTTGTCGATTGAATTGGAGCTGAAGTTCTCCTTTGTGTCGAGAGATGTGTTCGCTTCAAAGAGATGATGGGGCTCGCTCTCCGGTCGCCTCTAGAGCCAAACTTTATCAACTCGTCCACTCGCGACAGCGATTCACAGCGTATCTGTCTTCGGCCGATATGCGTACCGTTGCATGGGTAAATTGTCTTATTCAGCAGAGGAATGTGAACGCAGAAACATTTCGCGCAAGCTCTTCCAGCCATCATGCAGTGCTCGCACATTGCAAACTGCCTTGCCATCGATTATGTTTGCTCAGTATCAGCGTCACAGCGAGTGAAGGAGCTTACTGGTTATACAGAAGCAGTTGCCAGGTCAGTTCTTGCTCATTTATAAAGCGTCGATAAAGATCATTTTGCATTTCAACTACTGCCGAATGTAGTAATCGCATGCATTTTTAATTCAGCAGCAGCTTCTTGTCAAGCGCGTTAGCAGTTGTGGTATGATGCGCAACGCATTGTTCCGCGTGGTATGAGCAGATAAAGCAAAAGCTGAACGTTTTGCAGAGAATCACCGCACCCTGTGGGTGGCTCATCTCGTAATTGGTTCTCGCTTGCACTCTTTGAAACCCGATTGCTCGCTTTGACATATCATGTGTCTGGTTGGCTGCTGGCAAAATTCGATACAAGGTCTGCAAACGGACTGACTGGTGTTTCCGATGTCGTGGACACCGTAAATTGCACTACGCAAAATGCATTTCCTTTGTACGGACAGTGCATCACGTACCTGTTGGTCCATTGACTTTTGAAGTAGTGGCCAGCTGCATCGTTGACTGCAGTGCTCATACTGCTGAGGAATGTGTCCTGACAACAGCAGAGTGATCGATGCACGATATTGATGTGTGACTGATGACGGTGGTGCGTCACTTTCGCACACACCTCCCGTTTCTCTCGCCACTAAGTTGCTACAGTTACGCAACAATCAGAAATGTCATCTGAGGTGCCGGACAGTTCCCCCCCTTCGGTTAGGCTCGTCGCTGAGTCAGCAATTAGTACCGCGGTTTTGGCTCAAGTTGAAGTTCCAGCAATCAGCACGTTCTGTATACACTGTTCTAACGGCACAACGAGCTCGAACCCGGAAGCGCTTTAACCCTCCGTGGGAATGAACATGCTCTTCACGTACGCAAAAATGCTTTCGAAGACGGTAAGAAGAGTGACGGGAAAGGTGCTCCGTAAGGCAGCATCCCGTTTCTCTGCAGCTACTCGATATCTACTCGGCTTCCCTCCGGTCGAGCTACCGAATGGAACTCAGCAGCTTCTGAGCCCCGAGAGAGCTAACAGCACAATGCCGAAGAAGTTCGCGAAAGACCGGGTCTCTGCATCTGGAGAGTTCAAGTGGGAGGCTGGCGGTCAGGATTTACTGGACGAGACGGACAAGCGAAGCTTGAACGATTCTGGCTCAAGCACGGAAGACGAGCTGATCGAATTGAGTGACGGGGAAGAGCGATCGGCTTTGATCTCCTCGCTCAGTACGAGCCGATATTCACGTCTCCTCTCGACTTCAGCTAAATGACGAGCTTGGATTCGACGACTTCGCTCATGTAAGACGACCAAAAAAAGGAAAAACCCAACCGACAGACGACCAAAAAAGAAAAACCTACAGACAGACGACCAAAAAAGGAAAAACCTACAGACAGACGACCCAAAAAAGAAAAATCCATCAGCCTGACGACCGCCAAAACCGTGTCGCTGTTTACGGTGAAAAAACGCTCGTGCTTGCTTTTCGTCCAATCAGGTCTCGGTTGGAGAAAAAATTCGACCTTGTGTGGCTGTAGAACCAACGATGGCGTGGCGGACCTCAAAGCGCCCGGCGCTGGTCCATCTCTTGGCTGCTGTCGTGCCTGTCGCGTGCTCGTTGGTGCTGTCCCTTCAGGTGCCAAGTGTTGCGGCGTCTCGGTACAATTATAATGGCGTCAAACGGTCTGGACTTGTCGACGTTGTTGACGAAGATGAAGACGAGGAGGAGTTGGAAAAGGGGTGGGATTTCATGGACGACGACGCTATCTTGGGACTTGACGAGCGGCACAGTGATACGATTGGAGCAAACGCGATGAAAACTGACGTCATGTGCGTCGATTCATTGCCATATGATCGCGTGGACGATGATTACTGCGACTGCATCGATGGGAGCGACGAGCCCAACACGTCGGCGTGTTCTTACGTCCTGCTGAGCTCGGAGAAGGCACCATTTGGTCGAGAGTTTCGCTGCAAGTCCGACGATAAACTGGTGTCAATGACCTGCGTAGACGACGGAGTGTGCGACTGCTGTGATGGGAGCGATGAGGATGAGGGGATGTGTAGTGACACTTGCCAGAAGGAATGGCAGATGAGACTGAAGACGCTTGACGAGAGGATGGAAGCGGTGCAAGAGGGATTTAAATACCGTAAATTGTACTTGCAGGATGCTATGGACAAAGTTGAGCAGCTGACGGACGACCATAAACGCCTCGTTGACGCTTATCAGACTGGCAAGTATGCTTATGAAGATACCCAACGTCGGGCACAACACGATCCAGCGCTGCGACAAGAGCTAGAGTATTCGTTTAATGTGCTACGTAGGGTGCAGTATATCACGTACGTGCAGAGTCGTGTCGTTGATCCAGGCACATTCTTGACCGCCGACTGGAAACCTGCTTTTGTGAAGCTTGTGGGGCGGTGTTTCTCGTACACAGTGGACGAAAAGGCATTGAAGGGCGGGACGCCTAATGTTATCCCTCGCACGTATGAAGTGGTTTTGTGTCCATTCCAAAATATCTCACAGGCAGAACCGTCGTACGTACAATGGATGAAGGAAGAACGCCGAACAAAAGGCGTAGCTGCTGCGGTGGATGAAAGCGAAAAGGAAGAAGAAGACGGAAATCCACGACCGATTATATTGGGCATCTGGAACGAGTGGCAAGATACGGTCGGTTTTACTCACGTACAAAGTTACAACCACGGCGAGCATTGCAATAATGGGAAGGAGCGCCAGACACGTGTAGAGCTTTCTTGCGGCGCAACGAATCGTGTAGTGTCTGTGGAGGAGCGTGAAATGTGCGTCTACGAGATTCGTTTTGAGACCCCAGCTGCGTGTGATGAGCTTGAAGAAAGTGCATTGCTGGAAGAAATTAATCGACTCAAACGATTCCCGAGAGATCAACGACGTCAGGACGAAGCTGCTGCAAAGGTGAATCGTCGACCGGATGATCATGAGGAGCTGTAGGTGATGGATCAATCAGGGTGCACTAGAGGGAGGACACATGGGTAGTGAGAGTACCAGTACTGTGAAAATATAATGAATGAAGGGCGATAGCACATTTCTCTCATAAATGGTTGCTCAACATTTCTGCTAATAACTTTTTGGGTAAATAAGATCAAAGCCATGTCACAGGAGCGGGATACCCACAACATTTTTTTTAACTTTAACCGTAAGTCAAGGAGTGTATTTGGTGATGGTACGCATTCTGAATATTTACCGCACTTACAATCAATGTGGCGTCTTGCCGTACAACCGATGCTTCGTACTTGCCATAAATTCGCGCATACAATGTAGAATAACTCTATGAGCAATCACATATAGGGATTTCATAAATTCACCACACCTATATTCTGTTTGCACCACAGTACCCTCAATCACATGGTAAAGAAGATGCTGTACGAACCTAACAACGTTGCTATTTCCAACAACACCACTTTATTCCGACCCCAACTAAAGATAAAATACAGAATTTACCACACATCATTATCTTTCATTAAATTAAAAAAATATATTCTGTAGCGGGGCTACACAGCTCCTTAAGTCAGAGGAAGACTTAGTGCTCAAATGTAACGGGGCACCCTTTGTCTGGGGTGCCGCAAAACTTCACGTACACTAGTACGTGCAGAGGAAGATAAACTACTTGAACGACTCGTTCAAGTAAAGGTAAAAAAGAGATCTGTATTTAATATAGGTAAGCTATCAATAAAACTTCAATCTTTATCTGACTATATTATACTACGTCGTCGTATGACGACAACCTGCTCATCACTCATTGCGCGCGTCTAGCAGCGATTGGTGGCAATCTATAGTTGATGTCTTATATCAACCAATCTTGGAGCAGCACATGAATATTTTCATTAGGGGACAATATCCCTTCTATATTATCTATCTCGGATAATACTGTATCGGTAGAATACTATCATGCTAGACAATATTTCTATTGACACCGCTTGGTGTCAATATCATGTGACGGACTACCCCGTTACATCACCCCGCCCCCTTAACCGACAATCACCCGTTGATTGAATTAGAATTGATTGGGACAGGGTGACCACCGTTGGATCACTCTGGAAAAGGGAACACTTGTCGGTCAAATCCCATTCATCTGCCAATCTAACGTATAATTTCGAAAATCAAGCGAGTTGCTACTGCAGCAGCAAGAAGGGCGGCTGCAAGCATGCGTGCAGCCGCGGAATCTGCCTTTCACACCTCACCAGCAGGTGATTCGTCACCTGTTGTTGTGAATCGTCCGCGTGGTGAGTCACCACGTGCGATTGGTACATCCGCTGCGTCTGCAGCGGGTACCACGAGTCGTAATCGAGATGAGCCTGAAATAGAGCTCATCTATTCTGGCGAGTCGGATGATGCATCCGACTCGAAGGCGACACCTCGCGCCTCTGGGTCACCCGGGGTGGACACTGCAAGAGCCAGGTTGACTGGCTCTGGTTAACGTGGCGTTATCATGTCCGAGATCTTCGGATCGAGCGATTATTCCGACGAATCTCCGCCTCACGCAAGTCCATGGAACGATAGTACGCGTGGGGATGGTGGTGATGCACCTATACATCACCACGAGCGAAGTCACTCGAGGGATCGGGGTATCACTGGTGTCCGCGCTCACGCTGGCACCAATCACGAGGCCAGGGACCGAAATATCCTGCGCCACGCTCCTCAAGTGGAGTCTCCGTGGATGCCGTCATCCAGAGAGTTGAACCGAAGGGCCGACATGACTACCGAACAGGATCAAATCCCGTTGTTCGATTACAAGGAGGTCTGCCTACCTGATTCCAGCACGGAAATTATCCGTGCTGAGGAAGAATTCTTCACCGATTCGTTCTTCAAACATCGGTAAGACAATGGCAGCCGTGTTCGAGACGGCAAAGCCTTGGTACAAGGATGGAATGCCTCATCCACAACATCGAGTGCATTGGCCATGAGGCCCGGCTCGCCAAACTTGATACAGCTCGCATCAGGTTTGAGAAACGCAACCCAGTCGGGGTGCAATACAAGTTGCACCGGGTTTCAAGAGAGGCGGGATTACCCTGTCTCTCGTGGGGTGATTCGTGTCCAGGTTTTCTGGACAACTCGAACCGTGCCCCTGGGGAGGCCTATTTCCCTAATGATTCCTACTGGAGGGCGCGCATCTCTTCCGAGATGGCCGAAGGGATTGATACCTTGCAATTTCTGTACTCACGTTCGGGGAGGTCGTTTTTCGACGGCCCTTCTTCGAGCGCAGCGAGTGGGTCTCGTCGTACTGCTCGACGAGGCCAAGGAGATCAACAATCAGCTGGTCACGAGGCTCCCAGCTCTCCCATGCTGGTGGATAGCCACGCCAGCGGACGAGTTTACTCGTCCGGACGCTATTCACGTTGCGGTGGTTCAAAAAAACGCTCCACTAGGAAGCGTTGACCACAGCTTGAGTCCACCAAGGGTGTGGTGGCGGCGGGAACACCTGATCCGGATCGAGGGTCGTATCAGCTAGATGTTCAGAAGCTGGACCGTGTAACCGATCAGTTACAAGATGAATTAGCTCAGGAACGGACTCGGCGTTATGAGCTTCATGATCTTGTAAACGATAATTACAATTTCTTAGCGCACGATCGTTCGAACGATCGTGACGCGTTTGCGTTCGCGCAACTTGAGAACGAACGTTCGATTCATTCTCTTCGTGACGAGATGACTGCAGCATGTCAAGACATCGCTCAACTTCTTGATCAGGTCGCTTCGCTAGCCGACCAGACTTGCTCGCTGAAACGGGATCACTTGAAGGTGGTCTCGTCTCTCGACCGCGGAGGTGTTCCTCGCATCTCAAACCGGGCTCGTACTGATCGTACGGGCGGACACATCCAACGTAAAACGTAGGATGCGTACGCATCTTACGGGGCAGTTCAATCGTGTATGCGTTGCCCATTCGGCGCAACACACGAAATGGACCGATGTACTTGGGCAGTAATTTACTGCGGCCCACGTTTGTTGCTGCGTGTTTCGGTAAGTTAACTGTAGACAGTAAAACTAGTTCTCCTTCATCAAATAAAAGAACATTTGCTCTTCCATGTTTGTCTGTGTTTCTCTTCTGTCTGTCCAGTGCATCTGCAACAGATTCTTGAACAAAGCGGACAGCCGCTTCGCGAGTCAGCAGAAATCCCTCTGCTGATTCATCCTTGTCAACAGCAGTGCGCTTCGTGTGCACTGCTGAAAGAACATTGTCTTAATCAGTGAGGGCGTCATCGTCCTCACTTTGGCAGCCGTTGGCGATGCTTTATATATACATCATCGTCGTCATCATCATCTTCGACATCGATCGCTTTGACATCGGCATCCATCACGACGACACCATTGTCGACGGGTGATGAGCAAGAACCAGGTCGTTTTTTGTTCGAGCGAGTCTACCCCCCTTAAACTAGAGTCACACTCTAAGAAGGCGGATAAACGTGGATGGCGTAGGCGGTTCACGAAGAACGGTGTTTGCGTTGTCGACGCGTGGACCGAGTTGTTGATGGCGAATTCCGCCATCGGCAAGTACTCACTCCAGCTCGAAAAACGAGTGGACGTACCCTCGAAGTATTCCTTCGAAAACGCGGTTGACGCGTTCCGTCCGACCATCTGATTCTGGATAATTAGAAGTCGACGTCTTCAAACGTGTTACAAGTGAACGGAACACGGATTGCCAGAACTCCGCCGTAAAGCGGGGGTCCCTATCGGACACGAGTTCACGGGGTAACCCGTGAAGTCGGAAGATGGTATCAATGAAGACACGTGCACAGCCCTGTGCTGTGAAGGACTCCGGTACAGCAACAAGATGTACCATCGTGCTGAACCGATCCACAAACACAACAATACCAGTATTCTTATGAACGTCCTTGGGAAATCCGAAGACGAAGTCCATCGATACGGACTGCCAACACTCTTCCGGAATCGGTAGAGGCTGCAAGGGTGCGCGGGATGAGAACTAGGCCTCACCCACCGACAATCTTCGCAAGCGCGAAGGTATTTTCGCAAAAACCCATACTGGCGGGGCTAGTAGAAGTCACGACTCACCGTGAGGTTGGCCTTTTCCCTACCGCGATGCTCGCTCGGTGGGGCATCGTGACACTCATACATGATGCGCAGTCGCAGATCATCATGAGCCGGAACGACGACACGAGGTGTGCTGCCGCTCACTGCTGTATAGCACAGCAATCTATCACGAACAGAACACCGTTCGGTTGAAGAGCGGTATTGAGACGACAAGCTGTTCAAAGCTTGACTGCATGGATTGGATACATGATCCATCAATCGCAGAAGAGATTCATCTTCTGCTTATGCTTTTCGCACGTCGTCGAGCAGATCGACGACGGAACAATCACTGTTAGTGTCGCTACAGTGGGGTCACCCCTACTGTTGTGTTGAGCAGTCGGCTTGAAATCGGGCCGACCCGTAGAAGCATCAGCGACGACATTAAGTCGTCCTGGTTTATACTCGACGGAGAAGTTGTACTCCGCCAAGAAAGACACATACCTCGCCATTCGTTTTGAGAGGTGTGGACTGTTAACGGGTGCAAAGACGCATGGTCGGAATAAACGATGAAGGGCCTATCTCCTAAAAGATATACCCGGAACTTAGCCAGTGCATATATCCATGGCAAGGAGTTTCTTGTCATGCACGAAGTAATTAAGCTCAGCTGCTTGCAGCTGACGCGGTTGATAACAGAAGACGCGCTCAACGCCATCTGAGTTGTACTACATTAACGCGCAGGCGATTGCAAAGTCGCTGGCGTCACAGACCACATGAAATGGTCTATCTTGGTCTGCAATCGCCAACACAAGCGATTGTATCAATCTTTTTGATACTTAAAGGAATGCTGACACTCAGCGCTCCATGATCACCTCTCGTATTTCTTTGACAAACAGGAGAGATATATGGTCGTCTCGACGTAGTTGCGCGGGTACTTGTGCAAGTACGCCGCCAAGCCAGGGAATATTCGAATTCCGTTGAAGTCGACTGGCATAGGCCAATCGCTAATCGCCTCGATCTTTTCCGGATTAAGGCGTACACCGTTTTAACCCACGATGCAGCCAAGAAGTGGTATTTCGCTCGCTGCGAATATACACTTTTTGAGGTTCGCGAACAACTTGTGCTCTCGCATTAAAGTAAGAACCTTCCGGACGTGGATTATCTAAACCTCCACGTCCGTCTTTCCATCCATAGCTCAGCTATGGACGAAGACATCGTCGAAGTTACTCGGTGCGAAATCGCGCACCGATCGAAACAGGTTTGTAACACATCTGTTAAACGTTGCGGGGGCGTTACTTAGCCCTTGTGGCATCACTAGCCACTCCTAGAGCATAAAACTGGGGACACTCACTGCTGTGTAAGGAACCCCGTTCACGCACGAGGATCTGATAGAATCTATCCATCAGATCCGCGGACGAAAAGATGGTGCTTTTTTCCAAACCATCTATGATGACGTCCTTCCTTGGTACTGGCGTTTGAGCCGGTACCGTTGCAGCATTCAGTTTGTTGAACGCGTGCACTATCCTCCACCTTCCTAATGCCTTTCGCACACAGAAGGTCGAAGAGCTGTGTAGGGATGTTGATTCCCTCACATGACCAGCTGCTAAGCGATTGGCAAAGAATTTGTCAATCGCTGTAACCTGTTCACGAGGCAGTGACCACTGCTTTATGACACAGTATTTCGAACCAGGTTTCAGTTCGATCTCATGCCGAGTGCCTTTGTCCTTAGGCAAATCGCATGGCACGGATTACGAAAAACATCCCTGAATTCAACCAGATCCTTTTACAAAGGATTTGTCGTCAAAGACTCCCAAGATTGAGACGTGTATCGCTCAATTCGAGTCTTCTCATCGAGGACAATCTCTTCCAACGATGAGCTACTGAGAACCCATTCGTTCTCAGCAAATGTGGTGGAGGATCGATCGCTCATATTATGAGTCGATCCCAACTCTCCACTGGCGCCCGGACGACCGACTAACGGAGGGGGTACTCCGATTCCGTGTGTGTTGCCTTCCTCACCTTGTGTACCCGTCGGTTGGGCGGATTGCACTCTTCCAGGTGGACTCGTGTCGAAGGAAAACTTGACCGTGTTGGGGATGGGGTTGTGATTATGCGGAAATCTTCACGCGATCACAGGGTACTTGTGGGTACTGATATAAGTTACCCTGATCTCAACGAGATCGCCTTGTCCACTATGTGGTTGCTTGACCCGCGAGCATTCTGACCACTTGAGCCGTCTCGCGATCTTGCGCCTTGCCTTTACGAGTCTTGCTGCGTCCGATCGCAGTTTATGTTGCTTGAGAGTTCTTGAACACACCTGGCCAAAACAATCCAGGTGTGACACTTGCGTAGACGTGTAGCGCGACTCTTTATTCGACGGGGGACCAAAGTTCCTACCCGGAGGAGATAACGTGTGCCTTGTGAAGTAATTTGAACCCTGTTTAATGCTAACCAACCAACCTAAACCCCACCCCTATGCCTATCCGTATATCCTAACCAGATGCCACGCGTCGCCTTTCCAGGAAAATCGTCCCCACGCATTTGTGTGGTCCACATCCAGTAACTCAGCGGTTGTATCGTCATGTGGCCCACCCAAAATATCCCCATGATCCTACTAGCGGATCGTGATCCTACTAGTGGATCGTGATCCTACGAGTGGATCGTGGTCCTACTAGTGGATCGCGATCCTACTAGTGGATCGTGATCCTACTAGCGGATCGTGATCCTACTAGCGGATCGTGGTCCTACTAGCGGATCGCAGCTGAGATCGGACTTGCTATCCTGGGTTAGGATTGCGGTCTTCTAGTGAGATCGAGGGTCTTGTCTTGCCATGTCTCACGACAGATTGCGTAATCAAAACGGGTGTGACCACCCTATAGCCTCGTCCCAGGATGTACATTCCTGTCCACTTGGGGTTTGGGTACGCTATTGCCAGCTACCCGTCCCGGCCTGTATCCACCAATCATAGCATTCTTGGCTTAACCGAAGCGTGCGACCCGTGCGATCACCGATCCAAGTCCCAATAGAAATTTTCTTGTGACCGCTTTGCCACAACTGTCCCCTGCATGTAACGGGGCACCCTGAAGCTTGTACTGGTGACAGTACAAGCTACTTATTCTGATGACAGACCAATTGCGGTGCCTCGTAACTTCACGTACACTCGTACGTGCAGAGGAAGACGGTAAGAAGAAGCGAGTACTTGGTTAAAGTAAAAAGTAGAACTGTATTTAGTATAGTTAATGTCTGCAATAAATCACTATTTATCTTCATCTAACTATGTCTAAATACAAATGTGTAAATCAATTATCTGCTCACCACTCATTGCGTGCGTCTATCGTGGCGCGCCTTCGTTGGTTGATATAATGGCCTATATCAACCAATCAGGAACTACTCGTAAGTGCTACAGAATATTTGTCCTTATGACAATATTCTGAGAATATAACTCTTATAGTTATATTCTATTAACAATTTCTTATAAATTGTTATGTAACGGTTCACCCCGATACATTACCCCCCCCTTAACCATCAGTCACTTTAGTGACTGATTGACTGAATGGATACTCGTCCCAAATCATTTGGGACATGTTTGCACTTGTTGGTCCGCGTCCACTTTCCAACATCTCATCGCATGGTTAACAAGCCCATGCGATGCGCGAGCAAGGCCGCCGAGAGCGCGTCCACACGTCTCTGTGCGGACGCCGAAGCAGAAACAACAGCAACTGATGTCTCATCGGTTGCTGAAGCGACCCAGCCTGTGTCACTTGGTGATGCAGGAGCTGATCATGAAGACACTCGTGTCTTCACAGAGTACGAGCTCGGTGTCTCGTACTCTCCTGATACGGAAGACGGATCCGTATCGACGGCGATTGAATCCAAGCCGCCTGCCAAGCGTGGCATGGACGATGCTTTGCGTCGCAGCATCTTTGGTTTATCTGATGAATCAGATGAACCATCGCCGAAGCGAAGGCGCTCGAGGTCGCGAGACTCGGGCGCTAATAGTGGTGTCGGTTCTCCTATTGACACCACTTCACAGCGAGGTGACAGTACTTCTGTCGGCACGTCGCAGGAAGAGCGGGACCGCAATGTGTTGCGTCTCGCTCCAGAAAAGAAGGCATGGATTCCTCCGAAATCCGTAATGGATCACTTGTCGGCGACGACGAGTGATCGTTATCGAACACGATTTTTCGATTCGTCAAGGATCCATCACCTTGACCCCAGCGCGAAAAACTATCGCGCTGAACATGAATCCTTCATCGATGCTTTCTTTAGACATCGATGGTACAGTGGGAATCACAAACGTGATGGTCCCTCACTGCTTCAGGCGTGGAACGCCTACATCCATAACCTCGAGGATGTAGGTCGTGACGCTTGGAACGACAAACTTATCAAAGCTCGTGATAAGCTTGAAAAGCGAACCCCGACAGGTGCACGATACAAGCTGCATTGTCTGTCAAGGGAGAAAGGATTACCCTGCCTCTCTTGGGGAGACTCGTGCCCGTGTTGTGAACAACTCTGCACGAGCACCTAAGGAGGCTTACCTCCCTAATAGCCCGTGGTGGCGCGTACGTGTCTCTACTGAGATGTACGAAGGGATTGACAACTTGAAATCCCTTTACGACCGTGCCGGGAAGACTTTCTCCGGCGGTCCTTCTGCGGCACAGGATGTGCCGCGTCGTACTGCTCAACCAGACCCAGTACGTCGATCATCAGTTGGGAGCGGGGCTCCCAAGAATCCCAGGACGGGGGATAGCCGCGCCACCGGACGAGATAACTCGTCCGACGTCCGTTCACGTCGCGGTGGTTCAACAGCTGCTCAACAAGATAGCGCTGGCCACCGCGAGAGTCCTCTAATGGAGGTGGAGGAGGAGGAAAGACGCTCTCCACACGATCATGTGGATCGGTGTGTTCCCGAGAGCTTCTTTGATCGCGTAACGCAAGGGTTACGCGACGATCTCGAACATGAGCGGAATAGGCGTCTCCAAATGGCGGACACTGTCTTGAAGCATTGAGCTGAGTTTGCCTTTGCTCAGCTTGAGAACGAGAGATCTCTGACATCTCTTCGTGACGAGCTAAGGGTAGCTCGTGGGATTGTTGATCGGTCTCAGGATGAGATAGCTGCTCTTCAGACCCTTGTTGATGCCCACCATCGGGAGCACAAGGCTCTCTGCGAGATGCTTGAGCGCAAGGACGTTCTTCATCGGAAGAAGCAGCGTACTGATGGTACGGCTTAAGCCGACCAACGTAAAACGTGGGATGCGTTCGCATCTTACGTGGTAACTCGATCGTGTATGCATTGCCTAGGCGGTGCAATACACGAAATGGGCCGATGTACTTGGGTAGTAGTTTACTGCTACCCAAGTTAGTCACTACATGCTTTGGTAGATTAAAAAAAAAACCGTAGACAGTAGGACTAAGTCACCTTTATTAAATAAAAGAGTGTTTGCCCTTCCATTCTTATCAGCGTTTTGCTTTTGCTTATCCACCGCTTCGGCGATGGAGTCTTGCGCAAAACGGACTACCGTTTCACGAGCCAGTATGAACTCATCTGATGACTCGTTAGCTTCAGTGCGCTGTGAGCGCACTGCAGCAACATCAACCTTTTCTTCAGTGAGGGCTTCCGCACTCTCACTGGCATCATCTTCTTCGCTATCGATGTTATCGATATCGGCATCAAACGCAATGACTTCTTCGTCAAAGCGTGATGAGCGTGAACCAAATCGGTTTTTGCTCGCGCGAGTCCCTCCCCCCCTTAAACCAGAGTTACACTCTAGTAAGGTGGGTACACGCGGATGGCGCAAGCCATTCACGTAAAACGGTGTATGTGTCGTGGACGCATGCACCGAGTTGTTGATGGCAAACTCTACCATTGGCAAAAACTCAATCCAACTCTTAAAGGAGTGTACGTATCCTCGAAGTATCTCTTCAAGGACACGATTGGCACGTTCCGTCTGACCATTTGACTCTGGATGATCAGATGTTGACATCTTCAAGCGCGTTCCGAGTGATTTGAACACGGAACGCCAGGAATCAGCAGTGAAGCGTGGATCTCTGTCTGATACGAGTTCACGGGGTAACCCATGAAGTCGAAAGATGGCGTCGATAAAGACGCAAACACAGCCACTTGCCGTGATTGTCTCTGGTACAGCCACAAGGTGTACCATTTTGCTGAATCTGTCAACAAATACGAGAATACCCGTATTCCCGCGTGCGTCTTTGGGTAACCCGAAGACAAAATCCATTGAGATGGATTCCCAGCACTCAGCCGGAACCGGTAGAGGCTGTAAAGGTGCACGCAGTGAAGGACTTGACTTCACTCGTTGGCAGACTTCGCATGCGCGAACATACTTTCGCACAAACTGATACTGGCGGGGCCAGTAAAAGTCTCGACTCACCGTGAGATATGTTTTCTCTCGGCCACGATGTCCTCCTATAGGAGCATCGTGATACTCGAACATGATCCGCAAACGCAGATCAGTATCATCTGGAATGACAACACGTGGTGTGTCACCAGAAACGGCTGTATAATACAGTAAACCGTTACGAGTAGTGTATCGATCTGATGCAGATCGATACGCAGGCGACAATCGTTTCAACGATTCTCGAGATGGTTGGGAGAGATGTGTCAACAACTTCACTATCTCACCATCTTGGGCGTATGCCCGCCTCACATCATCATACAACATTGTAGATGGGACTGAGGACGTCATAACCGCAACAGTGACTGTCTCACTGTTGGGTTTCGCGACTGTTTCAAAGTCGGGACGACGTGAGAGTGCATCAGCGACGACATTAAGTCGTCCTGGTTTGTACTCGACCGTAAAGTTGTATTCTGCAAAGAATGACAACCACCGCGCCATTCGTTGTGAAAGGTGCGGGCTGTTCACTGCCGTGCGTAATGACGCATGGTCAGTGTAAACAATGAAGGGTCTATCTCCGAATAGATAGACTCTGAACTTCGCGAGTGCATACTTCATGGCAAGGAGTTCCTTGTCATGCACTGGATAGTTCCGCTCAGCTGGTTTCAGCTGACGCGACTGATAGCAGACGACGCGTTCAACGCCTTCAAGATCGTACTGCATTAATGCACAGTCGATTGCGAAATCGCTGGCATCACAGACCACATGAAATGGCCTGTCCTGATCGGCTATTGCTAGGACTGGGGATTGTATCAAGCTCTGCTTGATACCATCAAAGGAGCGCTGACATTCAGCGTTCCATAACCACCTCTCGTTCTTTTTCAACAAACGAGAGAGGTGCACAGTCATCTCGGCGTAATTGCGTGAATACTTATGCAAATACGCCGCTAGCCCAAGGAATTTTCGAAGACCTTTGACATCGACCGGCACAGGCCAGTCGGTGATCGCCTTGATCGTTTCGGGATCAGGAAGTACACCGTTATTACCAACGATGCACCCAAGAAGTGGTATTTTGCTTGCTGCAAATATACACTTCTTGAGGTTAGCATACAATTGATGCTTTCGCATGATTGTAAGAACTTGTCGGACGTGGTACCTGTGAACCTCAACGTCCGACTTTCCATCCATAGCTCGACTATGGATGAATACGTCATCGAAATAACTCGGCGCGAATTCTCGTACTGGTCTCAACAGATGTGATACACATCTGTAGAACGTGGCAGGGGCATTACTGAGCCCTTGTGGCATTACTAGCCATTCCCAGAGCATGCAGCTAGGCGTGCTAACTGCGGTATAGGGTATGTCCCGTTCCCGCATAAGGATTTGATAGAAGCCATCCATCAAATCCATGGACGAAAAGATGGTACTCTTTGACATACCATCAATGATTACGTCCTTCCTCGGTATCGGCGTCTGAGCCGGTACCGTTGCAGCGTTCAATTTGTTGAACGCATGCACTATCCGCCACCCTCCTGTTGCTTTTCGCACACAGAAGGTCGGAGAGCTATGTGGGGAAGTTGATTCCCTCACATGGCCTCGCAGCTAAACGATCGGCAAAGAACTTGTCGATCGCAAGTACTTGTTCACGAGGCAGTGGCCACTGCTTCATGACACAGTACTTCGAGCCTGGTTTAAGCTCGACCTCGTGTCGAATACCTTTATCCTTCGGTAATTCGCACGGAACAGTTTCAGGGAATACATCCTTGAATTCAACCAAATCTTCATAGAGAGGATTTTTCTTGAGCGATTCCCACGATTGGGAGTCATATCGCTCAATTCGTGTCTTTTCATCTAGGACACTTTCGTCCATAGATGAACTACTGAGAACTCTCTCGTTCTCAGTAAACACTGTTGCTGACCTTATGTCGGTTACACACTCGTCGTCAGCGACGAGTATGCAGATCTGCTTGACTTTGCCACTACGCAGATCACGCAAGAACCTTTTGTGGTCGAGCGTTGGCAATGAGTGATCTCCGAAGTCAACTCCGGAGGCGCAATCAGATCAAGTGTATAAGCGCCTACACTTGATCCGTCATTGACTAGGACATTTAATGTCTCTGTCATTTCCTGGGGACTTATTCCCTCAGGCATCGAAGGACTTATTCCTTCGGCTTCCCGGGGACTTATTCCCGCGGGTTTCGGGGAACTTATTTCCGCCGTATTTGTAATCTTGGGACTCATTCCCTTTACTTCCTCTAGCTGGGGTTGCGCAACCACAGCGAGATCCTCTACGAAAGACTCTCCAGTCGATCTAGGATTATCGTTTCGCTTAACCTGAGCGATCGATTGTTTCTCTTCTAGATGTTCCCCGCTAGGGATACATCTTTGTCCCAGTCCACCCGACTTATTCGAGTGGTGGACCTTCGGCGCAGCCTGTGTTTCCTCACAGCCGCCGGAACTTTGCTCCGAAGTGTAACCGTTTGGTACACTAAGGTTTTGTGCAGTCGTACTAACGACCGTACCACAAGTGAGGCCATCGCACTCACTCGTAGTACATCCACACGCTTGTGGACGCTCCAAAACGTTCATCAGATGGCCATCTGATGAACAAGCGGCAGGCATCGTTACTGTCCGATGTTGCCAGTTTACTCGTGGTTCGTACCTTCTGAGCCACGGTATTCCAAGGATGACATCAAATTTGTCATCCAAATCCAATACGATAAAGTCATCGTCATATTGGGTATCTTCTAGCGTATAGTGGATCTTCACTATACGCTTCATGACGGTTACGGATGCGCCTGTCGCAAGACGTACCGTCATCCTCGTAGGAGGTGTGTCACATTCACTGAATTTAAAGTGACCATCTTCGAGCGATTGGCGTCGCACAAAATTGTTGGACGCCCCACAATCGACTAGAGCTCGAAGGGACAACTTATTCGTCACTTCGAGTTTCAAGGTAATGAGTGAGACCTCATTACCTAGAGCAGCAACGCACAACGTCTGTGTGTTGGGAGCAACCTTCATCAAGAGGCCTACAAATTCTCTTGACGTTGCTGGACCAGTAGGGTGCTCCGCACCTACTGATCCTGTCCGTTTTTTGACGGTCCATCCCGTTGTTGCGTCTTTGCACCAACTGCGGACCCTCGTCTCTGCCCCTTTCTCATGGGTGGACGGTCACTACGCCCAGTGTCGCGAGACACTGGACGAGGGGCACTACACTCGTAAGCGTAGTGTCCTGTCTTTTGACATCTGTTGCATTTCTGCAACTTATTGTAGTCTGTAGAGCGAGCCTTCTCGCTCTCTACATAACAGAGTTCCATCGGCTCTGGACCTCCGTTGTCATATCGTCTCGGTTGAAGATATGATGTCGAGCTGGCGCGAGCCTGTCTCAGACTGAAGTCTTCCTGCTCCGCAATGGAAATGGCTTGTTCTAGTGAATCTAGTTCAAGCCGGAACAGGTGAGTCTTGACGGGACCATCCGCAAGACCCTGCATGAACACCGAAACCAACGTGTGTTCATCCACCGGATTGGAACTTATACAACTCGTGAGATGTCGTATATGTTGAGCGTAAGCGTGTACATCACGCTTACCCTGCTTGAGCTTCAAGAGTTCGGTTCGAGCTCTGAACTCAGCTCTAGGCGGTTCAAACGTTTGTCTGATCCGCGACTTGAAGACTTCCAACGACCCAAACGCATATGGGTCGTGCAACTTGAGCCCCAGTGCCCAAGTCTTGGCACGTCCTGCCAGATTTGACTGGGCAAATTCAACTTGCATATCCCCGTCGTCGATGCGACGCGCCCTTATGGCGTCATCCAATTCGACGAACCATCTCAAGAGGGAGTCTTCTTCGACCCCCCTATATTTGGAGATGTCAATCTTCAAGGTCTCGGGTCGAAGCGAGTGCATCGACCCACCAGCAGCATCCTGCTGCTGTCTCAACAGTTCAAACTGTTGAGCACCCTGTTCTCTCAACAACTCTGCTTGTTGAGAACCTTGTTGGTGAAGCAAGGCTACTTTCTCGCGTTCTGCGTCAAGTTCATTTTGAATGAACTTGGCGATAGTAACATGTTGGGCATCTCTATTGAGAGCCTCTAGCATGACGCTAACAGCATGGATGCCCATGGTCGAACCCATTCGTTCAACCGCATCCCATTCGACATCGCTCAAATGGGAGTAGCCGTCACGCGTAGCGTGAAAGCTTTGGTCATCTTCATCATCCAACATATTCATGTTGGATGTGAACGCGGTCCTTGGACGGACTACGAAGTGCTACCAGGTGTAACGGAGCACCCTGAAGCTTGTACTGGTGACAGTACAAGCTACTTATTCTGATGACAGACCAATTGCGGTGCCTCGTAACTTCACGTACACTCGTACGTGCAGAGGAAGACGGTAAGAAGAAGCGAGTACTTGGTTAAAGTAAAAAGTAGAACTGTATTTAGTATAGTTAATGTCTGCAATAAATCACTATTTATCTTCATCTAACTATGTCTAAATACAAATGTGTAAATCAATTATCTGCTCACCACTCATTGCGTGCGTCTATCGTGGCGCGCCTTCGTTGGTTGATATAATGGCCTATATCAACCAATTAGGAACTACTCGTAAGTGCTACAGAATATTTGTCCTTATGACAATATTCTGAGAATATAACTCTTATAGTTATATTCTATTAACAATTTCTTATAAATTGTTATGTAACGGTTCACCCCGTTATACTGCACCTTCAGTCATCATACGGTGTTGATCTGGCTGTGCAACATTGTGTGCGTTCTTCCTTTTCACGTACTTTCGCATCTTCTGACACGATGTCCGATCCAGCCCATCCGGATCAGGTATCTCTTCCTTCTTCAGGATCGGGGCCCCTCGAATCGCTCTCTGCGATCCCAACTTCAGATGCAGGAACCTCGACGCCTACCAGTCCTGCGATCTCAGATGCCTCCAACGTGCCGGTGACCGATTGTGATCGCTCGGCTGTGGTGACGTCGGCCCAGATGGGGGAAGGCTCTGGTTGGCTTTACATCGCGATCCCTCTGTAGTGACCATCTCCGAATCTTCGATTGCACGTCTGCAGGGTAAGTTCTTCCCCGCTTGATCGCTAGGATTCGGTTCACATAGTTCCATAATTCAATGTAATCTCTCTTGATCCTGCACCTTATTCTTCATCTTGAAATTAACTACTTTTTTTCGGCTGTTCAACCGCGATCGGATTCCTTCGATCCTCTGTCGCCACTCAATTTACATGTAACCTCAGTTCCACCATCTCATGCAACTTCCTTGCATGTATAACCATCTACCTAATCCTTCACCATGTACGACCATCCTGTATAAGCTCTCCACTCCCCGTAGCCTCTGTGCTTCAAACCGCCCGTGACTCTTCTTCGAGAAGGTTTTTTTTAAAGCCAATAGTCTGACCACAGATTCGGTGATGCCAAATTGCGCTTGTGTTCGATCGCAATCTTGCTTTTTGTGCAAGAAATCTTGAATCGGCCAAGAACGCAATTTGTCCAACATCTTGCGTCGTGATGACTTGAGACAAGGTGCTTTTGTAGGATCATCAAATTAGAGTTGTTACAGAATACCATGCACCCCCTATCCATATAGGATGGACGCCAATGCCCCGATCGTCCATTCGGGAAGTTATTTACGATACCACTTAGCGATCCGCTGTTTCTTCTGTCTCGGATCGATCCACCAAAACTTGCAACTAGATAATAAACTCTCGCTTCAACAGTTGATAGTGAAATTGAAACGTCTCGATAAAATATTCCCTGTGGGGAGATCGCAAGCAGCATTCAGTCTAGTTCTCTGCGTGGCGTAATGTTCACCGCGAACATACCAAAAACTTTATTTTCTTCTTCGTCACAATTCCTGATCTCCATCGATCGGGTGGATGATACAGCGGCCCATTTCTCTAGTCTTCCATTAAAAGCTTGAAACTCGTGTCGCAATTCTCCATAGTCAAATTCGTTTTCTTTAACGCGCTTCTAGTGAAATTTACTGGATAGCACGCGCCGTCATACTCATGTATCATCACCGCCGAGGTTATCCACTTGCTATCATACACCACAACTATTAAAATTCGATCTGAATCTGAAGATTTCAGTATCAGAGCTGAGGTTGGTTCCTTCATGAGCAGAGTGCCTGTGATCATGATTTTATTCCACCGTCCCTATTTTAATTCGACAGATCGCTCGGCACAGTCTCCGGTGTCCAGTCTGTATGACCAGATTGCTCGTCCACTGTAGCAGGCCAACCCTCTACATCAGCAGCTTGCTACCAACCTTGTATCAGGGTACTCGTCTTTCGTAGCAGATCGCCCGCCCTCTGTTATCAGGTGACCCGTCGGGCCTTCCCCTTTAAAGCAGTCATCCGAGAGGACAAACACGATCCGCTCGCCTTCTCCCGTATCATTCTCTTCGGTCACCATCCGGTACTGTCCGCATTCTTCACTATCGCAATCTTGATCCTGCCTTCATGATGGTGACTGAACTGATCTCGATCAGGATTTTCGTCAGCGACAGGTACACGATCGCTCCTTGCTTTCCTTTTCTGCATTTTAATCCTTGAGCTAGCAGATCGATCGTGTACCTCCTTATCGCTGTTTGTCATCTTGATTGTGTCGATCGTAGCCGGCGACAATATGTCACTATTCACTTCAGGTAAGCTTTTGTAAATCATCAGCTTAGCGGTGACTTCGTTCCGTCTATTCCCCCGCTCTTGTAATACACCATCTCGAGTACAGATCCCGTCTGGTTGATAGCCGCACTGTCTATGTCGAAAATCAGCTTCCTCACTGACCCCTTCAGTGGTCGTGGTCGTCTCTTGTTTCTCCACAAAAAGCACGTCTGGTCGACCATGCACTTGTTCAGCATCTTCGACCTTGCTGATAACCTTGACCGGGGTGGACGATGACTGCTAACGCTGTTGGTCCTCTTCATTTACGTCTTTGATCCCTTCGCGACCAGCCTCCTGCTCTGTCTCGAAATCGTGTTCGTCCAACAAATCTTTTAAAATAATCTTGGTGTTTCGATCTTTTCCAAACAGCTTATCCGCGATAAAGTCTTCCGTTGTTTCAGTCTTAGCTAGAGGTCCCCCAGTACAACTGTGTCATAGACGGCGCACTTGTTCTTTTGATGTCGTGCCGACAAATTTTGTTTTGCTCCGTTCTTTTCCACTTCGTAGCGATCGTTTATCATATCTTTCATCTTCGCGTCTTGGTCAGCATCATTATTGGCACCGTCATCATTCTTTCGGTCTTGCTGTAGCTCCTGCTTATCTTCTGTCTCCTTTTTAAGCCCTTCTCATATTCCTCGTCGCGAATCCTTTCATCGATTAGATACCACTCAACACCTTTGTGATCGTGGACCGAAGAATACTTGTGATCGCTTTCTCGACCTTGATCTATATAACGTTGCAGCAATCCATCGTGCGAAGACTGATCACCTTCGAAATCTTGATCCGTCGGATACTGTCTATCTCCTTCGCATTTTTGATCGGTGGAATGTAGAAATGATCCATTGTGTGATCTCTGATCTATCGTTAGCTCATACACATAATCTTCGAGCAGGTCGGTTCTTTACTAGGGAGTATCATGTTAAAGATCCGTAGTAGCTTCGTACGCTAAGAATTGCCACTCTCTGTATTTTCGCGATCCGAATAGCACGTAACCTCGAGATCGTGGTGCCAACTCGCCCTTTTCCCACATACACAGCGGTATCTGTGCTGGCAACACGATCATTCGGTCACTGATTTTCGCGACCTGCAGATATGTTAACTTGCCAGGCCCGGTGGTTACCTTTGGCACCCAATTAGGACCTCTTGTGATCCACAACATCGAGCTCGCTGTCCTGATACCGAAATATACTTCCGTAGATCCCCCAACAGGGATTTCTATAGGCTGATAAGAAGATGCAATCTTTTTTCCTTAACGATATACGGTGCATGTATTCGTGAGAAATGAAGTCGATTCTCATCCGGTCGTTCTTGTGCATGGTAGTACTGTCGGTTTTGATCCTCGAACTCCAAGTGTAGAGAGGCGAGCTGGTCGAATTAGCCGGAACGAGGGAAGGAGATCGGAGCAATTTGACGTGTGGCAGTCTCCCAAGGCTTTCGGGCGTATAAGGCCGCGATCTGGGCCGAACACGCCAGCCGAGGTGTCCACTCAGATGTGGGAGGAGGACACTTGGGCACCATTACCGTCGGGAAGATACAGCCTTTAGGACGGGACAAGTGGCGGTACAGGAATTCAGTGTCCATCTCCGCGACGCTCGTCCAACTGACCTTGCGTGCCGACCAGGGAGAAACCTGAGTAAACGATCGCGGTACGCGATCTCAATATCCAGGGATCCACTGGTCGTGAGAGACCTTGGTGGGGGACAAGCTATCATAATCCGCCAGAGATAACATCGGATTGACGTGATCACGAGGCGAATCAGAAAGGCCGATGACACCATCCAAGTCGCTGGACGCTTCTCCGAAAAGGTCTGCGAGAGATACCTTGGTCACGGTAGGAATAACAGGATCAACCGGAGGCGGAGGATCGCGCGAAGGGCTCGGCGTGTCTGTGACGATCGGATCTGGAGAAGGCCCAGCCGAAGGTTGTGCCGCCGGATTGGATGCTCGACGACTACTGGAGGATCGCGAACCAGATAAAGCCGCTCAAGTCTCATCCTCACCTGCAGATGTATCCCCCCCCATTCAGACGAGGTTGATCTCGGACCACGGCGCTTCTTCTTGCCCAGTTTCGGGGTAGCTGCAGGCTTCGCTGGATCATGGCGATTCTTGAGATCGCGACGACCCTTAGGATCGCGGGTTCCCTTGGGAGCGGACGAAGGCTTGAGATCGCAAACTGGAGACGGCTTGGCTATAGTAGTAGCGGATCGTGCCACCTTGGGATCGCAAACTAGGGACTGCTTGGATTTGGACGCAGCGGATCAAGTCACTTACTTATGGGCGGCAAAGTTGACGATGGTAGGGGGTCGCGAGATCGATTGCGACTCGATCCTGTAACGTTCGAATCGGCTGAGGAGTCGCGGGATAGGGCGTGTGGGTAGAAGATCCCACCTTCATAGGTGTGGCTGAAGTATCCCCAGACACCAGCGACGCCATGCGATCCCGAAAGGTCGTGTGATCTCGTATTGCGCTATCACGTTCGGAAGCCACGTCCGCGAGCTGAACTCGCATCTGGTCCAACGTAACGTCACGATCCGATACGATGCGACGCAATTGATCACACTCAGCAGATCGGGCGGATAGAGAATCCTGTGCCTCGCCCAGTTCGGCATGAAGCCCCGATACCTGCTTGAGCGGGCGACACAGCTTTGCCTGGTCGACCTGGAGCCCTGCTACTTGTTTGAGTGCACGACGTAGCTTCTCATGGAGTTGAAGGCCGGTTTTTTGTACTTCGACTTCTTGCTGTTGGCCTTGTCCAGGCTGTGGGACAACTTGTCGCATTCAGACACCAACCGCTCTCCCGCCTCGTCCATCTGCATGCGTATCCCGGCGATCTCACGATCGGATTTCTCCTGTGCGGCATGATGTGCTCGCAAAGTACGGAGAATTTCAGATTTCAGACGTTCGATCAAGACGTTCTGGTCGACCCGGTCGGCCAACGCCTCCCGAAATGCTTCGGACTGCTGGACCTCGTCTTTATAGCGAACGCGCAAGCGGTCGTACTTCGATTGGACGAACTGAACGAAAGGGGGCTCGGAGGTGCGGAGCTCCTGAAGGTCCTCACTCAGCTGGCGATTATGGATCATCTGCTGCTCCAAAGCAACCTTCATACTCTGGTACCAATCCACGACAGTCTGTTGGAGGTTCAGGCGAAGGTAAAGCGAATCAATCGCTGCGTTTAACGCGGCTCGATCGACCGAACCCGAGGCTTCGATCCAAGTACTTGGGAGCAAGATGGGCTCACGCGAATCCGGGGTTGGGACGTTTTGGCAGGGGGAGGTCCTGTCCGGAGCGGGGATCGAAGATTCGGAGATGGTCGCTACAGAGGGATCGCGATGTAAAGCCAACCAGAGCCTTCCCCCATCTGGGCCGACGTCACCACAGCCGAGCGATCACAATCGGTCACCGGCACGTTGGAGGCATCTGAGATCGCAGGACTGGTAGGCGTCGAGGTTCCTGCATCTGAAGTTGGGATCGCAGAGAGCGATTCGAGGGGCCCCGATCCTGAAGAAGGAAGAGATACCTGATCCGGATGGGCTGGATCGGACATCGTGTCAGAAGATGCGAAAGTACGTGAAAAGGAAGAACGCACACAATGTTGCACAGCCAGATCAACACCGTATGATGACTGAAGGTGCAGGGGACAGTTGTGGCAAAGCGGTCACAAGAAAATTTCTATTGGGACTTGGATCGGCGATCGCACGGGTCGCGCGCTTCAGTTAAGCCAAGAATGCTATGATTGGTGGATACAGGCCGGGACGGGTAGCTGGCAATAGCGTACCCAAACCCCAAGTGGACAGGAATGTACATCCTGGGACGAGGCTATAGGGTGGTCTCACCCGTCTTGATTACGCAATCCGTCGTGAGACATGGCAAGACAAGACCCTCGACCTCACTGGAAGACCGCAATCCTAACCCAGGATAGCAAGTCCGATCTCAGCTGCGATCCGCTAGTAGGACCACGATCCGCTAGTAGGATCACGATCCACTAGTAGGATCACGATCCGCTAGTAGGATCGTGGGGATATCTTGGGTGGGCCACAAGAAGATACAACCGCTGAGTTACTGGATGTGGACCACACAAATGCGTGGGGACGATTTTCCTGGAAAGGCGACGCGTGGCATCTGGTTAGGATATACGGATAGGCATAGGGGTGGGGTTTAGGTTGGTTGGTTAGCATTAAACAGGGTTCAAATTACTTCACAAGGCACACGTTATCTCCTCCGGGTAGGAACTTTGGTCCCCCGTCGAATAAAGAGTCGCGCTACACGTCTACGCAAGTGTCACACCTGGATTGTTTTGGCCAGGTGTGTTCAAGAACTCTCAAGCAACATAAACTGCGATCGGACGCAGTAAGACACGTAAAGGCAAGGCGCAAGATCGCGAGACGGCTCAAGTGGTCAGAAGGCTCGCGGATCAAGCAACCACATAGTGGACAAGGTGATCTCGTTGAGATCAGGGTAACTTATATCAGTACCCACAAGTACCCTGTGATCGCGTGAAGATTTCCGCATAATCACAACCCCATCCCCAACACGGTCAAGTTTTCCTTCGACACGAGTCCACCTGGAAGAGTGCAATCCGCCCAACCGACGGGTACACAAGGTGAGGAAGGCAACACACACGAAATCGGAGTATCCCCTCCGTTAGTCGGTCGTCCGGGCGCCAGTGGAGAGTTGGGATCTACTTAGGACTGGCGCGATCGATCCTCCACCACATGACTCAAAGAGGGTACGATACCTCAACTCTTCATCATGAGTGACAGTAATACGAGAGTAATCCTCAACATTTGTGCGATAGCACAACAGGCCATTATCGATTGAATATTGATGTAGACTCGCATGTAAAGGTGCCGACAATGTGATGTTCGAGTCTTGAAACTCCTCGCTATAAATAGCATGCTTCAATGCTACACGTTGCTCATTACTTGCAAATGTGCACGAATTAGATCCACAATGGGTGACGAAAGAGTCAAAACATGAGCAAGCTCATGATCAGGTCTGCGTGACAACGCATCAGTCAAAGCGTTTTGCTTGCCCGGCTTATACTCCACGTCAAAGTTGTATTCAGCAAAGAATAAACGCTATGGGGCCATACGATGTGAGAGGTGAGGCGACTGTGTCGCAGTGCGCAATGACGCATGATCTGTGTAGACCACAAAGGCTTTGAGCCAAAGGTATGAACTCTGAACTTAACAATAGCATACTTCACTGCATGTAAATCTTTGTCGTGAACTGGATAGTTCTTCTCTGCAGCCTTCAGCTGACGATACTCACACGAAATGACGCACCCATATCCATCGACATCTGTCTGCAACAATGCACAACCAAAAGCAAAATCAGATGCGTCACAGACGACACTGAAATTCCACTTAGGGTCAGACTAAGCCAAAGTTAGAGCATGAGGGATACTATACCACATAGCTTCAAAATCTTGAGCATAGACTGAGTCCCAAGATCAAACTGCATCATTATTAGGAAGTTGGTTCATTGGCCTTGCCAAGTCAGCGTAATATGAACTGTACTTGTACAAGTAGTTGGCAAGGCCGAGCCATTTACGCAAGTTCTTTTGGTTCGACGGAACCGTCCATTCAACAAGTGAATATGCCTTAGCAAGATCCGCTCGAAGGTCAGCTTCCAAATGAAGCATTTTAGAAAGGGCACCTCTTCGCAAAAAACGCTTTACGATAATTTTGCATACAGCTTGTTTGTACGCTTGACTCGAGCACTGATTGTTAATCGTCAATGTGATTGTCCACATCTGACCAACCATGTTCTGCACGACTACGTACAAAGATGTCATCGATATAGCTCTGTGCATATTCTTGGTGAGTTTGGAACAATTCCGTCAAAACACGATCAAACGTATCCGGGGCATTAGACAGCCCTTGAGGCATAACAAGCCCTTTCCATAGAATACCCCTTGTAGAACTAACGCGGTGAGCGGAATACCACTCGCTTGCATGAGCAATTTGTAATACTTATCGACCAAGTCGAGTGCACTGAGCATGGTACAACCTACTATAGCATTCTGCAGAACATCCTTTCTAGTGATAGGCGTCTGTGCCGGTATAATGGCCGCGTTAAGCTTATTGCAAGCATGTACAATACGCCACTTGCTATTTGGCTTTCTGACACATGATCTCTGTGTCGAGTGTGGGGACTTTCTCTCACTCACCATTACGGCTGCTTGCTATGCACGAAATAACTCTTCAATGACGTCGCACTCCTTTGGTAGGAGCCATTGCTGTGTCACACAGTAGCTGGTTCCTTAAACTAGGTCAATTTCATGACGTACATCTCGATCAGAAGGCAGATTGGAATGTGGATCGTGACATACCACATCCTGAAGCTCCTTTAACAAAGAAAAAACGGGTGTCAGGAATTTTTCATGATCGATGACCCACCCCTTCGAGCACTCAGTGCCGCCTTCGTGTCTTCCAAGAAAGCTTCATCAGCAAGTGACGACGAGTCCAAATCGCTATCGGAGCTATGACCACCACTTCAGATAAGTCGCCTGACTTTGAGGCTAGGCCCAACTCATCGACAGACGTTTCTTCTACCTCTAACAGAGTAATCATTGAGGGCAGAGTTTCAAGACTTACTGACCCATCCACATCACCGACAACTCCATTAACGAGTGTATATAGCTGCTCTCTAGTATCACTTGGTGACGTAACAGACGCTTTGCGTTGCATAACAGCAACCTGGCGTCGCTGTTGTCTCTATGACGAGACTGAATGTCTCAAAGAGACTGTAACTTTCTCTATCTCAAGGTTTATATCATAGTCATCATTAGCTTGCTCTAAACAAGAGCCAGTATCATTACCGACACCCGGTAAATCAATGTCCCCAAGGCTAACATGACCATCAACCTTAGGTTGCTCATAATTAGATTCGATATTATCACCACTAACATCCAGGACTATACCGCCCCCGAGGTGACGGATTGCGTCAACCCTAAATTTCCCAATAGCAGGCCAACGTCATTGCCAACATCTAGTACTACACCCCCAAGGTGAAGAAAAACGTCAAACTTAATTAAATCTTTATCAGATCCGATGTCAACATTGACATCCGGTAATGAGTCTTACAGTGATATCAACACCCAGTGGGTATTTACGTGCCACTCCACGCTCATCAAATGGGTTCAACCCATGATGACTTGGCTCTTGGCTAACATTTCTTCCAGCATCAGTGAAACGTTATCATAACGATTATCACTCGACGGATTACAGCCTTCTTACTAATAGTCATTGATCTTGGCTCGTAACTAATATTTTGACATCGTCCGACTCAATGAGTTCAGCCATACCGATGTCCAGCACACTGACTGCCTCATTCCGTTGCATGCGCCAATATCGCTTCTTTTTCCTAGCAGAGGTGGGCTCATGACTCTCCAAAGCTTTAATAGCAACAGTGCACGTTGCATCTAAGATCTTTGACCTCCAATCAAGATATGGTTCATGACGTTTATCACGAAGCTATACCAAGGATGAGATCATACCTCTCGCCCAAGTCAAGGACTAAACAGCGTTCGATACTGTCAAAGTCCGGAAACTCCACGCCCAAGTTCACAGGAACTGTAGGCACAGTGACTAATGCACCTGTAGCAAAGCGAACAGTGACAGTCTCATTCTTTTGCGCTTTTAGCGCCTCAGCATACTTCTGACTACCCTTCAGGGAACAACGTCGATGATACTTTCCAGACGCCCCGGAGTCGATCAACATCGACCATGAATTACCAAAGCCCTTCATCGTTGCTTTTGCAACTAACAAGCCTGGCTTGTACTCATGATTCGTGACATCGCTCACGAAGCCACTTAAGGCTAGTCCATGTTCTCCATCACCTCCTGGAGGTACAACAGAGCCCAAATCCTCCCCTGCAGGGCGCCTCACGCCTTACCAAATCTTTGGTTAGCGACGGGAGGTCGGCTCAAATGAGACTATCTCGTCCTTCTCAAAGGACTATTGGGGCGAAGATGTGTGATGCTCCCGCACGCAGAACATCTACGGATGTTCGAATGCTGTTCGACAGCGTTAAACTCATCTTCTTCGTCACTCTCAGCGAGACATGGGTTTCCGCCCTATCCACTATTTGAGCGCTGCTCGACGAGTTCGATTGAAACTCATGAGTCACGTAACGGGCACATTTTAAAGTTGAACTCTGCGTTCAGCGCTATGTCCACTGCATCCTCAAATGCCAAGGGTTTGGGCACGGAGCACTTCCGTTCTGGCAACGCCAGTGTGAAGAACCTCCACAAATTGGTCACCAAGGCCGTCTCAGGCAAAGGGGTAATATGCATAGCAGCAATGAGAGTTCGCAACTCCTGGAAATAATCAGCTAAGTCTCTTTTAACCTGTCGGGTTGACAGGAAGCGTAATCGCACGCGATATGCCTGATCAGGCGGGACAAGCATCCGAGATAGTTGCTATCTAGCATGTCCCGGATGGAAAAGCCTCGTCGATTGAGGTGCCAAAAGCGAAGCCAACTCCCTGGATTGCTCATTTAACGTCGATAGGGCCAGGCCCAACTTTTACTGCTATGACCGCAGCAGGGCCGAACTGATGGCAACATCCATCGCTCGAGCCCACAAAATGATAATTTCGCACTCTTCCTTTCAATAGTCTTGACACTTAAGACCAGAGGGCGAGTCCTTGACTCTGTGTACGGTATTAAAACAAACTGAGTGGGTAGGGCAGATGCCAAACGATCTGGACCTGTTCAATCGACGTGGACTCGAAGTTCGAGAAGGCCTTGAGACGTGTATGAAGTGTGTCCGGGCCTTGCGCCATTATAATTTCCACTTGCTCATGCCCGATCAACGCCTTCAGATTCTTAAGCGTGATCTTCTGGGCTTCAGAGAGATTCATGGCCGTTTTCATCCTCGCAGAGGATCAGTCTGTGAAGACTCAGGTGTAGATTGACTACAAGTGCTACCAAGTGTAGCAGAGCTACTTAGCGCTCCTTAACAGAGGAAGTCTTGGACTCAAAGAGTATCTTACAAATAACAAACTAACAGCGACGTACAGTCGTTTAAGCGCACAAGCTTAACAATCCCGGTTCCAAAGGGATTACGATTCACAGAATCACACACTGCTAGTCACCACTGGTTAAACAAGAGTAAACGCCTTGACAAGGCTAAAGGTCTTGAACAACACACTACGCCTTGACTAGGCACTTGTGTCCACCGATTTAAAAGGGGAACTGAACTCTATGTATTCTATAACTCAGGTAAAAACCTCAAAACCTTGTCTTACTGACTTCTATATCGCGATTCTATGACAGAAGTCGAATCCTTTATTCTTTCTGTAACGGGGTAGCCCGTTACATGATATTGACACCAAACGGTGTCAATATGGAGATTGTCAAGCATGATAATTTCCTGTCATTGTTTCCCAAGATAGGCAATATTGAAGAAGTATTATTCCATTTAGATAACATTCATGTGCTGCTCGCTGATTGGTTGGTATAAGACATGTTAACCAAGATTACCACCAATCGCTGCGAGACGCGCGTAATGAGTGGTTGAGCAGGTTGTCGTCATACGACAACGTATATTCATTTATTTAGATAAAGACCGAAATTGTGTAGATAGCCTGATTACATTTAATACAGTTCTCTTTTTACCCTTTACTTAAACTAGCAGTTTGAGTAGATCAGCTTCTTCTGCACGTACGAGTGTACGTGAAGTTCGGTGGCACCCAAGCAATAGGGTGCCCCGTTAAACCTAATCGATTAGGTGCGGTATTACTGAAAGTACATGGTGCCAAGACTGTACCACTCAGACCCACCAATCTTAAATTGGTGTGGACACACAACGTTAACGGTTTAACAGCCGCCGTGTAACCCCGTTACACGGTATGACAGTGGATAGACATGTACTTCTATATAAATTACCGAAATGAGACCAGTTTAGTCCCAGGATCACGGAGAGCTGAGATGGAATCAGATTTGTGTCGGAGGAATAAAAATGCAATGACGGAGGCTTGTTTTTAGTCTCCTATGATCTAGCCGATTAAACCACCGAAACTACTCCTCGTCACCCCGATAAAACCGCCTTTACACCACGCAAAAAGTGGGCAGGGAGAGGCTTTCGTATCAAAAGAAAACACACGAGAGCCACGTCCCCTTTTGGCCTCTCGCTTCACCACATTCGACTCCTCTCGAGCTGCTGACGACGTGGCAGGGCTCCGATCCGTCGTGCTGTGCCTTGAGTATGAGTACTATCGAGCGCCTCCTGCTGGCGAGCGACGAGGACGATGACGACGACTTGGGGGATCTGGGAGAACTCGATCTCTCGGCCATCACGCTCGAGGAGATTTTACGCGAGGAAGAAGCAGCTTCGAAGACTTTAGAGGACGCACCAGACGCTCCTGGAGCTTTGCAGGATGGCGACGACCTTTTCTTTGCCCCTGCCACGTTTACGCTCCACATTGAACCAGGACCGGGGATGGACGTGATTCCAGTGCGTCGGGTGTCGCCTGCAGCTATGACAAAGGCCGAGACGCAGTTTCGGACGCCACTGCAGATTGCCGAAGCACGAGAAAAGCAGCTGCTGAGCTGCATTGGAGTGGAGCTTATCTCGCCGTTGCAAGTGAAGCGACGTCTTCGTGCTCATGCGCGGTCGAAAGCTCTGCAGTCGAGGCGGCAAGGACTTGTGGCTAGGAAGAAGAATGGGAAAAACAAGAGAATAGCGAAAGGAGCTGGAGTTGTTGTAACCGCGGCCGAGAAGAAGTCGACAGGAGTTGTGAAGGTCGAACCAATGGAAGCCATTAGTCGACAGCTGCGGAAGAACATTGAGTTTAAAGAGTATGGCCCCGGGTCACCCACAGTCGTCGCAATCCACTCCAAGTTCATTGCTATTGGTACGTCAAAAGGACTTGTGGTTATCTTCGACCATTTCCAGAACATTCGACAAGTGCTGGGAAATACAAATGATGCAGATGGAGATGGACCGGTTACTGCTGTGGATGTATCCCCGGGTAGCGACTACTTAGTGTGTGGCTTTCAGAGCGGACGCATTGTGCTCTGGGACATGATCAAAGGCACGTCGCTCAAAGCAGTTTCGGATGCGCACGAGAACCCGGTCGTGAGTCTGCGTTTTTTGAAAGACCAAAAACCGGTGCTTGTCTCCGTGGACACCAATGGTCTGGTAAACAAGTTAAATTTCTCCAAAATGATGGGAATGGTTTACGTTGTGGATGTGGACCCGCTTTACGATGGCTCCGCTGGCAAAATCCTGTCAATATCCGTGCTGCCGCAATCTGCCGGTAACGCGAAGATCTCGTATCTCACTGACCAGTATTGTCTTGCTGCACTAAGCACAGAGACTTTGACATTCATCATCGCTATCGAACCTGAAGTTCGCGTGATATACCGCTGGGCACGACCTGACGACATTACGGCCGATGATCCGGTACTACCGACGTTGGCTTTTGCGTGGATTTCCTTTCCCGGAAGCTCTCGAGCACTGGCACCTGTGCTTGCACGTGGCTGGGGTAACCGTGTACAGTTTTTAGAGGTAGTTTTTCCTGGTGGCAAGAAACACTTACACACCCGCCATGGTTTTCCTACCTTTGACGAGCACGATCAGGTTGAATCTTCGAGTGCTGTAATGGCTGTACAGTGGCTTGGTGACCAAGTTGTGGTATACCTGAACTCTCATGACGAAATTTGCGTATACGATGTGATGTCCAGACAGGAGCTCGAAATCGTAGACGTTTCGTCGTTGGAATTGGTGTTTGCATCTTATCGCGGTAAAAATGCGCGTAGCTTTTCGAATAGTTTTCGAGGCTGCTACAACATTCTGTATCTGCTTGGTTTGAAAGAGTTACAGACGGCTCGAGTGCTGCCGTGGACACAGCGTATCGATTTGCTTGTAGATGATGGCGAGTGGTTGGAGGCGCTAGCACTGGCGCTGGATCATTACGAGGGACTCAAGACCGCGGCGGCTGATCGTGCAGCGAGGGATCGATTTCCACCCGTGTTTTTTCGCGATAAGCAGAATGATCAGTGTCTTGTAGACATATTGCACATGTGTCAGACTAATCAGCGCACTGGCGAAAAAGAGGATGTATTCCGACATGAAGAAAGTGCTGACGAAGTACGTTGGGTATGTGGTGAGGTGCCGTACCCGCCTGACATTGCAAAGAAACTTGAAGAAACACTCCAAAAGGCGCGTAGCGGCGAGGTAACGAAGAATTTTGTTCCTATCAGTGTGGCCGAGCGTGTCGCGGACCTACTCATGGAGTATGTGCGTCTTGCCATCGCAAACGCACCGGGTTCCACGGCTGCTGCTGGAGGTGAATTGAGTCTCAACAAAATCGGAATGAAGCTGGATTTGGCTAAGAGCCATTACCAAATGTTAGCAGGTGTGTGTATCGAGTACTGCGCACTTATTGGTCGCACAGATCTACTCTTCGGCGAAATCTACACGCGTTTTAAAGATGCGAACAAGTTGAGTGTGCTTATAGAACTGTTGGAGCCGTACATCCTCTCCGAAAAATTGAGAAACGTTTCTTCTGTGGCTATGGAAGAATTCGTTCGACAATTTAGCGCCCAGGGTAAGCTAGCTCAAGTTGAACAATGTCTGCTTCATTTGAACGTGGCGGAATTGGATTTGGATACAATCTTGAAGCTTTGCCACGATCATGAGCTGTATTCGGCTCTTATTTACATATACAATGAAGGGCTGGACGACTATACAACGCCAATCGATGTTTTGTTGGAGGCTTGCTCTGACGCAAAAGCATCCAAGCCGAACCTTGGATCAGAATCAACCTCGAGAGCCAGTGGGGCACCATCTGGAAGCCGAGTAAACAATCTGGCATCAACGTTCGGTGGTACAGCGCGCACAGTTACCTCCAAAGTCTCAATCGCAAAGCCTGCAGTACTGTCAGCGCAGGAGAAAGCCGAAGAGTTGGCACTCAGCGGTCCACGACGCCGGCGCTTGTTTGGGTACAAGCTGCTGTTGTACATTTGGTACGCGTTAAGTGGTCGCACGTTCCCGAAACACGAGCAGATTTCGCCTTTGAAATTAGGCAAGGTGCGCTCGCAAATCTGTTTTCACTTATTCGAAAAAACAGTGGCGGGATCATCAAAGTTGCGACCGTTTCCACGTCTTGAAGCGCTTATCGACCTTGACGCTCGCGAGCTTTTTAACATCATGGGACGAATGTTTGATACGCCGAGCGTTGAATTCGAAGGTGAAAAGAAGGACATTACAGGCCACCCTACAAGCCGATACGACTCGGCTCGAAATGCCGAGATGACCAAGTGTCCTAGCCGTCTGTCGATCGTGCTTTCGCTTGCGGAAGTCATCTTTGGACAAAACAGTCCATTTAGCTCCGTCGAACATGCTCATTTCTTTATGTTTGAGGCTCGACTTCTCAGTGGAGGTTCCATCGAGCCGCAAGAATACGCTGACGCGCGTGCTGAGGCCATTGGTGATGCTGGATCTGCTGGCGGCGCATCGATGATGGATTCACTGATGAACTTCCTGGCTCTCGGCCCAGCGTCACTGCTTTCCAAAGGCTCTTCAGCAGTCACGTTGGAAACTTCGCAAGAGGAGGGATTCGACAAGACTGGCCGCGAGGCGATGCTCGTGCGTCTTTTAACGAAGCTGAGCAAGGCGACATACAATCACGAGGCTTTGTTGGCAAGTGTCATTCGGGAGAAGATGAACCGCGCTGCTGTGTTGCTGTACAAGGACAAGGGTGATTTTAGCCAGGCCATCGCGTCTTATTTGGCTGATGAAGACCAGGAATACCGAATGAATGCTTTTAGCTATATCCGAACGGAGACCGATAAGGCAGTGGGCGGCGAAGAACTGGAAATGCGCGACAGTAATGGCAGTGAACCAACGCGCCGTCGTCAAAAGTTTATCGAAGACGCTATGCTTAGTCATGCCCCGGCACTTATGAAAACAGATGGCTACGCGTTCGTGACATTGATTCTGGGCCAATTTCCAAATTTAAACAACAAGGTTATCCAGAAGTTCTTGTCAATGGGCAAGGAGGGCGCAGAACTCGAGTTTCTGTATCTCAAGCAGGTACTCATGGCCGCACCAACTACTAGTGGCACCACTGCAAGTGATGAAGCTGATGTTGTAAAGGATCTTTTGGATCGATCGAAACTGCGCATTGCTGATGACCCCGCTGTGCAAGAGCGTTTTGTGCGTCTTTTGTGCATGTTCGAACCTGCTGGAGTGTTTCCCTACCTCGAATCGCACGATAGCTACAAGGTCGATGCGTGCTTGCGTCTCTGCAAAGAGTTCGCCATCACAGACGCCGAGGCGTATTTGCTTGAGCGGACAGGCGACGTTACTGGTGCACTCACGCTTATTCTGCAAAGCTTAGAGCAAAAGCTCAAGATTCTCAAGCCTGCTCTACGTGGTTACAATGTCTCAGCTGTGTCTTCGTCGTCTACTGGACCATCTGACATGTTATCAGGTGCTACAGTTGGCACCAGCAGCTCCAGTAGCACCCGGCTTCAGTCGTCGGACCGCATTATAGATAGTGTGCAGGAAGGCAAGGACGCTTTGAAGACATTGGAGGTGGCCTTGACCATGTGTCAGCGGAATTCGTTGCGTAACCGTGACGAACAGGCGGAGAAGCTTTGGTTCACGCTTTTGGACAAGCTGCTGCGTATTCAGAATTCTATAAAGCGCAGCCTCAGTTCCAAGTCTTCGTCTCGTAATGTGCCTGTCACTCGGACGCACAGCACCGGTGCGAACAGTGGAGCTATGACTGCATTCCAAGTGGCGCTGAACGAAATGATTCGTTTTATCCTTGAGCGTATGGCGTCCTCAGTGTCACTCAAGTCGATTCTCTTTAAGATTACAAACGAGCACGGTCGTGGCGCATTTGGCGATTTTCGGCCCACGATCTTTGGTATGCTGGACACGTACAACTACGAGCAGAGTATCTACCAGACAGCAAATGCGCTCATCAGCGTGGACCTTTTCGATCAGATCGTGACGCTGAAGCGCTCGAAGTCCCGCTGTTATGCCCCGCCATCAAATGTATGCGGTTACTGCCACGTTGCACTCACTAAACCGCCTTTTGGAATGGGCCAATCTGGAGCCCTTGGCACGGAGAAATGGCACTTGAACACATCTATGGTACTGGTTATGTCAGGTCAAGCTTTTCACGAGTCATGTGGTAAAGCATGGCAACAGGGCGTGGACGTCAAGACGCCAGCCGCACGTGGAGCTTCGCCGGCAAAACTCACGCGGAACAATAGCTTATCGAGTACCGCAACTGGCGATGGATTGGTCGATGATGAAGCTGGCAGTCGTCTTCAGCGCAAGCAGCCGAGTACAAGACGGTACTTGGCTCGGCTGAAGACCCAGCGCCGTGCTTCACGACGACAGGTATCGCCACACGTTGTGCTCGAGAGTCTTATTCGTGAGGATAATGGACGCAACAAGTACCTCAAGAGCTCGCGAGCAGTTTTCTCTCTGCGCCCAGATCCAGAGGTGGCTGCTAGCAAGGTCAAGAAGCGCCTGGGAGTGCGCAAGCCTGGTTCGCTTCCCATGGCGCCCATCCAGAAGGGCAGCATCTAAGGCGGTGTGTGAATGGGAGCGTGAGGAGTTACATGGACACCACTGAATACTACTGTGCATGTCCTAAGATGAAGAGAGAGGAACGATTGAATTGTCAAGTCGAGTTTTCTCCACTGCGTTGCGACTTGTCTGGAAGTGCTGCGGCAGGCTGCCATCTGGGTGTATTTCTCCGCTCATTCCAGCTCGCTCGAGTGCAATGCTAAGACAGCCGGCGTCAATTCTAGGCTGGAAAACCGTGATTTACAATACCGGCTTGGGGGCTTGTACTCTGGATGGTTACCGGCGTGGTCACCTCAATTGTTTTTGTGGATGACGTATGCGATCGCGAGTGAGTCGCCGCTGGCAAGCAAGTAGATGTTACTTCGAGTCAAGAGGCTTCCCTTGGTCCGCCAATGGTCTGTGGACCAACAACTAAGCTTGCGGCATGTAGCAAGCTTGCATGACGGAGAGAGCTGGGCAAGTAACGAACGATAGGACACTTTGTCTCTAGACGCCCTGGATGACGTTTGCAAAAATTGCCAAGGCTTTCGTCAACGGGTACGGCTAACGGCAAATGCAGGAAGGATAGAGGTGTACAGCGGTAGCATTGACCTGATAATTTTTTCAAAACACGAGTCTGACTTCAAGGAACTTTGGTCGCTGTTCTTGCAGAAGATGGAGATGAAGTGACCAAGGCTGTAATGCTCAGCTTGCTAGTGATACGCATTACGTAGTTGCTACTGCCCCTGGCTGCGCTAGCCTGATGGTACATGAGCAAACAGGAAGTGGACACTTCGTGCCAGGCGAGCTCGGAACGGCATAATCATTGCTGTCAACAAAGATCCTTGGTCTAAGATGTTCTTCTACGCGAGTCCAGATCGATACGTACGCCAATGCTCGGTTACCACATCGAATAATTACAGCGCCGCGGGTGCAGTAAAATGTATACCTTGGTTGTGACCTCGTTTAACAAAAGTCCATCTGCTGCTTTGTGTTCGTGTCGATGTTAGCGGCAACAGCACACTTGTCATAGTGCTGATCGAGTCGAATCTTCTCATCTCGAACAAGCTGATTTGCACTTCTACGATCGTGCTCAGATGACACGAAACAATCCTGAGCTGGAACAAATGTCGAACAGCCGTGGTGTCTCGAAGCGTGGCGGCGTCACCGTATGAAGTCACGTTCGACAGCCAGGTATTCCATCCCTACACACTCAGCCCAACGCCTGCGTGACTGAAGTCCACTCCTCATGACCGCTTGCGCTCCCGGGTCTCATAAGAGCGATCAAACTTCCGTCGCAAGTTATGCGGCAAATTCTCAGCAGGCTCCCACGTCAATTCGTCGTAGCCAACCCACTTGACTTTGTACTCGTGCGTCTTTAGTCTCGTTGTCGGGTCCCGCTTCCTGCGCCGATCAACGATTTCCTGCACTGTGTACACGTCCTCACGTACAGGTTGGCCCTCAAACTCGTCAATCAAGTCCTTGGAGATATTGCTCGCCGGCTCCCACGTCGTCTCCTCGTAGCCTTCCCACTTGACCTCGTACAAGTCCTGCTCCCCGTACGTTTCCGCCGTCTTTTTCCGCAAGATCTTCTCGACTTCGTACACATCCGGGTCCTCCGTGTCAAACATGTCGTTCGGCTCGTCATCGTCCTCGTCCGACGACAACACCACTTCGATCGGCGGCAAGTTGCTCGACACCTTGGTGCGTCTCGGTGCTCGATCGTCACTGTCCGACGCGTCACTAGACGATGATGACGAGGACTCGTCGTCACTGGAGCTGCTCGACTCGTCCATCGACAGCACGTCCTCCAACTCACTCCTCGCCGCACGGACGCGCGGCTTCGCTCCTGTCTTCCTCGTCCTGTCAGACCTCTCGGCCACTGCCTGCTTCGTCTTCTCCTTATTTTTCGTGTCCGCCTCCTTGTCTCTCCGCGGCCGCGGCCGCTTCTGCTGCTCCCGCTCCCTCGTCTGCTCCCTCTTCTTCTTCTTCTTCTTCTGCTGCTTCTTCTTCTGGTCCTCCTCGTCCTCGCCCCTCCCTGCTGCCATCTCCAACTCCACCCGCTCCTTCTCTCGCTCCTCACGCTCCCGTTGATCCATTTCCTTGAGCGCGTCCATACAAATCTCAGTACTCAGCGGCTCGTCCACCGCCGGTTCGTACGACCGCATCCAGTCGCGGATCAGCGCCAACTTGCGCGAGTCGGCGCCCACGTGCTCGAGCAACGGGATGACGCGAATCGCACTTAGTGCGAGCTGGTCCTTCTCCGTGTTGTACAGCCCCAGCGACTCGGGCAGGTCCTGGCACATGGTCACGAGCGCGCGGTCCATGAGGACCGAGGACTCGTCGAGCGCCATTTGTCAAACAAAGTTGCGCGAAGGTCGCTTGTGCGGGTCGCGGAGGTTGCTCGAATACCTGCAACCTTCCGTCGACATGAACCCAAATTGCTGGACCCATTCGCAATGGCAGCGCTGTGGACGCTGGCGCGGCTCGAGCGCGCGGTCGAGACCTTCTCGGGACAGCTGCAGTGCGCAATCTGCCTGTGTGCGTACGAGAACCCCGTGTCCTTGCCCTGTAACCACTGCTTCTGTGAAGAATGTATCCACCGCGCGCTGGAGCTGAAGACGCTGTGTCCGATCTGCAAGACGCCAGCGAACAAACGGCGTCTGCGCTACGACACGACGCTACGAGAGCTTCTCCGGGCCATGGAGATGCTCAGTGAGGCATCAGGAGCCGAGGAAATCGATAAGGCCGTGGTTGCAAAGGAGGAGGTACCGCCGAAGCGTGAAGCAGATAAAGTTGCTGATCCGCAGCCGCCGAAGCGTGAAGCAGCTAAAGTTGATGATTCGCAGCCGTCTTTGCGACGAAGTAGACGCAACTCTACGACTACCGGATCGTTGTCAATGGATGTGCAAGTGGATAGTAAGGCTCCGCTCCTAAGTGCTCACGCGGAGGTCAAGGAAGAAAGAAACGCGGTTCTGGGGACTGATTTGGTAGAGAGAAGATCGTCGCCTCGGCGGGCGCTGCTGCAGGACGTAAAGTCACCAGCAACCCAGCTTGATCCGCTCACTATCGGGTCAATAAATGTGGCTACACCTCGATGCGTACATGCACGTGCTTGCAAAAGTACGAAGGGAGATTCTGTGGAGACGGTTGTGATGCAACCACGCAATGCTGTGGACGACGGAACGACTGTGAACGTTGTCGCAGCTCGAACGCAATTGGACGATGTAGTGGAGCAGAAACAACAACGCACGACAAGACGGCAGCGGCAGTTAAGTTTGACGTCAGATACGGTACAAGATGATGATGCGCGAAGAGTGCCGAATACACGACTGCGTTCTGCTACGAATCAGGTCGTTGTAGCAGGCATTGACCCAGAAATGTCATTGTTACAGACACCGACACTACGCAAACGAAGAAGGTCTGCAATGAACGGTGTTGCGCCGGATGCAGTCGAAAGTATAGCATTAAAGAAGAAGGCAGTTTCTAGTGGACAGACTTTGCCTCGTCTTGACTCGGCAGGCACCTTATCACTGGCCGATGATTACCAAACGCATTCTTTGCCAAACGTCGAAGCCAAAGTTATTTATAATGTCGGAGATCTGGTGGACGTCATTGAGCGGCAGTGGGTGGGTATTAACAAACGAGGTGGGGCTGCGCGCATCACGAAGGTTCACGCAGACGGCTTTTACGCAGTCAAATTTGTAATGGGCTGCAAGGATAACTGTGTGCCAGCAAGTTGTATTCGTTGGCCTGCAGAAGAGTTGGTTGCCGAAACAACACCGAGCCATGTCGTTAAACAGCGCTTACGGCGGCGTGTCTCCAACGCACTAAACTCACCGGACTCTGCAGCCACAAAAACGAAAGGATCCACCGATACTTCAGAAGTCAAGGTGAAAAAGGTGACGAAGCAGAAGCGCTCGGGTATGGTTTTCCTCTGCTCGGGGTTTGAGAAGCAGCGAATGCGGCAGATTAACGAGTGGGCTGACGAGCTTGGAGCTGAAGTTGTACAATTCTGGACCCATGACGTGACCCACTTGATTGTAAAATGCGTACATGACGACGATGCCGAGGACGGGGACTCTTCGATAGAAGACTTTGATTCCTCCTCTTCGCGGCCGGAACATCATCATGACAAGCCTCGTCTATTTATTAATTCGAAGTCAGGTCGATGGGTAAAGACTCGATCTTTAAAATACCTCAAGGCCTTAGTTGGTGGTCGGTGGATTGTGAGCGACGAGTGGCTCCAAGGTCAGTAAGGTCGTTTGTCGCTTGGGTTGGTGCTTATGCTGACTGCTTTTCCGTTGATGCATCTCTGTTGCGTCTCCTAATTCAGCTTGTGCTAAGCACGGCAGATACATCAGTGAATTAAATTATGAGGTAGACGGTCATTGGAAGGGAAAGATGATTCAAGACGCTGCCAAGCGGTCACGGCTCAAACGTGAAAAGCTTCTTCAGTTGTCGTCAGCAGATGTACGCTTTGTCCTGTTCTGTACTCGTTTGCCTCCTGCCAGAGTTGATATTGTCTGTTGCGTCTTGTGTGCTTTATCAGATTGACCGCTCCACTATTGGCACGATGCTATTTGCAGATTTCTGCTTCTACGTTATCGGCGAGTTTCTCCCTCCCGTGCCATCTATAACGGAGTTGAACACCTTGATAAGCATGGGCGGTGGGAGAATGATCACGTCCATTGATGATATCCGTGAGGAGATGCACAAACGCGAAAACCGCACGCGAAAGCTTATCATTGTGTCTGACAAGATCAATCCGACTGCTTTACGTCAGCAGACAAGGCGCCTCAAAGCGCAGTCTCATGTAAAAGCGATACGATCGGTGATCATTGTGAATTACTTGTGGGTGATTAACAGCATCAGCGAGGCGAGTCTTCGCGAGCTTCCTTTGGCGTAATCAGTGTACTGCTTCCTACAAACTTGGAAACATATTTAATCAATGCACGAACCGGGGCTGGAGAAGATCACTAGTAGATGTGTCTTCAGTCTGATCGAGGTTTGCGAAAGCACTGGACAGACATAAGGTAAAACTGAGAAATTTCGCAGGCATATTGTAAAGTACTCGCTCGCGTACCACAATGAGCGGTTTGTCTTTCAGCACGACACCATGGATCCGAAGTATGGCAAGATGTGCAAGTTCAGCAGTGGGATATTTCACGAATGCCTGGCACTTCATCCGGCCTGCAGTAAAATGTCGGATGTCTCGGGCGCTGCATGATCGAGAATACGACGGGAAGACAGTGTTAGGCAATTTGTCACGTTTGGAAATGCGCGGATCAACATCGTACTCAAGCACAGATTCGGGTGGCAAGATAGCTTCAAACACAGCAATGAGATCCGCCAACGTAACTCGGTCAGCAAGATTTTTCACGAAGAGCGTGTCTGATGGCTCCCCGCGTTGATATCCCTTCATCGCCTTTTCAGCATTAAGTTGCGTTGCAGTTAACTGCCTGGATTCGAGGTCCTGCAATGTCCAACGCGTAGCGACAGCGGACGCATCTGAAACGACTGTGGATGTGTCATCGAAACTCTGCAATCGACGAAGTTGCCCACAAGATCGATGTTAAAAGACAAATTCTAAATCTATAAAGCCATTGTCACCTTCGTACCACGATCAGCGTTTTCCCTTCAAATTGTAGACCATGGAACACATCCACTGCCGATGTAGCCACCACTTCGTCAGGGTAAGCTATTTTAGCAGAGCCCCTCGCTGGCAATAACGTGATCGTGATCGAGCTAGACAAACAAGCTCGTAACATTTAGGTTCGCTGTACCAAACAGCCAAATTGTGAATCAGCGTACGCACTCCAGCGCTATACTCGTTGGCAACACATAGCCGAATATTGATCGTAAGTCTTTTTCGTCCATCGCATGTGGAACGTTTCTCACCACGATAGCGTTAGATGGTACACCACGAGTGTACGATTCCGTCAGATGCTCTTTTGACCACTCTACTTGCACGTAGGGTGATAGCATACATGTAAGCGTCGGTTTGCAATATTGGAGACAAGATCGCATCGTACCTTTTTGCAGAAGCCGCCGTCGGTTCACCTCTTTTTCGGAAATCACGCCCGGACGCAGTAGACGGGATGCGTTTCGACAGCCATCTTTGTTTACTTCAAAGTGGAATGCTGGTGTCAGTCTAGTGCTCTTCTTGATCGGTAAGAACACTTTTCGTTGCGGCAACTGTTTGCTGATAACCTCATGAGGGTAATCTCGACACGGTTCATCAGACTCTTTGTAGCCGGTCATTGAATGTGTCGTACTGCTGCCAGCGTTGCTCAATCGATGCGCTGATAGTGGGGAATGAACGGGAGCTGTACAAGAGCTGTTTTCTACCGCAGCACCCTGACCGACGACATCACTCTCAGCTCCCTCTTCTTCTTCTTCTTCTTCCTCTTGTCTGACAATCCGCGCATTTGAGTTTTCATCGACCCTGCAGCGCTTTAATCGTTCACTATGCATACCTCTTGGACCTCCAGAATTCTGTCCAGCTGTATCTTTCTTCGCAGTAAATCGGCCTGGAATTGAATCTTCTTTGAATGGCGGCGGAAGATTCATCTTGTTCATGAGATGCAGTACTTGCGTATAAAAGCGGGGCAACGCAATCAAGGCTGTACGCAAAATAGCCACGGTATCAAAAGTTAGCGTAACATCGTCAATACAGTCGTACGTGCACATACACGCGCATATAAGCGTCGAGTCCTCTAGCTTTACAAACCATTTGCAATATTGTACACAATGCTTTCAGTTGCTCTCGGGTACTTGTACTCGAGCAGTGGCGATGGTGCATAGTCTAAGCTGCCCACAATCATCATATAACATCAACGTCAGCATTTGTGCTCCGTCTTCAATGAAAATAGACTCACCCTAGATGCGGGGCCAGAGGTACCGGAGCATGGACAGGATTCTGCACCGGAGCCGGCGTCGGCGGAAGTGGTGGTGGTATCGGGTGAGAAAGAAGCAGCGGAGTCCGATACTTTGCATGGACGTTGTTTTGAGTTCCTACAGCCGCTACTTCTGTCCCCTTCGACTTAGTCGTATCCTTCTCTCCAACCGGTGCCACCTGCAAGTAGTGGCCTGCCAATTCAAGCAAATGAAGTCGTTTCTGAGCATTCTTCTGAGCTTCACGAGTCTCGAATGTTGCAATAGCGTCCTGCGAGTGTTTTGCAATTGCTCCGGGTTCTCTGCCACTTGACACTGCTGCATTCTGCACTCAGATAGACAAAGTACGGACAAAAATGATGCAATGCCAACTTGATATTTCAAACATTTGTTTGGCGGTGCAGAGCTAAATACTAGCAACGTACTTGACGCGGAAAGACGCGGACACGAGTAGCACCGTAGTGAGTGAGTAAGGACGTGATGGTCGCAGTGGACAGTGCGGCTGGGAGATTGCGCACGCGCAGGCAGAAGCGCTTCTCCGACTCCATTTTGGCTGCAATGCGAAAAAGTCGAATTATTGATCGAATATTGACAGTTCAAACAAGAGCGAAAATAGTCATCGTGGTAAAAGTATCTTCGTTGCAAAGGCTCGATCAATAGTAAAACACGATGTAGGCATCGCGACATGGACCTGGTCGCGTTGTGCTCACGTTTCTGCTTTCTAGTCAGGTGATGGAAAGACTCCTGAGTCAGGGTGAAGACGCCTTCAGCTTTGCAACATCTCCTGAATGGCCTGCAGCACATCTTGCTTCTGCTCGACCGTCAACTTTGCCACGAGGTTCAAAATCATCGCCACGGACGGGATCTGCGACCTACACGAAAAAAGAGCGGACGCACGTCTTCCAGTCAGTAGAGCGAGAAACACGATGCAATAAGCTGGGTTGCTCGTGCGTACCGGATGAAAGTGTTAAAGTAGACTGTCGTAAAGCAATTGGTGATAAGCTGGCAATCCATCCGGTCCATGACACCACCATGGCCTGGAATAACCGAGTCGAAGTCTTTCAGGTGATATGTGCGCTTGATCGCTGATGCATAGAACCCGCCAAAGGGCGAAATGATCGATGCGAAAATCGCGAACCAGAACGAGTGGAGCTGCATCCAAAACCAACATGTTCATATGTCAGTCATCATGATGGCTATTACAACTCACAGCAAGTCCAGAAACCTGGATCGGAAGAAGCTGAATCTGGCTACGGTTGATTACACGCGCGATAAAGACCGGCACGTCATAAGAGTGCGAAAGAAATACGTCGTGAGGAGTGCACGTAAGTGGGTCGGGGATCAGCTTAAACTGCAGCACACAAAGATTGAAAACAGAATAAATCAGCAATCAAAGCTGTAATCCGGCACTCCAACAAAACAAACTGTGCCTCAAAGCTCTCGACTGGGCAGGTAAGCCATGAAAACTGAAACATAAGAACAACCACACATTATACAATGAATCCTTCTCACCACAACAACAAGCCACCTCACACAATCGTACCTGAGAAATGAAAGCGCTGAAGAAAAAGGCAAACACGATGGTGCACAAAAGAGCACCGATAAATCCTTCCCACGTCTTGTTTGGAGACAAGCGCAGGAACGGTGTCTTAATGAACTTGCGACCAAAGAGTTTCCCGCAGAAAAATGCAAAACAGTCGTTGCAGACCACCACCGAAACGGGGAACACGAACCAGAACAGACCTTATTTACACGCACGATCGAGTCAGTCTCTATTATAGAGCACAAACACTCAGCTCTGATCAGCGTTCGAAAGCTCAACGTACCGTTAAAGATGTTCGTGAGCACGTATTTCATCTGAAAGACGATCAGACCCAGTGTCACGATCGTCCATGTGTATTGTCCTAGACAAAGAGCAAGTAGACATTCAACGACAGTCAGCAATCATGATTGCATCCAAGAACACGAGACTTTCGTAGACTTGCCCATTTGGTACTTGTAGTATCCTAATCAATCAGTCAATCAATCAATCAATCAATCAACCGATCGATCGATCAAGCCATCATGTTATAAGATCATCACAAAGTGAGCGTGGTCCACCAACAACAACAGCAGCAATAAATCAGTAACAAAACAGCCACATCGCCGCCGTCTCTCAACTTGCTGACTGCAAGTGACGCACCTTTCTTCAGACTCAGCACCGACATGACGAAGAGCAGCGCGTACATTGTGAACGAGACCCACGTGTGATACCGCAGATAGTGCACAATTGCAGGCGGCACAACCCGGATCTTGCTGCTTTCAATGAACGCGCCAAACGAGTCGCCGTAATTGTAGAAGAGCGCGACGACAAACCACATCCACTGCACCGAGCGGAACCACGGGATGCTCTTCTCCGCTGCAGCTCGATAGCGCACGTTCACCAGTTCACGGAACAGCAGCGTCTGGAGCACGACAACGAGTCCCCACGCGTACATGTGGCCGCCGTACAGAATCGCGACGAACCCGCCGATCATAGCGAAGCCCATGACTACGCGCGTCATAAATTTCGTGAGTCCACCGGCTTTTGGAACGAGCAGGGGAGCGCTAGCTGGCATGGGCTCGATACTTTCGCTGGCATCGGGGACCGAGCGACGCTTGCGTATTGTCATTGCGCGACCGTGGGAGGGGTCTCGGGCTGGTCGACTGGTGTGTCGGGTGGATGGATAGACGACGGACGGCACCACGAACACTTGTCGCTTTTTGTGTCAGTTCCTGTGAAACTGAATATCCTGTGAAAAGGTCTAGTTGTCAGTCGTCGCGTCAAACGTATCGTCGTTTTTACACACTTGTTGTTGCTGGAATGTAGAATCGAATGACTGCACACCGACAGGAATATAGGTCGGCGTGCAAAAAGGAGCTCTCGTCCTGTACAAAACAGTTACAGTAGAGTCTCCTTAATTTAATATGGCCGGAGCCGCCCAATGTTGATCAAATAAAGGAGTGATTAAGTGGCAGAGTTAGGGCTAAGCCGGGTTAGGACAGACCCCTTCTAATTTTGTATTTGGTCATAGCTTCCCTTAAAAAAGAATAAGACAGGGGAGCAAGCTCTGGAGCTCGCCCTTTTATAAAAGTAAGCCAGTCCGGAGAACTGGATCAAGCTGCAATACTATACAATAGCAGTCACTAAAGAATGAGTATAATGAGTATTATGCTGATTCTGCATTTATTAGTGTAATGCTAATAATGTCTGTATAAGTATAATGCTAATAATGTCTGTTTTAAGTTAGTTCACTAGACTCGGGCAACGTGGTCAGCCTTTGCTTATGAGCGTCCACCATTTGCTTCCATGATCATACTTACCTTTCATAGGTTTGAATCTAATCATGTGCGTGTGTCGCAATAGTAACTTAGCCAAAGAGTGACTTCTGATGTGTCTAAATAATTATGAAAAGGGGACCGGCTTAATCGCACTTAGTACGTGAAAGGTACACCTAACCGCGTTATTTACAGACACACGCAAACACAGATAAGTACGATTTAAAAAGTTTGGCATTTCAGCTTGCTCTTTGTCAATAACAGCTTAACCCTTCGGGCTCGCAATAATGGACCTTGTACCCTTGTTTGCATTATACTTTTACAATATTAATACGGTACCGTACAGTAGTCATCGATGGCGACGCCGTGCGATACCACGTTCCGTTTAGCACACGAGATCACTTACGTGCTGAAAATACCAGGCCAAGATCCGCACGCTAAAGTGGTGATATCGGTGTTTTGTATCCACTTCGTCGTGCTGATGAAGACGAAAACGAGCACAGGCGCGAAAGTTTTAGACACACCAATTTCTAGGTGACGGGCGCGTTCAAAATCGAAAACGACACGTCCTAACATTCGGGCCAGCGTGGTGAACAATAGGACGCGAACCAAACCATGAAGGCAGCCGACAAGCGATATGTGTAAATGAAGGCTGACATCACTGCAACTGTACAGTTCTAGCTTAATACAGAATATTCTGGTGCTTAGTAATTAGTAACAATACCGTTGTGGTGGAGTGGGTTCACCCATTTATGAGGCGATCCCGACTCTCCACTGGCCCCCAGACAACCGACTAACGGAGGGGGTACTCCGATTCCGCTTACACTAGTTTCCTCCTCACCATGTGTACCCGTCGGTAGGGCGGGTTGCACTCTTCTAGGTGGACTTGCTGAAATTGACCTTTTGAAATTCGTGCCAATTATGTGAAAACTCCTCACCCGATCGCATGCTCTTGGTTGACGCTCTTCTAGAGTCGCCGCGATTAGCCTTGATCGCCTTGTGACAAAAAATGAAGTACTTGAGTCGCGAGCCTTCTTACCACTTGAGCCGTCACATGATATTGCACTTCAAACAGTAAGGTTGTTTGCGTCTGATCGCGGTTGAGGGGTGTTGAGAGTCCTTGCACTCCTGGCCGAATAGCTCCAAAAGCGATCTTCCTGCCCTTGATGTCAATACTCTCTGACGTCGGGAGGCCAGAATTTCCAACCCGGAAGAAGAACGACACGTGTGTGTTTAGAAGCAATTTGAGCTCTGTATGATGATAATCAACCAAAAGCCAACACTTTGACCACGCCTACTACGTATATCAGGATTGACCACCACGTGTCTTCTCCATGCCTAATGGATTTGCAATCATTCTATATCATGTGGCCCACGCCTGATCGCGGTTCTCAGATCGCGGTCCCTGTTCGCGGTCCCTGATCGCGGTTCTATGATCGCGGTCCCTTGATCGCGGTCCTCTGATCATGGTTTCTTGATATTTCTACAGTCTGAGACCGTGCGGATTAGATGGGGTTGAGTCCGTTGGGTCCTCCCAACGGTACCATATAAACATCTGGCTTTTATCCTGCGAGCGATTAAGCCGAAACCACCTCGTACTTAGCTGAGCGTTTAGGCTTTTGGACCCGATCTCGATCGGCTTTACCACGCCACTGTCAATACCATCATGCTGGACGTTTCCTTCACGGTCCTCCGATCGCGGTCCTCCGATCGATGTCCCTTGATTGCGGTCCCTTGATATTTCTACAGGCTGAGACCGGGCGGATTAGATGGGGTTGAGTCCGTTGGGTCCTCCTAACGGTACCATACTAATAGCTGGCTATTATTCCACGAGCGACTCAGCCAAAACCACCTAGTACTTAGCTAAATGCCTAGTCTTTTGGACCCGATCTCGATCGGCTTTACCACACCACTGTCAATACCATCATGCTGGACGTTTCTTTGACCAGTATGATTGATCAAGACAATATGGACATTGCTCGAGGACGTCGCTAAGGACAACAGTGGTAAAAACATTCTTTACTGAAGTAACATGCGTAAACCGCTGCAGTTCAAATTGGCGGTAGAATTGATCGCGCTGTCGAAGTTCTTCTGGCAGTTTGAAGCAGCCATGTTGCGGATCAAGAAGCGCACAAAAACGCTTTTTTGGATCGCTCGGAGACAGTGGTGCATTCATTCGAACATGTATGTTCTGGTTTTACAGGGTTGAGCTTATTTAACTTTATTCTGAGTCGCTACTCAGTACACTTAAAATAGGTAGATCCCTCTCCTGTTAGGCCCATCACATCATGCCCTGCGCTCCCAAAGATCTATTTCAGGTGGTGGATATGGAGTGTGGGTCACGTACATGTGTTCACTGTAACGGGGCACCCTGAAGCTTGTACTGGTGACAGTACAAGCTACTTATTCTGATGACAGAATAAGGCGGTGCCTCGTAACTTCACGTACACTCGTACGTGCAGAGGAAGACGGTAAGAAGAAGCGAGTACTTGGTTAAAGTAAAAAGTAGAACTGTATTTATAATAGTTAATGTCTGCAATAAATCACTATTTATCTTCATCTAGCTATGTCTAAATACAAATGTGTAAATCAGTTATCTGCTCACCACTCATTGCGTGCGTCTGTCGTGGCGCGTCTTCGTTGGTTGATATAATGTCCTATATCAACCAATTAGGAACTACTCGTAAGTGCTACAGAATATTTGTCCTTATGACGATATTCTGAGAATTTAACTCTTATAGTTATATTCTATTAACAATTTCTTATAAATTGTTATGTAACGATTCACCCCGTTACATCACCCCCCCCTCAACCATCAGTCACTTTAGTGACTGATTGACTAAATGGATACTCGTCCCAAATCATTTGGGACAGGGTTTGCACTTGTTGGTCCGAGTCCACTTTCCAACAATTCATCGCATGGTTAACAAGCCCATGCGGTGCGCGAACAAGGCCACCGAGAGCGCGTCCGCACGTCTCTGTACGGACGCCAAAGCAGAAACCACAGCAACTGATGTCTCATCGGTTGCTGAAGCGACCCAGCCTGTGTCACTTGGTGATGCAGGCGCTGGTCATGAAGACACTCATGTCTTCACAGAGTATGAGCTCGGTGTCTCATACTCTCCTGATACGGAAGGCGGATCCGTATCGACGGCGATTGAATCCAAGCCGCCTGCCAAGCGTGGCATGGACAATGCTTTGCGTCGCAGCATCTTTGGTTCATCTGATGAATCAGATGGACCATCGCCGAAGCGTAGGCGCTCAAGGTCGCGAGACTCGGGCGCTAACAGTGGTGTCGGCTCTCCTATGGACACCACTTCGCAACGAGGTGCCAGTACTTCTGTCGGCACATCGCGAGAAGAGCGGGACCGCAATGTGTTGCGTCTCGCTCCTGAGAAGAAGGCATGGATGCCTCCAAAATCCGTCATGGATCACTTGTCGGCGACGACGAGTGATCGTTATCGAACACGATTGTTCGATTCGTCAAGGATCCATCACCTTGACCCCAGTGCGAAAAACTATCGCGCTGAAAACGAATTCTTCATCGATGCTTTCTTTAGACATCGATGGTACAGTGGGAATCACAAGCGTGATGGTCCCTCGCTACTTCAAGCGTGGAATGCCTACATCCATAACCTTGAGGATGTAGGTCGTGACGCTTGGAACGACAAACTTATCAAAGCTCGTGATAAGTTTGAAAAGCGAACCCCGACAGGTGCACGCTACAAGCTGCATCGTCTGTCAAGGGAGAAAGGATTACCCTGCCTCTCATGGGGAGACTCGTGCCCATGTTGTGTGAACAACCCTGCACGAGCACCTAAGGAGGCTTACCTCCTTACCAGCCCGTGGTGACGCGTACGTGTCTCTTCTGAGATGTACGAAGGGATTGACAACCTGAAATCCCTTTACGACCGTGCCAGGAAGACTTTCTCCGGCGGTCCTTCTGCGGCACAGGATGTGCCGCGTCGTACTGCTCAACCAGACCCAGTACGTCGATCATCAGTTGGGAGCGGGGCTCCCAAGAATCCCAGGACGGGGGATAGCCGCGCCACCGGACGAGATAACTCGTCCGACGTCCGTTCACGTCGCGGTGGTTCAACAGCTGCTCAACTAGATAGCGCTGGCCACCGCGAGAGTCCTCTAATGGAGGTGGAGGAGGAGGAAAGACGCTCTCCACACGATCATGTGGATCGGTGTGTTCCCGAGAGCTTCTTTGATCGCTTAACGCAAGGGTTACGCGACGATCTCGAACATGAGCGGAATAGGCGTCTCCAAATGGCGGACACTGTCTTGAAGCATTGAGCTGAGTTTGCCTTTGCTCAGCTTGAGAACGAGAGATCTCTGACATCTCTTCGTGACGAGCTAAGGGTAGCTCGTGGGATTGCTGATCGGTCTCAGGATGAGATAGCTGCTCTTCAGACCCTTGTTGATGCCCACCATCGGGAGCACAAGGCTCTCTGCGAGATGCTTGAGCGCAAGGGCGTTCTTCATCGGAAGAATCAGCGTACTGATGGTACGGCTTAAGCCGACCAACGTAAAACGTGGGATGCGTTCGCATCTTACGTGGTAACTCGATCGTGTATGCATTGCCTAGGCGGTGCAATACACGAAATGGGCCGATGTACTTGGGTAGTAGTTTACTGCTACCCAAGTTAGTCACTACATGCTTTGGTAGATTAACCGTAGACAGTAGGACTAAGTCACCTTTATTAAATAAAAGAGTGTTTGCCCTTCCATTCTTGTCAGCGTTTTGCTTTTGCTTATCCACCGCTTCGGCGATGGAGTCTTGTACAAAACGGACTACCGTTTCACGAGCCAGTATGAACTCATCTGATGACTCGTTAGCTTCAGTGTGATGTGAGCGCACTGCAGCAACATCAACCTTTTCTTCAGTGAGGGCTTCCGCACTCTCACTGGGATCATCTTCTTCAGTGAGGGCTTCCGCACTCTCACTGGCATCATATTTTTCGATATAGATGTTATCGATATCGGCATCAAACGCAATGACTTCTTCATCAGAGCGTGATGAGCGTGAACCAATTCGGTTTTTGCTCGCGCGAGTCCCTCCCCCCCTTAATCCAGAGTTACACTCTAGTAAGGTGGGTACACGCGGATGGCGCAAGCCATTCACGGAAAACGGTGTATGTGTCGTGGACGCATGCACCGAGTTGTTGATGGCAAACTCTACCATTGGCAAAAACTCAATCCAACTCTTAAAGGAGTGTACGTATCCTCGAAGTATCTCTTCAAGGACACGATTGGCACGTTCCGTCTGACCATCTGACTCTGGATGATCAGATGTTGACATCTTCAAGCGCGTTCCGAGTGATTTGAACACGGAACGCCAGAAATCAGCAGTGAATCGTGGATCTCTGTCTGATACGAGTTCACGGGGCAATTCATGAAGTCGGAAGATGGTGTCAATAAAGACACAAGCACATCCACTTGCCGTGATTGTCTCTGGTACAGCCACAAGGTGTACCATTTTGCTGAATCTGTCAACAAATACGAGAATACCCGTATTCCCGCGTGCGTCTTTGGGTAACCCGAAGACGAAATCCATTGAGATGAATTCCCAGCACTCAGCCGGAACCGGTAGAGGCTGTAAAGGTGCACGCAGTGAAGGACTTGACTTCACTCGTTGGCAGACTTCGCATGCGCGAACATACTTTCGCACAAACTGATACTGGCGGGGCCAGTAAAAGTCTCGACTTACCGTGAGATATGTTTTCTCTCGGCCACAATGTCCTCCTATAGGAGCATCGTGATACTCGAACATTATCCGCAAACGCAGATCAGTATCATCTGGAATGACAACACGTGGTGTGTCACCAGAAACGGCTGCATAATACAGTAACCCGTCGCGAGTAGTGTATCGATCTGATGCAGATCAATACGCAGACGACAATCGTTTCAACGATTCTCGAGATGGTTGTGAGAGATGTGTCAACAACTTCACAATCTCACCATCTTGGGCGTATGCCCGCCTCACATCATCATACAACGTTGTAGATGGGACTGAGGACGTCATAACCGCAACAGTGACTGTCTCACTGTTGGGTTTCGCGACTGGTTCAAAGTCGGGACGACGTGAGAGTGCATCAGCGACGACATTAAGTCGTCCTGGTTTGTACTCGACCGTAAAGTTGTATTCCGCAAAGAATGAGAACCACCGCGCCATTCGTTGTGAAAGGTGCGGGCTGTTCACTGCCGTGCGTAATGACGCATGGTCAGTGTAAACAACGAAGGGTCTATCTCCTAATAGATAGACTCTGAACTTCGCGAGTGCATACTTCATGGCAAGGCGTTCCTTGTCATGCACTGGATAGTTCCGCTCAGCTGGTTGCAGCTGACGCGACTGATAGCAGACGACGCGTTCAACGCCTTCAAGATCGTACTGCATTAATGCACAGCCGATTGCGAAATCGCTGGCATCACAGACCACGTGAAATGGCCTGTCCTGATCGGCTATTGCTAGGACTGGGGATTGTATCAAGCTCTGCTTGATACCCTCAAAGGAGCGCTGACATTCAGGGTTCCATAACCACCTCTCGTTCTTTTTCAACAAACGAGAGAGGTGCACAGTCATCTCGGCGTAATTGCGTGAATACTTATGCAAATACGCCGCTAGCCCAAGGAATTTTCGAAGACTTTTGACATCAACCGGCACAGGCCAGTCGGTGATCGCCTTGATCTTTTCGGGATCAGGACGTACACCGTTCTTACCAACGATGCACCCAAGAAGTGGTATTTCGCTTGCGGCAAATATACACTTCTTGAGGTTTGCATACAATTGATGCTTTCGCATGATTGTAAGAACCTGTCGGATGTGGTACCTGTGAACCTCAACATCCGTCTTTTCATCCGTAGCTCGACTATGGATGAATACGTCATCGAAATAACTCGATGCGAGTTCTCGTACTGGTCTCAACAGATGTGATACACATCTGTTGAATGTGGCAGGGGCATTACTAAGCCCTTGTGGCATTACTAGCCATTCCCAGAGCATGACGCTAGGCGTGCTAACTGCGGTATAGGATATATCCCGTTCTCGCATAAGGATTTGATAGAAGCCATCCATCAAATCCATGGACGAAAAGATGGTACTCTTTGACATACCATCAATGATTACGTCCTTCCTTGGTATCGGCGTCTGAGCCGGTACCGTTGCAGCATTCAACTTGTTAAATGCATGCACTATCCGCTACCCTCCTGTAGCTTTTCGCACACAGAAGGTCGGAGAGCTATGCGGGGAAGTTGATTCCCTCACATGGCCCGCTGCCGAACGATCGGCAAAGAACTTGTCGGTCGCAAGTACTTGTTCACGAGGCAGTGGCCACTGCTTCATGACACATTACTTCGAGCCTGGTTTAAGCTCGACCTCGTGTCGAATACCTTTATCCTTCGGTAATTCGCACGGAACAGTTTCAGGGAATACATCCTTGAATTCAACCAAATCTTCATAGAGAGGATTTGTCTTGAGCGATTCCCACGATTGGGAGTCATATCGCTCAATTCGTGTCTTTTCATCTAGGACACTCTCGTCCATAGATGAACTACTGAGAACTCTCTCGTTCTCAGTGAACACTGTTGCTGACCTTATGTCGGTTACACACTCGTCGTCAGCGACGAGTATGCAGATCTGCTTGACTTTGCCACTACGCAGATCACGCAAGAACCTTTTGTGGTCGAGCGTTGGCAACTGAGTGATCTCCGAAGTCAACTTCGGAGGCGCAATCGGATCAAGTGTATAAGCGCCTACACTTGATCCGTCATTGACTAGGACATTTAATGTCTCTGTCATTTCCTGGGGACTTATTCCCTCAGGCATCGAAGGACTTATTCCTTCGGCTTTCCGGGGACTTATTCCCGCGGGTTTCGGGGAACTTATTTCCGCCGTATTTGTAATATCGGGACTTATTCCCTTAACTTCCTCTAGCTGTGGTTGCGCAACCACAGCGAGATCCTCTACGAAAGACTCTCCAGTCGATCTAGGATTATCGTTTCGCTTAACCTGAGCGATCGATTGTTTCTCTTCTAGATGTTCCCCGCTAGGGATACATCTTTGTCCCAGTCCACCCGACTTATTCGAGTGGTGGACCTTCGGCGCAGCCTGTGTTTCCTCACAGCCGCCGGAAATTTGCTCCGAAGTGTAACCGTTTGGTACACTAAGGTTTTGTGCAGTCGTACTAACGACCGTACCACAAGTGAGGCCATCGCACTCACTCGTAGTACATCCACACGCTTGTGGACGCTCCAAAACGTTCATCAGATGGCCATCTGATGAACAAGCGGCAGGCATCGTTACTGTTCGATGTTGCCAGTTTGCCCGTGGTTCGTACCTTCTGAGCCACGGTATTCCAAGGATGACATCAAATTTGTCATCCAAATCCAATACGATAAAGTCATCGTCATATTGGGTATCTTCTAGCGTATAGTGGATTTTTACTATACGCTTCATGACGGTTACGGATGCGCCTGTCGCAAGACGTCCCGTCATCCTCGTAGGAGTTGTTTCACACTCACTGAACTTTAAGTGACTATCTTCTAGCGATTGGCGTTGCACAAAATTGTTGGACGCCCCACAATCGACTAGAGCTCGAAGGGACAACTTATTCGTCACTTCGAGTTTCAAGGTAATGAGTGAGACCTCATTACCTAGAGCAGCAACGCACAACGTCTGTGTGTTGCGAGGAACCTTCATCAAGAGGCCTACAAATTCTCTTGACGTTGCTGGACCAGTAGGGTGCTCCGCACCTACTGATCCTGTCCGTTTTTTGACGGTCCATCCCGTTGTTGCGTCTTTGCACCAACAGCGGACCCGCGCCCCTGCCTCTTTCTCATGGGTGGACAGTCACTACGCCCAGTGTTGCGAGACACTGGACGAGGGGCACTACACTCGTAAGCGTAGTGTCCTGTCTTCTGACATCTGTTGCATTTCTGCAACTTCTTGTAGTCTGTAGAGCGAGCCTTCTCGCTCTCTACATAACAGAGTTCCATCGGCTCTGGACCTCCGTTGTCATATCGTCTCGGTTGAAGATATGATGTCGAGCTGGCGCGAGCCTGTCTCAGACTGAAGTCTTCCTGTTCCGCAATGGAAATGGCTTGTTCTAGTGAATCTAGTTCAAGCCGGGACAGGTGAGTCTTGACGGGACCATCCGCAAGACCCTGCATGAACACCGAAACCAACGTGTGTTCATCCACCGGATTGGAACTTATACAACTCGTGAGATGTCGTATATGTTGAGCGTAAGCGTGCACATCACGCTTACCCTGTTTGAGCTTCAAGAGCTCGGTTCGAGCTCTGAACTCAGCTCTAGGCGGTTCAAACGTTTGTCTGAGCCGCGACTTGAAGACTTCCAACGACCCAAACGCATATGGGTCGTGCAACTTGAGCCCCAGTGCCCAAGTCTTGGCACGTCCTGCCAGATTTGACTGGGCAAATGCAACTTGCATATCCCCGTCGTCGATGCGAAGCGCCCTTATGGCGTCATCCAATTCGACGAACCATCTCAAGAGGGGGTCTTCTTCGACCCCCCTATACTTGGAGATGTCAATCTTCAAAGTCTCGGGTCGACGCGAGTGCATCGACCCACCAGCAGCAGCCTGCTGCGGTCTCAACAGTTCAAACTGTTGAGCACCCTGTTCTCTCAACAACTCTGCTTGTTGAGAACCTTGTTGGTGAAGCAAGGCTACTTTCTCGCGTTCTGCGTCAAGTTCATTTTGAATGAACTTGGCGATAGTAGCATGTTGGGCATCTCTATTGAGAGCCTCTAGCATGACGCTAACAGCATGGACGCCCATGGTCGAACCCATTCGTTCAACCGCATCCCATTCGACATCGCTCAAATGGGAGTAGCCGTCACGCGTAGCGTGAAAGCTTTGGTCATCTTCATCATCCAACATATTCATGTTGGATGTGAACGCGGTCCTTGGACGGACTACAAAGTGCTACCAGGTGTAACGGGGCACCCTGAAGCTTGTACTGGTGACAGTACAAGCTACTTATTCTGATGACAGAATAAGGCGGTGCCTCGTAACTTCACGTACACTCGTACGTGCAGAGGAAGACGGTAAGAAGAAGCGAGTACTTGGTTAAAGTAAAAGTAGAACTGTATTTAGTAATAGTTAATGTCTGCAATAAATCACTATTTATCTTCATCTAGCTATGTCTAAATACAAATGTGTAAATCAGTTATCTGCTCACCACTCATTGCGTGCGTCTGTCGTGGCGCGTCTTCGTTGGTTGATATAATGGCCTATATCAACCAATTAGGAACTACTCGTAAGTGCTACAGAATATTTGTCCTTATGACAATATTCTGAGAATATAACTCTTATAGTCATATTCTATTAACAATTTCTTATAAATTGTTATGTAACGATTCACCCCGTTACATTCACTATCCACCGCCCCTTTTTTAAATCTGATATGGGTCCGGTTTATACGGTTGTAGTCTGGTCTTGACGTCACAGAGGATCAAAGTTTGTCCCAACTACGTCAACTTGATCAATGACCGAATCTTCTCATGCGCGGCGCCGGGAGCGACTAGCTTGGGATATCCGCCTTCACCTTCTGTGTGCAGAGATATTTAGGCTGTTGAAGATGCTCGAAGTGGATATACCGCATAAACTCAAGCTTCAATTAGGCGTGATTTGCCTGCGCACCGCTACTATTGTTGGCCACTCGCTAATAGGCGGCTAAGATATCCATGGCCATCTTCATCGGTAGAAGCACAGCAAGTTCTACATCTGATTAGGATAGTTGCACTCCAAGAAACTCTTTCGTATTCGATGCAACAAACTCAGCATTAATAATAGGCAGATTGAATGCTCCTTGTTTCTGATTCTTCCAACCAATCAGCATCCCACTAATCTTGGTCTCAAACACTGACCGACTTACGATCTTCACAGTCGCCGTTGGAAATAGCATATGTCGCGCCCTCCACTCGTAAGGCCTGGTCATCATAGATGGGTGGTTGCATCCGAATTTAGACATGGTGTACCAACGAGATGCATAAACGTGCGTCGAGACAACTTAAAGTTGGTGACCGTTGACGCGTAAGATCTACTAGTCGCAATGTGAATTGCGAATGCTATATCAGGCCGCGTGCACCTGACGATCCACAGCAGGCTCCCTACCATAGATTGAAAGAACGTGAAGGTCAAATGCTCGGTTTTTTTTAAGCTTTTATGAGTGTTAGTCGAGTTCTTTGTCCTCCTTAATCGCTTATTCATCTCCAATTGGAGCTGTAACAAAATTCGCTATGTCCACCTGTTGTTTTAAGAGCATTTCAATCATAGTGGATCCTTGTCATGTGGCGTACCTATAAGAGTGTAGTCGTAGTTGCACTTGTGCAAGAGGTGTAAGCAGTAATAGTAAATATATTAGTGCTAACTGCTCTCGTCCATCAACACTACAACATGCCCTTCCAACGGGATTCCATGTTAACCAGATCAAATTGCACATGGTGATCGTCTCTCCCCGTCCCATGTGTCATCTCATCACATGGCACCCGTCTCTCCCGATCCTATCTGTCAAGATGCCACAACATGACAGCCAATCAGGTGACGTTTCATATTACCTGTAACTGATCTTTAACTTGGGCTTCAAATCTTGATGACCTGTCAGAACCATTACCTTCTAACAGTACCCGCACTTCGGGTTGTACTCTACACTCATGTCGATAATTATTGAGATCTTTTATGCTGTACATCGTCTTATAGAACAAACCAATTATGACGCTTTCGGTGGCGGTGACGATAATATCATTCACATCGACATCCACAAGTGTGGTCTGTCCAACATCATGTTTGTAAAGCATACACGAGTCAGTGAGACTTCAATCAAATCCCGTACTCGTAATATTTGCGTTTAGATGCTCTTGCTATACTATACTGGCTTCGATCGAGACGCAAACTGCTGTGAATCTTGCACACCCCGAGCGCCTTCAAATATTTAGACATAAAACACGAGCCCATGGGAGGGGGTAAACATATATGTTGCAATCCGCTTCGACCTCCACCTTTGGCGGATACAAAAATCAATTGGCGTCTCGGGATACCCCAAATTTCGGCAATGTCATGCACATACTTGTAGATCGTCATTTCCATGACGGTGGCAAAAACGATAGTGAAGGCTAGGCCGACCTCTTGTATTCCTGCAGGATTCAAGTAGTAATTAAACCGTTTTATTAAGCCGTTTACCGTACGCTTCTTTTTATGGACCCGTTTCGTATGAAGCCGGACATCCCAGCATCCATATTTACAGCAGTCCAGGTATTGTGAGGTAAGCTCACAACAATCTTGCCTCCACAGGTCCGCATCCGGACTGTGTAATACCACCCCGTAAGATGCATGTTCCGGCCAGTCCACGAATCTACGCGACTTTGCGTCAATACTGTGTAAATGCCGTCAGTGCCACTTTGAGTGCGCTTCCTGCACCAATTCACTCTCCTCTAATTATTTTAGTTGGGCAGATATCTTTCGTTCTAGGCCGGTGCGCCTTGGTACAAGTGGTGTCACGTTGGAAGCTTGAACACGCGTAACGCTGTGCCTTGATACGCTTTTCGGAATGACATCCTGGCGCCCTTTTTACTTCAGGAGGGACGCTCACTCCGCACGTCGTCTCAATGTAATATCTTTGAGTTCCTCCTAACCTTTGTAGCGGAGCTACACAGCCCGTTAAGTCAGAGGAAGACTTATTTAACAAGCCAACGGCTTACGGCTGACAGCCTATTATTTCTACGGAGATAATATATTAAGTTAAAGAGTCACCCAGTTCTACGGAACTCGGGTGGACTCTACGAGATAACAGCTCAACTACTGTAGTTCTAAGGAACTACACGCACAATGTGCGAAACGGGAATACCGGAGTCTAAAGACTCTCTAACCCACGACAGTTCCAAGGAACTGTCAAGCGCAAGGTGCAAAACGGTGGAACTATCCGGACTTCTGCTCAAAATGAGAAATGAGTTTATTTAGATTTTACATCAAGGAAAATCCTGCTTTATGTACCCTATGCTATCCTAAATACAAATATTAGTATTCGAACTAAACGGATGGTTGCCACATCACTCAGTCATCCAGTGAGGACGGTACAAAGTACGTACACGGTAAGTACGGTAAACCTGGGAATAGCGATCAATCGATATTCTCTTGCTGATACAAAATCTAAGGTCACACACATTCATCCATATCATTTGTGGGAAATCTTCGACCAATTCAGCCAAAGGCTAGTGTGACCCCGTTACATTCTCCCCCACCAGACTGACGTTACCACAAACGTCACTCGACTCATTCTCCCATTGAGACTTGTTAAAAAGTAACGCACTTACATGGACCGACCTGGGCACCTCCTGGAAGATAAGGCTCTAGCCGAGATCCTTGGTGTCGAGGACGTGGACTTTGACAGTGGTAGTGATACCAAAGTCGAGGGGGGAGGAGCAATCCAAAACCAGCACACCTGAGCGTAAGGACATGCCCCATTCGGCACCATATCCGTTCCCCGACCGTAGTGCCGCGACTGCGCTAGCAGCACTGGGAGCAATGTCCCCCATGGACATCCATTATCATTAACCCGCTTGACGAGGAGCAACAACGCATGCTCGACCAAGCGGCATGCGCACGGCGCAAGTCAGAAGTTCAGACAACGTTGCAACAACACAGTGAAAATACGGTCACTCCACCTGGCGTGGAAGAGCTCATTCGTCAAGCGTCACGCCATACGTCGGCGACATGGGCCACCGGTCCCAAGGCGAAAACGCCCACTGAACTCGAATGCCGCAAGGCTCTTCGAGAGAGGTACTTAGAACCTGCTATGATGACTCTGAGTCAATACAGAGAACGGCTGCAAAAGCAGGCCCAAGGAACACCGGTTCCACAAATTAGGGATATAACCATCACAATGTCCGAAGATGGAAATGAAACTGCGGAGGACGATGTGTTCATCCGCTGGGTGCATGGCGTTCGACGCCTCAGTAGCATGCACGCGCTACGCGAAAGTGCCAGTGAGGCAGACGCTCGTCTAGAGCGAAAGCTTCGCAATGTCTTCGCGAAGTTTAAGGCCAGAGGCCGTCTGCGAGGAGTATTACGCTCCCGATATGCTTTGGCTGCCTCTGCAGCCGCGAGTTCACGTCAATCTTCTGACACGAACTCGCCCGCTCTCGCTCTGATAGTGAGAAGTGTGGTACTTTTTAAGACGGGCCTGACCGTGGCGCTCAAAAACGTCCACGGCGTATGGGCAGTCTTGCCGAAGGGGAATCTCATACTCCCATGAGTTCTCAGACTAGGTATACCCACGCCACTTCACCAGGTATTGGTAGTGACCATGACGACGACTTCGCTGAAGTAACCTCTCTACATGGTACTGGAGGTTCCCGTGTCTATCAAGCAGCGCCGGTGGCGTTCAGAGTATTGGCTGAGAGGCACTCGAATATGTCGAAAGATGTGAATAGCCTCCGTGAGACTTTGGGTCAAACCCAGCATGCTCTGAGCGAAGTGCAATCTCGTCTGGAGACGCTTGAAGGCGATCGCGCCCGTCTTCAGATGATGGAGTCACGTCAGACTCGTGTCGAGGCTCAACTTAACCTCTTAATTCGGATGCAACATCCTGTGTCAACGCCAATGTACGCGGCGCAAGCGCCTTCAAGTCAACATGGGACGGGTCCCGGTATGGCTTAAGCAGGCCGACATAAAAGACGGGATGTGTACGCAATTCGCGCGGCAAGTTGAGCGTATGCACAAGGTCCTTCTTGGCCATGACCGTAAGAGGTCCAATGAAGCGCGGACGCAACTTCGTTTTACGAACAGCTGACACTACATTTGTAGGTAGTTTATTAGCGCTAAGTAAATTTTGTTCACCGACTTCATAACTTTCAATGCAATTTCTGCCTTTGGCATCTGCTTGTTCCTTTTGTTTATCTTGTCTATCAGCCATTGCATCTCGCACATGTCGTAAGACATTCAACCTTGTTGCAAGGAACTCACCAACCTGTTTCTGAACAGTAGCAGGGATGACATCAGTAAGCCGATCGGCAATCCCTCCCCCACCAATTCCGGAACCACGGAGTGGTAGCGTCAAAGGGACGCGCGGATGGGTGAAACCGTTAACATAGAACGGGGTGTAACCAGTCGAGGCATGGACCGAACTGTTCATGGCAAATTCGACCACCGGAAGCATAGAGATCCAACGCCTAGGCGTATCTGCGCAAAAGCTGCGCAAAATGTCACCAATGACACGATTAACACGTTCAGTTTGACCATCGTTCTGCGCATGATCCGCGGTGGACATGTCCAATCCGGTGCCGAGCACCTTGAAGATTAGACTTCCAAAATTTCCCCGTAAACCGAGGATCACGGTCTAAAACAATTGCCAAAGGCAAACCGTGTTGACGAAACACGCGATCGATAAACAGCTGTGCTGTACGTTCACCATTAATCGAAGCCGGCACAGCCGCTAATTGAGTCATCTTACTCAAACGGTAAACAAAGACCACAATACCAGTGTTGCCGTCCAAATCTGTTGGCAAACCAAGTAAAAAGTCCATACAGATGGATTCCCAACAACCCGTGGGTATAGGCAAACTCGTCAAAGGCGCAGCCGCATGAGCGGAGGGTTTGACTTGACCCGTTGACACGTTTCACACGTACGCACATATGTGCTCATCCATTTATATAATTTGGGCCACCAATAGTGTTGGTTACCGAGCCATAGGTCTTCTCTCGACCTAGATGGCCGCTCAAAGCTGTATCATGCGCCTCAAAGAGAATACGATACTTCAATTCTTCGTCATGAGGTACGACGATGCGCGGAGTATCCGCCGCATCCGAGCTATAGCACAGTAGGTCATTATGGAGAGAATATCGATGTGGCCCCGCACGTAATCGTGCCGACAACTTAATTTCTGAATCTTTAAACTTCTCACAGCCTAGTGCGCGCAATAAAGCAACACACTACTTATCCTTTGTATAAGCCGCACGAATTATATCAGGGATAGAAGAAGACAGAGTCGTAACATGAGCAAGCTCATAATCCGGCCTGCGTGATAACGCATCGGCCAAAGCATTTTGCTTCCCTGGTTTATACTTCACCTCGAAGTTATACTCAGCGAAGAATGAAAGCCAACTGGCCATACGTTGTGAGAGATGAGGCGAACGGGTCGCAGTGCGTAAAGACGCATGGTCTATGAGAGGGCACAAGGCTTTGAGCCAAGCAGATGCACTCTGAATTTTACAAAAGCGCACGTCATTGCCAGTAACTCTTTGTCATGAGCTGGATAGTTATTTTTAGCAGCTTTTAGCTGGCGCGCTCATGTCCATCGATATCAGTTTGAACAATGCACTGCCAATGGCAAAACCAGATGCGTCACAGACGACAGTGAAAGGTCTCTCCGGGTCAGGCAAAGCCAAAATTTGAGCATGAAGGAGAACCTCCTTAACAGCTTGAAAAACTTGTGCCTGAACCGAGCCCCAGAACCAAACCGCGTCCTTTCTAAGGAGGATGGTCAATGGCCTTGCCATGTCAGCATAGTTTGCACTATACTTGTGTAAGTAATTGGCTAAGACAAGCCATTTACTCAAGTCTTTTGGGTTAGACGGAACCGGCCAGTCAACAGATGACTTTATCTTAGCTGGATCCACCCGCAGGCCACGCTTCCCATAAAGCACCCGACAAAGGGGTTTCTTCAGCCACAAAAATGCATTTAGATGCATTTGCATACAACTTGTTTGTGCACATGCACCCGAGCACTGCTCGTAAATGGTCAATGTGATTTTCCACATCTGATCTTCCTTGTTCCGCACGGCTATGGACAAAAAATGTCATTAGCTTTGTGCAGATCCTCGGTGAGGCCGGAACAACTGCTTCATTAGACTATTAAACGTTGCGGGGGCATTATAAAGTCCCTGAGGCATAACAAGCCACTCCCAAAGCATGCCACTCGGCGTGATAATCGCTGTGAGCAGGATATCGCTCGCTCGCATTAGCAGTTGGTAATAACCATCGACTAATTCGAGTGCACTGAACATGGTACATTCTACCATAGCGTTCTGAAGAACATCCTTTCATGTAATAGGTGTCTGCGCAGGTATATTGGTCGCATTGAGCTTATTGTAAGCGTGCACTGGGCTTTTTGGCACAAAATGTTGGTGTCGAGTGTAGAGATTTGCTCTCCCGCACCATGCCTGCCGCGTGCTTTGCACGAAAGAACTCGTCAATGACGTCAAACTGTTACTTAGGCAACGGCCATTGACGTGTAACACAATATTTGGTCCCAGGGACCAGGTCAATTTCATGACGCACACCTCTGTCTGGAGGTAGGTTGTATGGTGGATCATGACACACCACGTCCTGAAATTTCTTTAACAAAGGATAGAAGGGATTCGAAGGATCCTTCAAAGTGGCAGATCCACAGCGAGCACTGAGTGTAACTACAATGTCCTCAAGGACTGTCCCATCTACAAGGGATGATGAGTTCGACTCAAGATCAGATCTAAGGACAACCATATCAGACAAAGCATTTGTATTTAAGGTCTGATGAAATTCATCTACAGACACTTCATCTAGCTCTAACAGATCATTAAGCGATAGGAGGGCCTCGAGGCCAACTTCTCCATCAATCGCACCCGACACCCCATTGACTAACGTGTACAACTGTTCACTAGTGTCCTTTTGGGACATGACAGATGCCTTTTGTATTGCAGTAGCCATCTGGCGTCGCTTTCGTCTCTGTGCATAGACTGAACACTTTAACGTGTAAGGAACATCCGGATCCACGAGGTGAAGATTATCTCCAACCTCGATCTGCTATCTCAAAGAGCCAATGTCATTACCGACATTAAGTGTGGTGCCCTCACGGCCGACCTCACTCTGTGGAATTTTACGTGCCACCACACTCGCATCTGTTGAGCATAGCTCTTGATGCCTTGGCAAATCGGCAACAATGTCATTACCGACATTTAGTGGGGTGCCATCACGGCCGACCTCACTCTGTGGATGTTTACGTGCCACTCCACGCGCATATGTTGAGCATAGCTCTTGATACCTTGGCGAATCGACAACAATGTCATTACCGACATTTAGTGGGGTGCCATCACGGCTAACCTCACTCTGTGGATGTTTACGTGCCACTCCACGCGCATATGTTGAGCATAGCTCTTGATACCTTGGCGAATCGACAACAATGTCATTACCGACATTTAGTGGGGTGCCATCACGGCTAACCTCACTCTGTGGATGTTTACGTGCCACTCCACGCGCATATGTTGAGCATAGCTCTTGATGCCTTGGCGAATCGCCAACAATTTCATTACCGACATGTAGTGGGGTGCCGTCACGGCTAACCTCACTCTGTGGATGTTTACGTGCCACTCCACGCGCATCACAGGGATCACACCCAGGATGACTCAGCCTTAAGCCATCCATGCTTCCAGCATTCTGTGATTCACTGTCATTACCAGTGTCAATAAACGGAGTACGTACCGTTTCACTACTGTCAATGACATCAGAGTTAGTTAGCTCAGACACTCCAATGTCAAGAACACTGACAGAATCCTTCAGTGGCGTGCGCCAATAGCGCTTTTGCTGCCTAGCAAAGGTGGGTTCATGTCTCTCCAAAGCTTCACTAGGAACGTTGCGCGTTGCGCCTAAGGTCTTCGACCTCCAATCAACCCATGGTTCATGGCGTTCCAGCCAAGCCATACCAATGATGAGATCATATCTCGATTCCAAATCCAGGACAAGACAACGTTCGGTACTATCGAAATCTAAAAATTTCACATCTTAGTTCAACGGAACTTCAGGTACGGTGACACGAGTACCTGTCGCTAAGCGAACAGTGATAACATCACCCTCATGCGCTTTCAGCGCCTCAGCATATTGGTGACATCCCTCTAGGGATAGGCGTCGAGCACAGTTGCCTGACACTCCAGAGTCAATTAATATTGACCACGGCTCTTCAAAGCCCTCAATTTTAGCCAAGGCCACTAACAAGCCTGGCTTATACTCACGTCTCATGGAAACTTCCATAAGACCGTCCGGGGCTAAGCCCTGTCTATTTACCACCTAAAGATTCGGCAGAACCTAGTTCCTCCCCAGTAGGGCACCCCGCGCCTACTGGGAGTTGACGTTTCCCGCTCCGTACCCACTTTCGGGTTAGAAAGCGGATTGCGGCTCAGCCGACTTTGATGCGGCTTCCGCAGTGGGCACTGAGGACGCAAGGGCTTGGTGCTCCCGCACATGTAATATCTACGGATGTTACGTTGCTGTTCAACAGCCAG